AATAAATCATGATCATTACAAATGCCGTTTGTTCAAGACGGTGCAAAGGTGGGTCGAAAAGTTTCACCGACAACCCGACTTCATACCAGGGGATGGAAGACGCAACATCCCGGCCAACCCCGTAAAGTATCGGATAAACAATTGGAGCAAGTTGTGCGTGCCATTGACGCCAATCCACACAGGGTTGCCGCAGCAATTGGACTTAAATAGACCTTACGAATCGCGATAAAAACGCGGACCCAATTGCGTTTCCACATTGCGACAAAAAAACTAAATTAACTGAAAATCATATGGCTGCAAGATTGCAATACGCGCACGATTACATTCACTGGACCGCAGAAGATTGGAGGCACGTCGTCGCAGTGGATGAGAAAGTTTTTTCGACAGCTAAAGATGGTAATTATACTTGTCCTTGTGCTCATTGTGCTTCATTGAATTTTTTTTTTTTACCTTAAATTTTACACGTGTAAATTACTTTATAACACAAGCAATTATACTACGTAAAACATATTATACGAGGTACTTTATTTTAAAATATTTGTTTCCAGGAAAACGCGGTATTTATGGCGTTTGCCAGGTACTTGTTACGAACGCAAGAATATTCTGCCGAAATACCACAGTGGACGCGCCAATAGAAGTTACTGGGCGTGGGTATCAAGTATTTCCATTTTAATTATCCTAAGATTTATTTAATTGCATTTTTTAATTAATTATGTAAAAATTTGTAGGTGACTGGCCAGGCGCGATTAGTGCAGTTCAAAGAAAGATGAAAGCGCTTGATTATAGAGTTCTCCTCAACGATTTACTTCTCCCGACCGTCCTGCAAAGATACCAGCAGGATGAATTCATTCATATCATCGAGGACAACAGCGGCGTTCATCGTGCAGGGATTATACGAGAGTGGTATTGAAATCAACCACTCTTGGTGAGACTTCCACACTGTGCGAAATCACCCGAGTTAAATTTCATTGAAAATGTTTGGGCCAAAACGACAGCAAACGCCATACCCGCGGAAGTGCAAAATATTGAAAATTTGCGCAATCAGGTGACAAGAAGCTATTTTCTTTTCCATGGTGATAATAATGAGCTTGGTAGGGCAGAGCTTGTTGAACAAGATATAAGAACGCATCACCCACCGTATCTATATGAAATTAAAATTAAATTTTAATATTATGAAAATAATATTTCAATTAAATGGTGTTTACCTATTTCGTAACCAAAAACACATGCTGTGTAACCGAGCATGTCAGCGAGCACGTCTGCTGCATAAAGGCTGTTCATTTCTCAACCATGAAATTTGACTTATCTAGATGAACTCCGAATTGTTACAACCTAATCTAAACTAGACCATTTCAGATCAGACAGATATAATCCACACCGACTGTACACTTTAAAGAACAGCTTATACTGTTCGACCAATTCTCTGTCGTCATCCGTCTTCATGAGCCAAACTGAGCGCTGTAACATCCTTGCGTCCAAAAATAGCCGCTTCAGATTTTTTCCTGAAACACAAGAAGAAAAAATGAGAATTTTGAAATTGTTTATATTCTATATTTTTCGAAATTCCTTGCTGGGTAGTCGAAAGCATCAAAGAAGTGATATTTTGCTTTCACTAGCTCCTGCGCAGTAAAACCAAAGTCGACGGACATTTTCAATACTTTTTTAGGATTACGATTGAGAAATTATAATAACTCGTTCAAAGCCACAGATGGTTTTACATAAAAACAATGTTCGAATGGCAGGCAACTTCACATGATTTTGTCTAAACGATCGAACTAAACTTGAAGTATACATGGAAAATTTAAAATTTAGTAAAATTCACTCGAAAATCAAATGAATAATTATATTGAAAAATTATGATTATTAATCTATAATAATAATAATTTATTATGATAATAAATCTATAATAATAATAATTTATCAATAATCATGTATCTTCTGACAGAACTTCTTGCGTTGACAAACTCAAACTTGTCCGCAAGAAAAGATTTATCACCACCAACGTTGCCTCTCACTGCGACAAACTCTCGCTTGTCCGCGAAAAAAGCTCCATAGATGCTGACAGGACATTCGTGTCTGTGGACCGCGGAACGCGAATCATCGCAAATCCTCAAATACGAGAAACGAGAGCTCGCTTAAAAAACAAAAGCATTTCAACATGGATTTTAAAGAAAAAATTTATTCAATGTGTACGGTTTCAAATTTATGAAAAATTCATACACAAAATTGCATTGTGGCGCATTCATGAGTTAAACTAACAGAAACTTAATGTTTAACTAACAAAAACTTAATATTTAATCATTAATTTTTTTTGATGAATTGCTGAAAGCGTCCTCCGTTATTTCTTGTCCAGAGAGTCATCCTCTTCTTCATTTGAAGTGTTGCTTCACAAATAGATTCTCGACAATATGTATTGCATTCTTTCTCGATGAACTCTATAATCTCGTGGACGATTTGTAGATTCTGTGTAGATATAGAAAATATTTGAAAACTGGAGTTATGATTTACTATCAATACGTTATTTAAAACTGATTAATCTTACCCTTTTGTACACGCGACGCTTTAAATCCGCCCAAAATCCAAAATCACACACGTTTAAATCTTGAGAATATGCTGACCTCCGTATTGGTTCCCCTCAACCAAGCCATCTATCTTCGAATCAGCGATCCAAAAACTCTCGCAATGAAGTAATGCTGTGGTGAGTAGCTCCGTCTTGCATCCATCAGGAATTTGGATTAATTTCCAGGAGCTGTGTAATGGCATATCTCCTCAGGAAGGCTAGATATGTTCTGGAGTTAATCTTCGACTATACGATTAATTAATGAATCTTAACTTTTTTGGTCTCGAATTGATGTTTTACAAAATACCTTTTAAAATCCGTATTCAAATACTTCAATAAATCACTTCATCCTTTTCATATATTAGAAGAAAAATGTAATTTTACCGAAAAAAAATCTTAATAAATTTTATATTATGCGAATCGAAATGAAACTTATTCAGGCTTCATTCTCAACCCAATCGGCAATAAATACAATTTGTTCACGTGTAATGGTTGAGGACATGAGGCGAGAGTGAGGGGAGAGCTTGGTGGGGCGACTACCGATTTCTATGGCTTACGTGTCGTTGATTTTGTTCATATTAAGTCAGTTATTAGCGAACTCACAACTAATTAGCATCTATTACCTCTGCTCAGAGTCGCCCTCGCAAGCTCTCGTCTTAGTCTCGGCTCACCACTGTGGAGCCCACCTATTTATACACACTTATTTATATATTAGTTTCAATAAAGTTCTGTTTATTGTTAAAAAAAAGAGTCTAATCACGAGTACGAGATTTGATTTTACGCAACACCCAAGTCCGACTCGTCGAGTTATTTATAAACAGAAACACAATTTATTCTAAAATCATGCATCGTCCGTTTATTCCTTTGTCGGATCACCTTCAGTTATAAGGCGCATAATACAACTCACTTCCGGACAAATCAAAGTAGTTGTTAACTTGGTTTAGTCAAAAGACTTGTATATGATATTTTCATTTTTCTACCCCAACTCCAACTTTCTGCTTCCCGCTTCTGCCGCTAGGTGGTGACGGAGCTGAAAGCACGTGTCCGCAAACGAGAGATCTCCGCGAGAGCTTATAAAGCAAAACTGCCTAACTCGGAGTAGCAAACACGTTTCTCATCACAAAATGAAACTCCTACATTCAGCAATCTCATATACCTCTTAGCTGCTTAGCCCTTCGCTGCTCTTCCTTCCTTCCGAGCTTTTACCTTCGTAGGCAAATTTGTCGGAAATGGATCGTATCGTCTCGAAAATCAAAAAGGCTCTATTCCACTCAATTTTGCACCTTCCGGAATTTTCTGAAATTATTAAAAGTACGGGTTATTGAAAGAAATTCGAGACATTTTATGATTAATATTTTTTTCCAATATTTACTGGCGGAGTTCTATCAACATTTTTCTATTTTGCACCCATTGCCATAAATTAATGTCGGTGAGTCTCAAATTCATCCCCGTCGCTAGATCTAGCACGTCCAATGCGACCACAAGCAGCGAATCAACGTCTATGGGCAAGCGATACACTCGAGAGTGTAGCTAAATGGAAGAAAAAAAAGGAGTAAAGTCATTGTCAACAGAGGCATTCAAAGAACCTACTCATTAGCGTTTTTGTCTTTTTTTTATTAAACCGAAAAGTAAGTTTTACTAGTCGGTAATACATTTTATTTTAATTTTTTTTACAATTTAATTTTTTGTTATGTATTCTACGTTTTTTCCAAGAGGATGTCGAGCTCATCAAAACCACGTTGAGGAGGAGTTTCGACGAGATCTACACCAAAAATATATTGGAGTACGAGCTCTTCAACGCCCTGCTGACGATCGTTCGGAGGAGGGAATTTTACGGCACAACCATCAAATGATTTATAAGTAATATATTCATTTTTAATGTAAACTTTTTTATTAAACATCTTCTGTGTTTTACAGAGAGAGATGTCAGAGATAAATTCAACTATCATTATGGAAGGACTTATGAAACTTTAAGAGACGGAACGAGGAGTTACTTTTTTATCGACGATCGAAGTTCAGTCCACAGATTATTAACTATCAATATGTAACGAATAATGTTAAATTTTATTTAAAATATAAATACATGTTTTGTGTGTTGTAATATTGTCAATTGACAAATACCTAGGAATGAATAAATTTTGTAAAATTGATAAAAAATATCATTCAAAATCTTTATTCACAATAAAATTTAGACATTACATTATTCAAGAATATAAGATGCCCTGTTTTGAGTTTGCTAAGCCATTGATAACTAAGCTTAGCACATAAAAACTCGATGACACTTGGATATACAGGGATAGAAAAGGAAAAGAGAGAAAAAACTGCTGCCAATTCATTGGTACACAGCTTTCTCATAAAAAAATTATCGCTCCTACTTCAGACCATTCCTTTTTTGAAGAGATGAACTTATGAGTATCGATGTATAATCATAAAACTTTATTCATCTTATTGCACACATGCAAAGGCCCAACATCGTGATAATGATAGCCACCAAGACCATCAGCGCGACCACGAGGGTTGATTGCATCTGGGAGGACGCGTCAGCCAAGCTGGCAGTGAAAATTTCTTGGATCTCGCTCTTTGAGGCTGGACTAGACGGTTCCACCTGACGGTGAACCAGACCACCAGCTGTTGAGCTTGCTTCTTCGGGGTTTTCAGTTGGTGCTTCAGTTGGTGTCTCAGTTGGTGTCTCAGTTGGTGTCTCAGTTGGGTTTTCTGTTGGTTCAGCAGCTGCGTCAACATCTGTGGTGGGAATCGCGTTTTGTTCCATTGCTTCGCCTGCTGGTAATGCCCTGGCACATGCAGTTAATGCCACCAAAAGGAATAAAATCTTCATTGATCTCATAGTTATCTGCACAAATTTAAACTTTATTAGTTAATATAGAAAATGTCAATAGAATCCCTACGGAAGTTCATCGCCACTCTAATTCTTAAAAACTCTTTAAAACTCTTTAAAAGTCTAAATAAGTCTTTAAAATTCTTATAAATGTTCAGATTTCGTACCATGATTTTTAAGAGTTAATAAAACTTTATAAGAGGTTTGAATGATATAAATAAATTTTAAAAATTTATTTGAAACCTGATATTTTGTATCCGAAATATTCAGACGGTTAAGGCAATTGCTCATTTAATTTAAAAAAATTGTTTACAAGTGACAATAATTGTTATAAAGATTTATTAAGATTTATTAGGAGTTATTAAGAGTTATTGAGAGTTATTGAGAGTTATTAAGTGTTGATAATAGTTTTCAATATTTTGAAAGACTTTTTTGATCAAAATCCAAGCTCGCCAAAAGTCATGGTGGAAAAACTATTCGAGCATCAAGTGTACGAAATCCGAACTCTTGTAAGACTTTTTAAGACTTCTTAGACTTTATAAAACTTTCTCATGAGATAAATTTAAGCTGAAATAGTAAAACACAAAAACTCCGTTAGTCGAATGAACTGATCCTTGATTTACCACATATTTTTTTCTTCACAATACTCGAATCAAAACATTACATAGAAATTTGCTTTTAAACTACACTCGAAACACTCAAGTAAAAAATTATTTCATTAAATTTTTTAGCGTTAATTTATTAAAAAATTTGACCACAAACACTGACATTTTTCTAAATTAATGAAAGTATGATAAATTGAGAATTACTTTTTACGGGAAACAACTTCCGAACGAGTATACCCACAGGAATAAGAACTTACGAGGCGTTATCAATGGTTCGCAGCTCTCTTATGAAGAAAACGAAGCAAGTAAGCGCCGAGATTTGTTAAATTCACTTCGTACAGACGACCCGAAAGTAATAGTCGACAGTAATAAAATTAAAAATAATCTTATCGAATTTGACGCACCGAAATTTTATGTGTCTACGTAGAGTAAATTTTAACTGTAAGGAAGCTTTTGAAGCTTTTTAAAAATATGATACTTTATCTTCTCAAATCATCGCAAATCATTACCACGTATTCTCATTTAATCGAGAGGTCAAAACTCGAATTATCGAGCTTCACCATATATATGTCGAACGTATACAAAATGTAAAAATAATTGTTTACACCTAAAATTATTGTCGTTTATTGTTAAAGTTTATTTAAATTGAGAATTTATGCAAACATATTTCGATACGGGGTCATTGTACGAATCGAACCCTTATCAATCCTAAATAAATTAATTTACTATGCACAGTAACTGAATTCATATCGTTGATTTGTCTGTGACTCTTAATTTCTCAATAAAAAGCCAAAAATAACACAAAAGAAGCATTGGCAGCGATTCACATTATCGACACGAAAAAAGCACGAAAAAAATTCTATCGCGTGTCGAATTGTCATTAATAGAATAGCATCGCGCGGGCTCACACTTTTAGCACTCGATGAATTTTACGAAAAAAAAACAGCAGATCTAAGTTCACGAGTATAAAGATTCGTAACGATACAGACAAGCAGTACTTGATTAGACTCGATTTTATTGATGCGATGACGCACTGTACACATTTTATATTATATGACGCGCGTGCTCATTTTGAAAAATTGTCGGGCAATAATAATCACGATATGGCACATACTTTCTTAAGACAGACATCCGTAATAGAGAAGATTGAGGATTGATCTATTGACGTTTAAAATGCTATGTATCGCTTAAAATATTTTTTTTAACTAAATTTTATGTAGGAATATTTTATGCAAATCGATCATTTCATTTTAGCAAAAAAATGATGCGTGGAGGCAGCAGCTAGCTGATGCTTATATAAATATAATAATTTGGTTTTATAACTATAATTTCTCGACGTTAGATATTATAGTCTTCCAATCAATATAAGATTTGAAACGAATGAGTTTGCGACCAAAAAATTACAATAGATTCTTTGTGTACAAAATTTTCATGAAATGCGGGCTTGCTACTGTGAAGAAATTAGATTCTTTATATTTCCGAGGAGAAAGTATTTTATAAAGCAATCGGTTGATTCTCCTGAAATCTGCTTTATTGAGTGTTGAATATGAAAAAATTGTGGAAACTTTTTTTACATTGAACGGCGAAAACTAGTATACCTTCTTTTAAACCATACAATATGAGTAATCGTTGAATCTGGGGCCTTGAGATTTTGTTTTTCGAAAATTAGGTTCAGTTTTATGCTCGACTATTTTATCTTTATCGCTCTTTATCGATGATGAAAAGCCAATTGTGAATGATGGAAATTTTAGGGCAATTTGGCGCATGAGAGTCAAGTGTGGCGATAAAAATTTAAAAAAACACGTCAAATCTGCACCTTTAAATGCTAAAACACCAGCCCAACGATTTAGAAGGAAATTATAGATATTTGTGGCGCTATAATAAATAAAAAAAAAACTGTGAGTTATATAAACGAGGCTACAGTATTTTCAATTCTCGCCGATGAAACTGCGGATATCTCAGGTTATGAGCAAATAACCGTATGTATACGATACATAAAAAAAGTAACAATTGCTACATTGCTGTTGAGGATTTTTTTAGGATTTGTCCGTTTAGAGCACGCAACAAGCGAATTTATAGCTAATGCAATTTTAGATTATTTACGCAAAATAGGTCTAAATTGCGAAAATATTGTTGGACAAAAATATTACGGAGCTGCAGCAATGACAGGATCAACAAAAGGCGTGCAAGCACATATTAAAGGAGCGAAAGCGATGTTACTTGCGACGATGAAGTAAGTTCAGCTTACGCTGTATATCGTATACAGAACGTATACTCATAAGGGTGGTCCACTTTTTCGAAAATTTATTGTATCTCGGGGGATCCATCGGAATCGGAAAGTTTGAGGTTTAGAATGAATTTTCCCGTAAACTAAAACTCAAAAAAATGATTTTAGATGGTGTCGATAGATTTTTGAAGTTTAAAAACGTGCTCCAAAAAAGAAGCAAAATCGGGCTATCATTCGATTTATTTCAAACTCTGTTTAGAGTGTAAAAATAATCTTGACAATACATTTTCTCATGTGTTTTTGTCTGCAGAATCGAATGCCGTAGTCAGTTTTGACCTAGGAGTACAATTTCCTACAAAAAAATATACTTTTTCGATCGTTCTTTTTCGCTAATTCCGCAAAGTTTATTTTCGAGCGAGTGGCAAATGAACAGAAAAATTCTAAAAAATTTTTAGACACCACCAAAATTTAAGGATTTTTATGACAAATCCAATGGTGTAAATTAGTATACACTTTGAAATTATTTTAATGCAGAAAAATACAACTTTATCCCAAAAAACGACATTACGAAAAATGGAAAAATCGAAAAGTGCATTAGTTTCTTCCAGGAAATGGCTGAGTAGAATCAACTATGGAAAAAATTCCATGAAACTATCTGATAGGTTTTTTTCTGACCTTTGCAACGCCGGTTTCAGAAGTTAAAAATTCGCAAGATTCGCTGATTTTTAGCTTAAATTCTGCTTCGCTGGTTTTTTAATGAATAGAGCTTGCTCAGAATTATTGAATTTTAAGCTTAAAAAATGCATCGTGCAAAAATAGCTGTATCTCAGCGAATCTTGCGAATTTTTTACTTCTAAAACCGGCGTTCGAAAGGTGAGAAAAAAACCTATCAAATACCTTTATGGAATTTTTTCCATAGTTGATTCTACTTAGCCATTTCCTGGAAGAAACTAATACACTTTTCGATTTTTCAATTTTTCGTAACATCGTTTTTTGGGATAAAGTTGTACTTTTCTGCATTAAAATAATTTCAAAGTGTATACTTATATATACCATTGGATTCGTCATAAAAATCCCTAAATTTTGGTGGTGTCTAAAAATTTTCTAGATTTATTCTGTTCATTTGCCACTCGCTCGAAAATGAACTTTGCGGAATTAGCGAAAAAGAACGATCGAAAAAGTATATTTTTTTGTAGGAAATTGTACTCCTAGGTCAAAACTGACTACGGCATTCGATTCTGCAGACAAAAACACATGAGAAAATGTATTGTCAAGATTATTTTTACACTCTAAACAGAGTTTGAAATAAATCGAATGATAGCCCGATTTTGCTTCTTTAATACTCATGCCTTGTGCAGGATCCAGCGCAATCTCATTATAAATTATATTGCTGTTTTGCTAATTGCCAAAATCAATATTGAAAATAAATAAAACTTTTATTATATCATCTAGCGCGTCGCGTTTTTTTTCTTTTTTTTTTTTTTAACGCAACAATATTATTATCAAACGCTGATAAATCATATGATAAATGAAAGAGAAGAATATGTAAAAAATACATGTTAAAATAACTAAGCAAAAACTACGTAATCAACAAAGCTATCTTGTAATATTAGTTTTTTTTTGCCTCTTGACTTCAGGTTCACCCGATTTAGTATCATTTTCATCTACCACTGAAGTCGAATAAGATTCGACTATTAGACTAAGCTCTTTTTCATCCACGTCCTCGTCGAAGAAGATTCTACAAACAAAAATAAAATAAAATTAATTACAATTATCTAAGTGTAAAGTTATAATTTTATTTATAAAATATTCCTCCGGGCTACAATAAACGGAGAGTTTATTACTATTTTGCTTTTCGTCTCTAAGATCTGATTGATATTTTTCGCAAATTAATCGAAGACTTGATTTTATTTTGCAAATATTAAATATAATAGCTTAACAATATATTAATTATTTTAGTTATCTTTACTTTACATACATACATTACATTCATACATACATATACGGGATATTCCACAACAGGTGTTTCAGGCCAAAAAATGAAGTTGAAACTAACCATTTACTCTTCAAAAACACAATGAAAAATGAAAATTCTGAACATCACAACCCCCTAGGTCCAACCTTTATGGATCTACAGGGTTCAAAGTTGGATTTTCATGTTTTGAGGATATTCTGCTTGTTACTCTGCACCGTGTTGGCCTGCAACACCTGTTGTGGAATAGCCCATACATACATACATGCTTACCTATACTTACTTATAGAATTCTTACCTGTAGTTTTCACATTAAACATCAAAATGAGAATAAACATCAAAAGATTGAAAATTATTTTTAATTTTTTTTAGGATTCGAAGCCTACGTAAAGAACAATTTTTGGCACTTGAAATCAAAATTTCAAAACATTTATGTAGGACGTAGGACATTACGGAAAATTCTACGTGGAAGCACTTTTTTTATTAAGGTCATAAAATAATTATAAAAAGAAAAATCATACAAAGAAAAAATTTCTTACCCTACAAATTGGTAGTGAGCGACAAAAATATTTTTCTTTTGAAAAAATTACAAAAGGCATCATTTGATTACTTATCTGATATAACTGATCATGTCACACAATAAAAATTTTAAAATATTTATAAATAATGTATAATTATTATGTATTGTTGTATAATAATATTATTCAAATTATAAATAAAATTATAAATAAAAATTATTCAAATTTATATGCTATTTTGTAACATGCGCGCTCAGCGGCAACTAGTACATAAATAATACACGCGACAATTTTCAACTATCGGTAATAGAAGATCACAGCACTAGGAAAAGTTAGCGCCCTTTATTTCCACGTCGGTTATTGATTCTTATTATACCATGTGCGGGTGGTGAGATGGATAATGCAAAGCAAACGATATTTCGCGAAATTCATGAAAATGTAACAGCGAAATATAAAACGAAAGAAGTTTTATCTTCTCTGCTTCGGTATAAAAGAGGGAGCGAGAGAGATGTGCTCCCTATTGCTCCACTATGCAAAGATTCGCAATCAAGTTTTGCAAAAATTCGCAAACGTTTATTAGGAGTTCATCACGGTCTAAGAGGAGAGCGCCGATATCGCTCATCAATTTCCAATATAGCAATGTCTTACGCATCTTCGATGACGAATGGCAAATGTTTCGCGAAATTCGCGAGCGCGTACCAGGCAAACACGATAGCGGAACAAGTATATACAGTACTTATATAAAGGGGCAGCGGCAACATTATATTATGACTAACATCGCTGCCTGTGTACGTGCGGTGGAGGCTCAAACGGTCTTTATACATTTATCTAATCAAGGAGCGCACGCGCTTCAGACTGGCGCGAGGTGCTTCTCCCGCGCCGGGGCTCGTGAGTTGCGGCTTAGCAAATAGCCAGTTTTGCGAAATCCGCACATGTGTATCAGGAGCGCAGAATCGTGCGAGGGGGCTACGAACGATCGAGTGGTGGAAAAATAGGGGCCATTTCATGTAAGCGACAATATACTCGTATGCAATTGCGAATGTATAGTCGAAACTGCATGTGCCTCCACCTCTTGCGCATGACCGATGACGAAAAGCACGCGCAAAGTTTTGCGAATTTCGCCAATGACGATCGGGATATCAGAAGCGATGAAGGTGTGGCGTCAGCAGCGGCAGCATCACACTACTGACTGACTCGTGGTCATAAACGCGCTAGCTGTGGTAGTCGTAACTCGTAAACGTAGATCCCGCAAACGCGAGAGCGCGAAACTTAAATTTTTATCATTTCGTGTATGCTGGATCTATTGAAATGCAACATATTTTAAATGGGTTTTCTCAATATCAGTGATATGGCTTTAGAAGAAAAGACTAACATTTTTTGCGGCGTTTCTTGATGAGCATATTCTCCCTTCACGAATATATTATAAATTCTTAGATAGAATCATTTCTAACAGATTTTTAGTCAGGATTGAATTGAAAATAAACAACTATATGTCTTAATGTGTGTACTTGTCGCGTTACATTATTTTCACTATAATTAATTCTTCTACATATACAAATTTTGCAAAATTCAATCAAAACAAGAAGTATTTGAAAACATATGCCAAGTATTGAACATTGTGATTTCACCTGCAGCATCTGCGAATACTGTCGGAACTGTGACTGTTTTTGGCCGTATGGGAGCTGACGTAGCGTCCGCAACGCGCGCAGAAGTCTACCGCATAAACATACAACGCCAGCTGCCTCGATAAGAAAGCTGCTGAACAGAGAGTACACATCTCAGTCGTCACTTGCCACCTCATCGCAATGTTGATCGACGATTGTTAGAATTTTTTATTAATTACGACGCTCGTCCTTGCGGGTGAACTAATATCGTCCCTTCGTTCGACTCGGTTCGTTGCTTATTGTTTCGGATAATAATCAAAGACTTCCAACATGTTTAACAAGTTATCGGCTTTCTGCCTGCTGCTGCTGTTTGTCGTGCAAGCGCAATGTATTATGTGGTACTTGGAGCCAAATACGCGTAAGTGTATTCGAGAAGAAATCCAAGGCAAGGTACCTGTCACCGGCGAGTACAAAGTCTCGGAGGTTCCCGGCCAGAAGGTCAACTTTGTGGTGAGTCTGGCTTGCATCGACCAAAGGAGTTATGCGCCCGCGAATTGTGTATTAACCTGCAATATGCTCGCTTCCAGCAACATTGCTAAACGATATTTTGACAATGAAAATTTTCCCTTATTGACTTTTTGTAAGAACAAATAATTTGCGGTAATTAAATTGTTTAATTTTACCTTTAGACTCAAGATTCAAAAGGACATATCCTTGCCCAAAAGGAAGATGTTCAACATGACAAAGTTTCTAAATTTACATTTGTCACTGAAACATATGATACTTTTGAGATTTGTTTCTCATCTCATGTGCCACAACGTATGTACTCTGATTCATTTTCAACAAATTTTATTTTTGAAAAATATATTTTTTTAAACAAACTAAATTTGTGGTTCTTGCTTTCAGATCAAAGGGGTATGAGGCAAGAAGTATCTCTCACTGTCAAGAAAGGTATTGAAGCCAAAAGTTACGAAGGTGTAAGTTAAAAAGACATCTTTTACCATTTTTAATTATTCCTACATTATTTTCAATTTTCTGTATACAATTTTCTTTAAATACATTATTTCTTTTATGTGGCTTTTTTGGACAAGCAGGTTTTGGTAAAGTTCTTATAGTTTTGAGTGCAGTTTTAAAGGCATGATCTCCCGTATAACACCATTCAATTATTTCTTTATAGTATTCACAAGTATAAGCATTGTTTTGAGTTAAATTCATGTATAAAAAATTATAATGAGTTATTAAATATTTTATTTGATGCATGATAGATGCAACATTTATTTATCAGTGATCAATCATTTGGTCATTAATTCATAAATTTAGAGGTAGAGCAATTATGAAAAGCTATTAACATTATTTATGACTATTTATTACAGTCCAAAGCTTTTATTTTATGAGTGAAATTGAACATAATGAAAATCTAGTAATAATTATTGTAATACAACTTTTTTTCCTTGCTTAGATTGGAGAAGCTGCAAAACTGAAGCCCATAGAAGTAGAACTTAAAAAACTGGAAGATTTATCTGAAGCTATTGTCCAAGATTTCGCTAGAATGCGTAAAAATGAAGAAGAAATGAGAGATACTAATGGTAATTCAACTTTAACGAATATTTAAAATTATGAATACTTTTAATTGATTTATATCACATGTTAATTTATAAATATGTTACAGAGGCAACTAATTCCAGAGTCTTATTCTTCAGTATATTTTCCATGATCTGCTTGTTAGGCTTAGCCACATGGCAAGTATTTTACTTGAGACGTTTCTTCAGGGCAAAGAAGCTGATTGAGTAAAAACTCTATTCTGTGTCTCATACATCTATACTGCAGCTAGGGTTGCAAATGTACATAAAATAAATGATTTGTTGAATCGAATGAGCTGAGTGGAATAAAAGAATTCTTGCTTCTTTCTCAAGGTGCAAAGTGAATGAGAATATTTTTTTTATTAACTTGTATATTAATAGATTTAGTATTGATACACAATACAAATTAATTACAAATCTTTAATGCACTTTGTTAAACATTTTCATAATTATGATTAAATATGATTAATTATAAAATTATCAATAAACTTTTAAATTTCATTTAATGTTTCTTTCATGAAAGTCTACTTTTTATATCTTAATCATAGAGTCTAATTGTAGAAATACTTCAGCACCTTAATGCTTAAAAACGTCAGCTAGTCTGGTAACGTGCAATGCAGACATCTTACAATATATTACGCTAAATCGGTGTATTTTCTATGACTACCTAACCTAAATTTCCTCGTATATTTTTAAATTTAACTAGATCATTTATAAATTAAAAAATAAAAAATGACAGAAGCCAGAAGTATTATATCTAGCAGAGACAGAGATTGTTGGGGCTGCAGATTAGTTAGTGGTTCCGGACTCATTGGTGCCGGACTTTACATACTTTATCATGCGAGGGGTATGACAAAAGTTGCCGGAAAATCTATCATGTTTACAGCAGGTGGAGGTAAAATTTTCACGACAATTCAGTCATTAGTTATAGTTAAATATTTTGATAAAATTTATAAGTCGGACAATTTTTTTGCAGCATCGATGGCAATTGGTTTAGCTAGAATTTTCGATTTCCCTCCCTTTCGACAGAAATACGAAGTAGCGGAGAACTGATATTTTTTGAATATTTAAAAAAAAATTTTGCTCTTGACTTGACTTTTACGTTGACTTAATTACAGTTATATTTTACCAAGTGTGAAATAATTTTAATACCAGCAATATGTAAATATATATTATTTTTAGAGTTTCACATTAAAAAAAAACATTGTAAATAGTAAATAAAATTTAAAAATATGTTAATAACAAATGAAAAACATTTATCTATCACCTGATGTGAACTCCTAATAATCCTTATGATGTTAGCTCCTAGCAATGTTAATATACTATTGTAGAATAACCTGTGTGATGTGTCATAATAGAAGGAGGGGGAAGCAATAACATGCCATATGAATTTTGCTATTTCATGAACAAAACTCAGCAGACTCGAGCTTATTCCGCATGGTTTTCGAGCAAGGGCTGATGTTGCACTATTGAACATCGCAATTTTGGTCAGTCATTGTTTGAAATGACTCAGAGGTTGTAAAATTTTACGCAAGCTTCTGCGAGATTTTCATATGTATAAATACTGTCAACGTTGTAGCCAAATCATTCAGTTGCTGTTTCATTGATATAACAAGGACGTTCTAATCGTAAGTGCTAAAGAGTCATTGGTGAAGACCTGTAAATAGATCCGAGTGACAATCTGACAGGGTTTGTTTTTACTTTTCAGACCTGGTTAAAATGGAGTTGCCACATTTAGGTGAGCACTGCGATGTCAAAACTTGCAATCGTTTGGACTTTTTACCAATAAAGTGTGACGCTTGTGAAAAGATGTTTTGCGGAGATCATATGTCGTATGCAAATCATAACTGTCCTAGTGCTCATAAAAAAGATGTTCAAGTACCAGTTTGTCCAATGTGCAATGCTCCAGTACCATCCAAGAGGGGTGATCCACCAGATTATGCTGTAAGCATGCACTTGGACAATGAATGTGGATCAGGGTACAAAGACCGTAGAAGAAGAATTTTTACAAATAAATGCTCTAAGAAAGGATGTAAAGTCAAAGAATTAATTCCAGTATTGTGCAAAGATTGTAGTTATAATTATTGCTTGGGTCATAGACATCCCACTGATCATTCCTGTATAGGACGTGATCAAGCAATGAGAGAAAAAAGACTCGAAGCTATTGAAAAGATGGAATTGAATAAAAGAAGAAGTGGAAATAAAAATACTAAAGATTTGCTTCGTGGAGTGCAAGGTACTTTAAATGAAGATGAAGCATTTGCTGCAGCTCTTCAAGCTTCTATTAATGAACAAGAGGGAAGACCAGCAGAGTGTTCAGCATGGAAAAATCAAAACAAATGTCAATTATCATGAATATTAGTTATAAAATTTTGATTTCTGCTAATAGGCAGAATATATAACGCTTGGGTACTGAACATTGGACTCTGATAATTTGAAGTTGTCTAGAATTCATCAATTAAAATATCTTATCTACTTATAAATTTTTATAAATATAAAATTGATGAACTTCAATTTTAATATGTTTAAATTTATACAGTTAAACAAAAATCTTATATGTAAATATATTCACTAACTGGTGCTTAAGTGATTATTCTGGAAAAAGTAATTATCCATGTGCTATTTTTCCTATTTTATAAAATTTACATAAAAAAATTCTTCCTATATTATAATAAATTTTAATGTTTAATTAATGCACAATTTCTAATTTTAAGCACAATCTAAAAAAAATTGTTATACAAAGTATGAAATACAAATATTTCACTGATTTTGTTAATATAGATTAAAAAATATTTTTATATTTTACTAGAGGAAATCAACTTCAAAAGTTGTTAAGTGTGATACATTTTGACCAAGGCAATTTTTGAATTGTACATTCCAAATGAATTTTCAGCTTAAATTTCAAGTTTATCTATTAATAAAAACAACAAAACTTTACCAAACTCTTTGCTTTATTTGATTTTTGAATCTTATGAATCATAAGACCTCAAAATTATTTTTCATGATTTATAAAAATGCACACACGCATTAAATACACAATTAAATATTTAGTTCTAATATTAATTTCATATAAAAAGTTCGATATCACATGAAATATTTAAATATACTTGAGAAAACTGTTATCGGTGATTTTTAAAGAGATATATTAATTTGATGTATTAAATTAATAATTCAATATTTTGTTCTATATTTTAGTATAATTAAATTTGAGCAGCTGAGATTTTTGAAATTCATTGAGCAACAGAAAAAACAAAAATTTACGTATTATATTATGAATTAATTTATGTACCGACTTTACCTAATTTAGTATCAGTTTTTGGATCAGCTGTTATTGTTTGTACACTTACAATAGCCTCATTGATTTTTGTTTGGAGGTCTCTCAGATCTTGAATATATAACAAACTTAAAATTGTAACTGCCTTATTCAAGAAAGGATCCTTGACTTTAAATCCAGCATTAGTGTCCATTATAGGGAAAGGTTGGCCAGTAACAATAACTGAACCTGGATTTTTTACAGCTTCTTCATTTAATCTCTTGCAAATAAACTTGGAGCATGCTTCAAGAGTTATTAAATGATTAGGGTGCTGTGGTATGTTCAATAATTTGGCTAATTCACTAACTCCTTTCTTAAAATCTTCACTTTGAACTGAAATTAAAATGTTAAAGTTTAGGATTTTAAAAATATGTTATTTTTTTATGTAAAATTATATTTACAATCAAGATTATCTAAGGGATTAGTTGATTTAACTACTGGCTGATCACTTTTCTTTTTGGTGCCCTTTATTGGCCTGTATGTATCACCTAGAAACAACAATAATAATGAGCATGTTTATTCAAAACGAAACAAAAAATTATAAATTAATACTCACGATTATCTTCATACTCTAAACGTATAGCCAAACCCACTAACCATTCCACCTTATCCAATGGGGTCTCAAACTGTGGACAACCAACATCTTCTAAATATTTTTCATATGTAGCAGGCCATTGTTGAGATTCAATATCTAATATCGCTCCTCTGTCATCGATTTTGTAATGTCGAATTTTTTGATTTTCAAGCCAACTTACTAACTTCTTAACATGTTGTAAATCTAGTAGAATCAAATGAATAATAATTTATTCAACCACTAAATTTGATGCTCAAAATATATCTAAAATTTAAAATATTTACCATTAGCGTCGACTTTATCGTATTCTTCATACTCTAGAGCTTGCAATCTTCTTTTAAACATTGCTGGCTCTTCTGAAGACAAAGTTTTTTTTAATCAAAGTTCAATTGATATGCAACTGACAGATGCAGTACCTACACTCTTATGTACCGGCTACCTACAATTTATAGTACTTTGTCAATTTCTTCCAAGATAACTGTGCGAATACAACAGACAGAATAGAAGTTTTGCCTTGCTATTTTTTGATGTTTAGTGTTACCCCACTATGTCTACTTTGATTATCTCATCTTTGGATCATCTGACTATGTCATCTGCACATGCTCTTTTATTCGCAGGTTAGGTTTTTTCGTTATCTTGATGTTGTTCTCGAACAACATCAGAAAGTATGTGTAAAGTAAATTGACAATAATTAATTCTTTTTCTGAACATTTATACATATCGAATAATGTTTTATGATATCTACTTGTAGCTTAGTGGAACCAAAACAAGTTAAGTCAAAAAAATGTATAATTTTGGAGTTGTCAGTGCATTTTCAAAGTGAGTTACAAAGTATAAATAAAAAATCAACGATTTGAATGTATTTACGAAAGTTTCGCATTTTTCAGGCACTTTTTGAGCAATGTACTGGTGCCCAGTCGTAGTGTTTTTACAAATTCTCCGTTAAATTTAAATGTCACAAGTGTTTTATAGTTAGTTTGACATTTTGTTTGATTTACTATGATAAAAAGTTAAATTCACAAAATATTGATGATTTATTCTTAAATTTTTTAGTGCTGAACCCTTGAAGAAAAAGAAAAGAATGGATCCAGCAATTATTAGGGCTCGAGAAGAACGACGAAAAAAAAAGTTAGAAAAGTTTATTAGAAGATTAGAAAAACATGCTCAACAATTAAAACCTATTACTGAACAAGAGATTCCAATTCAAATGAAAGATGCTTTAGCGTAAGATTTCAAATGGACTAATTCATGTCACTTGAAATATGTTTTATTATTTACTGTAACTTCCAATTTATAGGGAAGGAAAAATTGTAGTTCCTGAGCCAACACCTGAAGAAAAAGAAGAAAAATTTTTTGTCCTTAAGGACTGGACTAGATTCAAAACAAGAGAACATAGAACAACACTAAAATTGATAAAGCAGCTCGTGGGGGAAAAAGAAAAATTTTTAGAAGAATTAAAAAAAGAATCTCCAGAAAAATACGAAGAAGCTATTCAGGTACATACCATAAAAGAATTTTTTTTAAATAATTTATTTCCTACTTTGAACCTTTGGTCTAATGTGATATTTTTTATTAGCTAAATCCAAGTATACTGCCATTATCTATAAAAGGCCCAACACATTCACCACCAATAGAAAATTATGATGCACCTGACGGTGAATACTATGATGTAACCAGAAAATATCTTGGAGAAACGTGAAAAATTAAAATGTTAAAGAAATGATGGTTATTTAGAAATATTTTATTTATAGATTACAAACTCTTGTATATATAAATAATTCGTACACATTAAATGATTTGTTAACTACAATACGCCATACAAATTTATTGCATCTTCACCATCCATCATCTTAGTGTATTTTAATACTGTTGTGAAGATAAATTGACAATTTTTACAAATAATTAGATTTATAGTTTACGTTATTGCATAAGTTTTTCAATACAATAAGTATTTTATATTATTTTAGATATTAATACGATTCATTTATGATACTACGTCTATCAGGATTATACTAAAGAACCGTTGAAATATCACAGTAATGGTAATTAAAAGATGTATATCATCAAAGTAAGACCATTCAGACGCCTTGTGTTGTATCGCATCTCATTTAAACGCGCATCGTATCAGAGAAACACAAAGGGTTGCTTGCACAGAGGGCAGTCCTGAAGGTTCTTCAAGCACATCCTCAGGCAGCTGGGATGAAAGAGATGCTGGCAAGGCGTGACGCGGGCCAGCCTCATCGGGCCGAGGCAGACCGCGCAGACGTCGTCGAAGCGACGAATCTCCTCGGGACTGGCGCTCCTGAAGCGCAGCAGCAGGTCGCGCTCGCGGCGCAGCTCCAGCCAGTGGGTCTGCTGGAGCTCCTTGGCGCGCAGATAGACGTTGAGGTAGGCGACGATGGCGAGAAATCGCCAGGGCGCCGAGGCCAGCAGCAGCAGCACGAAGCAGCCCGAGAGCGAGATGGTGAAGAGGCGCAGCAGCACCGGCCCGTAGACGTGCTCGAGGCTCTCGAGCGACTCGAGGTCCAGGTAGCGCAGCACCTCCGGGAACAGCTCGACGAACGTCTTCTCGGTGGCCATGTAATACGCCAAGGTGACGAAGCTGTGCAGAGCGGTCGGTCTGAAAGCAGTCGAATAAAATGATCGGTCAATTGCTCGAGTGCCCTTTCTTTTTTCCGCCTTTCGCAACTGAATTTACGGAAGCATGTCACGGATATGATGCAAAAAAAAAGAATAGAAGCTCAGCACTGACGTCACGCTCACGCGGATGGGACGCGTCGATCTTCATGACGGGATCAAGTCATGGGTTTATTGGAGCGCGAGCTCGATTGCTTGAAATTCGATTATAATCAAGCGCTCAGCGATTGATTAAATTAGAAATATGCAAATGAAAAGCCTCAGGACTTTGAGCGTCGATGGAGACACGTCTTCGTATATCGTATGCAGCGCGCGGTCAAAGGCGAGAGAAAATGCGGAGTCGCGCAGCGCTCAATAAACGATAAATTACGAGCCATAGGCCGAATGATAGATATCCGCGCGCGCGCACGAGAGCAATCGCTAAAAAGCGCATCGCAGCAGATTGCCCGAAGATAATTCCAACTCTTTTGAACCACTACGAACCCCTTCGATCCAGTTCTCATATACATATAATACTTACTTGTAGTGATGCATGGTACTGTCCATGAGTGCGAAAAAAATGACGGAGAAGGCGACGGTGACGAGGAAGCTGACGGCCTTGGACCACTCGAGCACGAACTTGGTCGTGGACAGGGCCAGGTGCTTGATGGGCGAGTTGTCGGCGACGGTGACGTACCACCTCTGCTGCTCGGTGAAGAGGCAGCGCACGTAGCCGAAGCAGTAGGCCAGCACGTTGTAGAACATGAGGCTGTAGAGGCAGCTGGCGTAGCGACGGCCCGTGCTCGGCAGCAGCAGCCGCTCGGCCAGCGCGAAGAACAGCATCTGCTCGACCAGGGTGGCGAAGTTCTTCAGCTTGAGGACCGCCTGCTCGGTGCGCTGCATCCGATGCATCAGCACCTCTCCCACGGCTGCGGCGTGCATAAAAAAGAGAGAGAAAAAGTCATAGCTCGAGAGCTTCGAAACGAGAGGAAGGATTAGAACGGCGAAAAAAAAAATCCATTAGCATATTAATGCAGTTTTAACGCGCTCTTGGCAGCCCTCCTCGCCTCCCTTCCGTCTACTTGTCTCTTTTGTCGTTCGTCGATCGAGCGCGAGCGAACACGTCGACTTTACTCGTCGTCGTTTCTCTCTCTCTCTCTACGTCGATCCGGTGGACCGCGCGTGGGCTATCCTGCCTTGGATGCCGCCGTTCGTGCTCGATCCTCGTCGAGGGCACGTCGTCAAGCGGATAAGTGGCCGGCCGCAAAGTACACGATGATATAATGGATACGATGGAACGTGCGATCACCGGAGAAAGAGTAGAAAGAGCCGAGGGAGTTGCGAGAGAGAGAGAGAGAGAGAGAGAGAGAGAAAGAGAACACTGCGGCAACGACATGCTCGCGGCGCGGTGCGCGAGCCCGAGTATAAAAGCTCCAGGCTTTGTGCGGTACGTTCGCATTTACAGCCCGTCAACAGCCAAGGCAGAGGAAAACGGAGCCACCACTTGGGAGCGAGCGCTGTTGCCGATCCATCCGAATAAAAGCCATCTCTCTCTCTCTCACTCTCACTCTCGCTCTCTCACTCGCTCGAGTCGGACGTGGAAACAGAGAACATTCATCGCGCGACGACCTGTGCTTTGCGAGGATCCACCCAACAACCCTTCTTACCAAGGTAAGTTCTTTGTTCTTCAAACGTATACTCCGATTTCCGTCCCGACGGAAGCGATTGATAATCGCACCCTCGAAAGTATCGTTTTCTCGTCGTTGAAATGATTGATAATTTGTCAGATTTGGCTCGTTTCAAAATTATCGGTTCGCGAGGCGCGCATCAATAATACAGCAATTAGTGCACAAACTATACTCGCAGAGATAAAGATTGCAAAAATCGGTAAGCTAAATTAAAGTCAGAATTGACAAATAGGTATATGATGTATTCATTTTATTTTATTTTTTACTTTTTTTCCGCAAAGGGGGACAGTATTATTTATTCCTTTGACAGAAATTGACGATTTCTCAACTTCTAGATGAGATATCATAACAAAAAAAAAACAACACGAAAATTCAGTCACGTGACTTCGGACATATCGAGTAAAATTCGCAATTGCTCGCTCGAATTAGTATACCCTCGATGAACATACGATAAAAAAAGCAAGTTATTAGAATGGCCAAAAAAGGCGAGAAAAAAACTGACACAAAAACCTCAAGGTCAAGTTTTGGGCGAAAATGATTTTACGCGAGAAGTTATCCCAAACTCCCCTAGATATATACGTGTGGATCGTCGTCGGGCTCTCACTAAGCAACTCTATTAACATATATATACCACAAACAACACATACGCGCACACCTATACAGAGTCAAAATTATAATTTACGCACGCGAGTTTTCGAGCTTTTCGCTCTATTATATGAGCTACTTATCATTCGTTCAAAAAGAACGCTACGCTGTGGCCGCTTCTGCTTCTTCGCGGGCCAAGCAGATGCCCCGTACGCTAGCTATAAAGTATATAGCTGTCAGTGGCTCACGTTTGAAAGTATCTATGCGTGACCTTAATCACGGGGCACTGTGACAAACACGCTATAATGTATCTCTATTTCTTCGTATATATTATATTTGTTTTCTGATTTTATTTATTTTTTTTTTCTTTCTCGTACGCTTCGGCGGCCAATTAGACAAGCGATACGGAGTTAAGATGGTCACGTTTACACAAAATAAGCAAGAAAAGGAATATTGTGACGTAATATGGATTAAGATTATTATAATGAGTTATATATACTACCTTGTAGCTCATAGAAGCCAGGCAGCTCGGTTTCCATTGTGGATTAGAGACGCGCGACTGACGTCTTTCTCTTTCTTCGCTTCTTCTTCTACTTTTTTTTTATTATTACAATGGGGAGCGAGAGAGAGAGAGAGAGAGAGAGCACGAGAAAAGGTATGGAACCGCGTGCATATACGACGAAATAAATCGTTTGCGCGTTTACAACTTGAAGCAGCGCGTAGAAACGAGATGCTCGGTTTTGCGCGTCGAGAGCTTGCAGCAGCTCTCTCTCTCTCTCACTCTACTTGGTCGCGCAACACTCGGACAATCGAGCTATATACACTGCGAGCACTATTTCTAGATTTCGCGCTCGTCATGATCGGTTGAAAGCCATCCACACGGCGCGCGCGAAAAATCATGCAATTTCGTGTGCGTTGCCGTCGCACCGATGATCATCCGAAGCTGCTGCTGCTGCTACTGCCGATGTGCTCTTAATAAGCGTGCTGTGGAGCGCGCGCCCGATCGAGTTCGAAGCTTCGCTCTCATCCGATAACTCCGAGATAATATACGTGCCGCGAGTATCGCGATACACGCGGGGGGCGGGGAGGAGAAAGAGGTCCAGATTCGTGTCCGTGATAAGGTGTAATCGTCCGATTTCCGAGCGATAAGCACCGCACAGACGACGAATAACTCTCCGACAAATCGAGATATAAGACTGGGTGCGCGCGCTTCGCACACCAGTGCGGGTACAAGCTCTAGATCGCGCCTCGCAAACATGCATGCTTGTATACATGCCTGCAGCTCGAGCTGCTATTATTATCGCACGTGCTCTCTCGCTCTCTCTCTTGGCTGTCTAATTCTTCGCTTCTGTTTCTTTCTCTCTCTCTCTCTTTCTCGAATTCGTCGTGTGCGTGCGCGAACGGTAAAGTCATCGCCTATGCACGTGGCGGAGGCTGCGCTGCGCGCGGGGGTGGCGCGAGTCTTAATTTCGCGAAAAGGAGGAAAGTCTCTCTCTCTCTCGGCTGACTCGTCCTTCCGGAAATATAACGATAACTATATACGAGCGTGTAACAGCAAAATGGAAATATATTAAAGAGCTATTTTGATCGTGCCGTCCGCTCATATAGAATATACAAGGAGGAAAGTCTGCGCGTCGGGCAATGTGTTAATCGCGAGCGCGTGTAAAAGCGCGTGACGAGAGAAAAGCCATTCACGTATGCATCGCGACTATATGGCTGATTCTCTGAAGAAACACGAAATTTAACCGCGTGTCCTAAAATTCTAAAGAGGCGCGATACACGCGTGGAAATGAAAGCTCGCCGTTGCTCTTGTATAGGGTGGTTTCTTCATACCTTTGCACCGAACAACCATCGTAATTTGTTTCTTGTTACATTTTTTTATACTGGGATAAATGTGCGAAATTTCCCCTTCGTACCTTGTTCAAAACTTCAAATTGTTTTCGTTTACATCTGTACGTGTATCTACGAATCAGCCTTCTGCTGACCCAAAATAAATTATTACTCTATATCGTTGATATTTCTTCACAGCATATATAAAAACCTCATGATATGAGAAGTATATGCTTTGAAGTGCTCAAAAAAGTCTTTTACAGATTTTATCTCACAAAATCATAGAGATACCGTAAATGTCAAAACAGTTCATTTTCGACTTCCGTTTACTTTTTTCGGCTCCTACGGCGCTTGAAACGAACATTTTCATTTATAATTGAAAACCTTTTCCAATGAAGTACATATAATTTTCGCTTCAAAGTGAAAATTGTGAAAATGGCATCTTTGACAAGAAAAAGTTCGATGTTAGCCAAAAAAATTACACCGAAAACATTAGATATTATAGAATCATAATATTAGATTGCAATAATGATCGTATGTAAAAACGGTGACATACTTTCCTTAAAAATATTATTGTGATTCGTACACATAGGTATGGGTTAAATAAAATTATTAATTTTCTGTACGATAATAGTAAACGTGGTATTTTTTCTTTTAAAAAAAATTAATTATTATTTTCAAATAAAAAAACGGCTTGTACAATTCTCGTACAGATTCATCTGGTTAAAAATGACGATCCTGCACATTCTTGTATCTACAAACCGCACTCTGTTTACTTTATTTCATTCTTTATTGAAAGATTCATCTTCGATAAAAAAGGGAATCTTCTTGTTCAATTCAAAAGAAAATAAACTTTGTCAGCTTAAGCCACACTAAGCCAGCTAATTATAAATTATTTTTTGTGTAATTTGATCTTGTTTTGAAACAGAAATCGCTTTTCTTAACGAAGAGGTTTTGTCATGTGTTTAGGTACAAATGTTATCGATTTCACTCATGTTAATATTGTATTCGATAAATATTTTGGTTTTTTTTCAAGTAGTTGCGTCGATCAGCAAGTAAGCGTATAGTATGAGAGGACTGGCCTAACTCAATGAAAATGAAAACTAAATGAAAATCAAGAGAGCGCGTATCAATGAACACCAAAAATTCCTCGATCGGCAGGTCATTGTACGATCGAAAAACAGTCTTTCGATTGGTATACCGCAAAGATTCTTAATCATGCAGCTAATTATAAAAAGCGCACTATGTTGACATGATTATTATTCCTATTCATCTTAATGTGATTAATAATAGATAACATGAACTATATCCAAGGAAATTGTGCGCATCAATATTTTAAGAAAATTGACAAACAATAACACAAAAAATCTTTTAACCACTATACATTCAAAAGTTATCTTCGATCGTATGTATTTTTAATGTTTCGTGTCATTCATGTAGGAATTGCCCGAAGAGGGTATGAACAACCTACCGGAACGTCACGTACTCATCGCTGTGTAATACACATAAAAGTTGAGCTAATCAAAATCAAATTAATTCCCTCGTAATTAATATTTTGATTTTTATACAAGTATGACTATGAAAAATACTTAGTTCTACAGAGATTTGAAGATGTTACGTTTCCGGTTTTGATAAGCTGAAATAGAGATATTGTCGTAATTCATCTCTTTCGATGTACATCTATACATACATTTCGATGTAATCAAAAGATAAAAGGCGAGTATGTTTTTCAAAATTTTTAGAGAAGATCTAGGCCCCAAATTTCACGTAGTATCTTACTTACTCTAAAAATTATTCATTTATTTTGCTTTTCGATCAGCATGAAAAAAGTTAAGATGCGCAAATTTAACTTTGCATTTTACTCGACTGGATTTGGTGCGTAGACATTTTTTTCATTGAATTACTCAATCCTTTGCCATCAAATCAAGCCGTTTTTGGTAACATTCTTATTATTTTAAATGAGTTTATAGTCACAACGTCTCAAAAACTCTGCTTACCCTGCAAAAGTGATAGGACGGAAACAGATTCTACGCGTGTAACCAGCGATCTTAAATACCGGTACATTGTTGTAATTCACAGATTGAAATATTTCTCGAGTAAAATTGTAGCGCTGTTCTCTCTATATCCAACCTAAATAAAAAAGTGATGTTTTATCAATGAATAAAATGTCGCGGTTATTCTCCAACTCGAGTACTATGAACAATACGTCGGAAACAATGTTAGTCGAGATTTCAGTAGAAACAGCCATATACGCATACATAATACGAGCCCCTTCTGCCGCCTACTCGACTACCACATAGTGCAACTTTATTTTACGCATGTCTCCGCGTATGCGTGTGTGGTCTTTCTTTCTCCCGATGGACTTTTGGAGCGTCGCAGCAGCAGCAGCGGCAGCGGCATATCTTTCGCGCGCGCAGCTCGCTGCACAGCTCTCCAAGTTATATAGTAGTGAACTTTGAGTGCGACGAATGACGAGGCCGCGTTATTAGCCCACATTCGACTCGTCGTCGAGTTATTATACTGTATATGCTTCGTGTGCGCTGTGCTGCGTGGTGTTGTGGTGGTGCGCGCGCGAGATGACTCGGCCCCGCGGCCCGGCTTCATTCGCACTCCACTCCACTCTCGGCTCCCAAGACGGGTTCGCGCAGCAATTTGAAACGTCGTCGACGCGCCAACTATTTTTCCTCGCGTGTATATAAATCACGTCGGCCTGATCATTCGGCACAGTGTCTCTCTGTGGGAGTTGTAGTTCACGTGTGCGATTGCCGGTGCGTGTGCGTGAGCTGAGTGCGTGTGCGTGTATGTGTGGGTTGGCATTAAAAGACAAAAGTGCAGTTTAAATATACAGCAGCGAGATCGATAAGCGCGCGCGCGCGACCGGCAATTGTATCTCGCGCGCTCAACCGAGCGGAACTTTTCTCGCTGCAGCTGCAACGCGATCGACCCATATATACAGACGCTTATATATATACATATAATAAACGTACACACACGCGTGGCACTGCACCTTCGGGCAAATCGCACGAGTCGATCATCACTGGATCATACATGGAATCGTCGTAACGCGCATTACGATTGTCGATTGCAGAACATTCGTCATCCCCCCGGATCCCCCAGAGGCGAGAGCTGTATTAGCGCGAGCGAGCGAGAGTCATGCACGAGGCAAAGCCAATCACCAGAACCACCCGCGCTCTCATATTCCTGCTTCTGACTTCTCTGCCCATGTAAGTATAAAGCTTAAATATGTATATTCCGCTCGCGAGAGAGCTTTGACATTCCTCTCGTATTTGTATTATATTCGGCCGCGATGACGACTCACCGAGTCCGGAGGAGAGATCTATTAACGATTTCGTTGATTTATTTTGTTTTTCTGCTGCTCGCGTGTGGGAATTCTCCGATGTGTGCCGACTCGTACACGCGCCTTGGCCTGTGCCGTGTGTATATATATAGGCTGCCTGCTCATCCGACGATAATCGAGAGGGCGGAGGCGCAGCTCCAGAGGTCCGAGTGCGACGGCTGCGGCGACCAGTGCGCCAAGTGCAAATATGGTAGCGCCTTTTCGCGCTGGTGCGGCTTGAGGGAATGTCTCAAGGTATTTATCCAATTTTCATTATTATTCATTCGTTACAAATTCATAAATAATAAATAAATAATAACGCGAGAGCAGCAGCTCCGTTTGTTTACGCACTTTCTCCAATCTGTGTGCGGCAATTTACACTTGGATAGCACGCGCTTGACAAATGGCAGTGCTGCTGCTGCTGTTACTGTTGCGACTTATGAATTCGCGTCGCGTCGTCATCGCTTCTCTCCGCATGTGCTCCACGACGCTGCACTTTCGAAATCTCTCGCCGCGATCGCGTACATTTCCGCTTCGGGAGATGCACTCTTTGCGCTTAATCGCTTGTTTTTCGCTGAAATTTATTGAACATTTATAACGGGCTTCGAATGTGTATATGCACACGAGATCAGGGCAGAGTTATGCGCGAGTCGTGTACGTTTTTTTTTCTCTCTCTCTCTTAACTATATATTATTATTCACAAAAGCGAAACGATCATCGCTGAATGACAATGCTCAATTTGTCGGATGTCAATCGTGGGGAGCGCGCGGATAAGAGAAAATTGCACAGCCGCGCGCCGCGAGTGAAAGAGAGAATACACATAGATATATAATACGGCTCGCACGCGCTTATACCCGACTAACTTATTTTCTTCGGGAATTTTAAGACGAGATAACGTGATCCAAGCTAGAGCTCGCGTTTATCTACAAACACGTGGGCTTCTTGGTTGTTACTGCGTGACGAGATTGTGCATGTACACATGCGTACACACACATGCACATACGTACGCACACACAACAGGACTTGATCCAAAATTTTGTTTTTTCTTCTGTTTTTTGTTTTTGATAAATTAAAGGCGTGTACATAGAAGCCGATTATCTAAAAAAGCTTACATACTCTCGCGCGAGCGATTGCGCATTTACTCGCTGTATGAAAATTTAGAAATATAACGCGGTCGCGTTGATCGGGAAAACCGCGCGTCGCCTCGTTATAACGAACGAAACGACGTATAATACGTACCCCCGCGTCGATCGACTTGAGATGAATTCATTAGCGTCAATGCTGAACGATAAGTACTTGAAAAAAAGGAATTAATTATATTCACTTTGTCATGTCTAGACGGTGCACGATATTTCTCGAACTCGACGAATAATCGTTCTCGCATGCGCGCGCGTTGCAAAATCGAAAATTTTTTTTCCCCCCAAAACAAAAAAAGAAGTATTGCAGTCACTGCGCTGTGCCATGTAGCGTGCCGTGCTGGTCGACGCTGCTTCTCTTTCTTACACAAAAAAAAAGATAAATAAATCATCCTCGCGCGAATCGCGCGCCGAACGATAGACCAAAATTAGCGCGTCAAATCGTTCGAACGCGATTCGCGAATTCGATGAACCGCGTGGAAAAGCAAAATCGATCGCGCGCGCGCACGTGTGCACGGGGCTTTGCCGCGATTACGCATAGCATTAGAATTCTCGAAGAGACAAAAAAAAAACAACATACCAAGCCGAAAATCATACATCCATTTATAGACTTACGTAATCGTGCGCAGTGATTCTGTTTCATTTATCTATATCTTGCGCTCTTCTTGTCACGCACGCCGTGCTGTTACAGGGCCCGGGCGAGATATGCGGCGGTGCGCGCAACAAGTACGGCGTCTGCGGCGACGGCATGTACTGCCGCTGCAACAAGTGCACCGGCTGCAGCATCGACACCCTCGAGTGCTTCAGCGGCTTCTGTCCCGTCTACGAGCAGCAGATACAGCTGAGACACCCCGACAATCTGCAGGGCTTGCAGCTGGATAAGTAAGACGAAGATTGAGAATTTAGCTCGGCTCGTGACTATTATTATCGATAATGATTAAAATGGCTTTAAAATCGTTAGTTACCCCATCCTCCGAGAGTTTCCCTGCTTAGACAATGGAGTCGATCGATTTGAAAGCTTTTTTTTTATATAATATATAATATATAAATGTATGGAACGAAAAAGTATATTTATACGCAAAAAAATGTATGTAATATGTGTATAATGCCATTCCAATCAAAACGATCTCAATAGGTAGGTACATTAAGAGAGTGAGAGAGAGAAAAAGATTGTAAGAATGATACTAGATGAGAAAAAAAAAGTTGCGTTATTGTGATAATAGTGGCATGCCCTTTCGGTGCGTACATACATGGGATCGTTTAAGTGGCAATGTCCCCTCCCACCTCCCGCCCAAAAAAAAAACTGAGCTGATTTCCTAATTAATCGTTATTACGCGCTATCGGTTCAAAGGGGCATTACTCTTTGATCGCCCTCCCCTTCCGCCTGCCATGACTATTGTATCAGTTGTAAGCTATTTGTGACCCTTTGCTCGCCTCTTTGAATTTTTTATTAATTTGTATACCAGCGAGCACAATGGACTTGGAGTCTGAGTGCCGAAGACAGCAGTGCAGTGGCCCAAAATTGCGAAAAAAAAATACAGTCGAAGCTTGAGTACATAAATAGACAACGAATTTCTAGTAGTTTATAGAAATACAGAGATGGGCAAATTTTAAAAGAATCCATGATTCCCATTGCTTTACTAACCTGTATTAGTTGGGATTAAATATATGATGAATGGTGATCTTGTTTAAATGAGGTCATGGCTACTTTCAAGAGCTGCTCATTTCTATGAAAAATAGTTGCTAGGCATTCATTATTCTTTCATTTTATTTATATCATGTTTTTTTTTCACAATTTTAGTCACTGCGCGAAACCGTATATGTTAATAATTTATAACTCTTCCCGCCGATGAATTGCACTGTTTTATTGTATAATTTCGAGTTTAAGAAAGATGGAGGACAAAAAGTAGCGAGATAATTATACTACATTTGTTGAATTTTTTGGGCATTTTCAATGGCTGTGAAAAAATTGTGTTTATTGTAGATCACACTTGTAATTTAACATAGAATAAACTATAAAAACAAATAAAATAAATAAATGAATTAAAAATTACATCGAGCAAAGTTTCATGACAATGAAAAATGTATAATTAAAAGGTGAAAGGAGGGTTGTGCACTGAGGAAAAAATTAATTGATTCGACAACATTTCATTTGACATTTCACACACTATTGATTCAGTTATGAAGATAAATTATAATAATACGATTTTTGGAAAATCAGGGGAACATTTTTTTGGTCACCAAGGAGAGACAATATTAGTTCAAATCGAAGAAATATATTGTTATTAAGCAATTATTTCTCGTCATAAAATCAAACAGATCCATTCAATCATAATCAAAGTTTGTTATGAATGCTATATCGTAATACAATATTTTATTGATTCAACTACATATTTTTATAAAATCTAAATTAGTAGTAATAATTTACAAACTCATAAATTCAATGGAATCTAGCACATATTTGTACAAAACGATAGAATATTTCATCATTTGAACTAAATATTTTTTAAGAAATCTGTAGTCGTCGAAGCAACTCAGCGATTAATGAATTGCACAAGATCTTAAAAAAACAAAATTAGCTTCGTTCCTCCAATGCTTTTTTTCTCGAGATAAGTGAGGGTAAAATGAAATTTTCCTAAATACAATCAATTTATTTCGCGGCACATGCTAGGTGGTACGTGTATAGCATAAACTACATATTATATTGCAGTATTGATAATGGCCACTCAATATAACCGATGCACGCTTGGCCAATATTTTACCAATAACTAGTCAAATAAATTGTGCATTTAAATAATAAAATGTAATTTACCTATCCCTTAAGCAAAATGCCACATTGGCAGACTCATTTCATCAATCTCTTACTTCTCATTAATGTCGAATAAATCCACTTCATTACTATTCCGGGAATGAAGAAAAAAGCTCAAAGGATAAAGTACGAAAAGTCATTGGAAAAACAAAACGTAATTGAGATCCATTCATGCAAAGTCAGATACAGGGGTTGTTGCTGCCAAAATATTTGGAGTCATGACTTGTCCATGTTTTCGAACATCGCGTCGACATTGTCACTTTGAACAATAACGATAGCTACAACACCATCGAGTAATGTACAATTTTATTTATACAATTTCATTTATACAATCATATTAAATTCATTTATTTGTTGTTTTTTTTTGTACTATCATTGCATGCGAAAATGTGTAAATTGAGTAGAAAACAGTTTATTAATGAATTCCTCGACAAAAAATATACAGATTTGTTACTTCCATCATTATTTTTTTTCTTATTTTTCCCCCCAACAAATCATTACAAGTAGGTATGTATAAATGCATTTTTAATATAAAAACTCTAAAAGTCACTACGTTACACTTAAATAGAGCGTCGATACAGCACATACATTAACAATTTTAATACGCAAGGATGGAAAAGCGACAAGACGCGCAACAAGACTTGCACAGATAAATTCGAAACGATGACATTATCGTAGCTCCACGAGAGAGAACTGCTGCTGCTCTTGAATCGACGCTGGACCTTGATCCACTATTTTCGCTCGGTTTATAAATTGAAATTTAAATGTCTCTGTACAGATGCGGCTCTGTATGCGCGTCTATATATACGTGTGCAAGCATACGTGGTGTGCTCGCTTCCGAGGGTACACCGGCTCATCTGCATATTTGGTCTATGCACGCATATATCTGCACGATTCTGTCTCACTCCGTCGATAACGTTCGCAGAGACTTTAATGAATAATGCACGCGTGTATATCTCTCGTTTGAGCCGTGGTTGTCGTAAACTACGTTTTCGAACGCGTGCGCCTCACACACCACACATACACACCCATGATCGACACCGGCCGCGCGCCGGTGCTTTTGATGGCTAAAAATAATACTTTTACAAACGTTTAAAAATAAAAGCGGATTACTGATTAAGTTAAAAAAAAAAAAAAAAAGACGAAAGAAAGAATTCACGAGTGTGTGTGTGTGTGTGTGTGTGTGTGTGTGTGTGTGTGTGTGTGTGTGTGTGTGTGTGTGTGTGTGTGTGTGTGTGTGTGTGTGTGTGTGTGTGTGTGTGTGTGTGTGTGTGTGTGTGTGTGTGTGTGTGTGTGTGTGTGTGTGTGTGTGNATCGATAAAATAACTTGCAATCGTCATCGCGTCGTACGTGCGTGGGCGTGCGTGAGCGCGCGCGAGCAGGCGAAAACACGCGGCAAAACAAAAACATAACAGCAGCACCTCGGGTGCACATCGCGCACACGCGCACATATATATACACACGGGCGGTCAGAATAGCGATCGCGAAAACAAAGTAATTCGCTGCATTAACGTTCGTTGAGAACGAGTTGAACGTCGGAATGAAAACCTATATACGTTCCGAGGCTTTGTTTATGTGAACAATTGTTTGGGAAACGTATACTGCATTTAGCCAAGGAAAAAAATCATCGAATGCGAAATGAAATGTGATATCGAGAGCCCCCGTTGCGAGCTTACGAATTATAGTACCTTCCAAGCTCGACCAAAAGTAATTTCGAAAAGTTTTTCCATGAATTTTCTTGAATCATGATACAGTTCGATGATCGAAAAAACGTCTATCCCGCGTACGATAACGTGATTAGTCGAAAATTAATGGGGGCGAGGCTGTATCGATTACACATGCACGTTTTTACGCACTCGGAAACACGCGCGGATATTCAATCGATTAACACAGATAGACTTTTAAAATAAGACCGCGTGAGCACACGTGTTCGCGATGGAGCATAGAAAAAATCGGCCACTCCTCTCTCTTTCTCTCTCTCTCTCTTCATCGATTCGCGTTCCGTTCGGAAAACTATCTGGGTGCAGCTTTTTCACCTGCGTATATGATAAATGACAAAGTGCATCGACTACTTAGCTGGAATTATTACAAATTTAAAGTCTATCTATCGTATACGAACTAAATTTTACGTACTACACACTATACAAAACGATGCTTTCTTTTTTAATTTTTCGCTTTTTTATGTAAATCTGGAAAAGTCGTATAGGGACGCGATCGAGCTCGCGCGATCATTGTCCCGTCTGTTTGAGCAACTTCCTCGTCCTGAAGCCCCGAAATCTGGCCTGTATCTTGGTCGCGGCCTCGTTCTCGTTGTGACGTCGTCTGCGCTCGAGAAATCCTCGGACGCGCGCCTGGATGACCGTGGCCGATTTGTCCTCGAGCGACTCCGAGCCCGAAGACTCGCCGTCGTAGCAGTCGTAGCTGTGTTGTCGGTGAAGTTGATGTTGCTGTTTGGCTTCCTGCATGCGGATACACCAATTACAATTCCATTTCATTTTATTTCTTTGTTATCAATTCTGAAAGACTGGCCGTGGCGTGATACTTGTTAGTCGAATTAGTGGGCAAATATACGTAGCGAAGCTTTAAAAAGCGATCGTCAGAGTGATAGAGAGAGAAAAAGAAAGAGAGAGAGCGAGAAGCAGTTGGCAAACGTGCGTCTAATCGGCGATGATCGTAAAACTTTGAAGGAATTTGCGCGCGATCGGAGTCTCGAGTTCAGTTTTAGCAAGCTTTAGTAAGCTCCGAGCCGAGTCGAACTGGCCGAGAGAGAGACGTTAGATAATCGGCGCATACCAAAGTCACTTTTCGTCGATGATGTTAAGCGGTGTGTCGCTTTCTTGGACGTTTCTCTCTCTCTCTCTGTCTCGGGGATTACGTAAAATTCTTCACCCCAACTGCTTTACAGGTCTGACGCCCAAAAATCAGATGTACGCGCGCGTGCATACATTTGAGCTGTTTCAATGGCATTAATAAGGTAATTATTTTACTCATACGATTATAACGGATTTTTTTATTAAATTTCTCGTTGCACGCGGATGGCTCACGAGAGCTTTCATTTTTATGTACAGATTATCCAGTTATACGCTAACAAATAAAAATGCAAGACTGTGGTTGTACAGATCTCGTTGCTGCTTTTGTTTTTGTCATTGATTTTTACAATGGAATAAATTCATCGCAATCTTTATTCACTTGAAAAAAAAGCACAATCGTGAAAGATATACAGTAGAAGAACATGATCAGTTCAGAGTCAGTACGTGCAGAGCTTGGTACAATTCATTTATAACTTCGAGCTTGCAAGCTCGCGCGCCCGCGAAAATTCGAATCACATAGAACGAGCGTGGCGTATCTATATACACATATATGTCATTCTAGCGCGTGCAAATTAGCATGAGTTAAGTACAAAAAAGCTCGTTGTTAGCTGCGACCGCGAGATCGCACAATGCACGTCGTACGTATAAACGTGTAAGTATGAGAATGAAAAAGATAAACAAAGCATAGAGTCGAGTGTTTGCGGATTTAGTCTTTGGTTGTTACGTACGCGCAAGTACTTTTTTTTTTTTTTTTTTAATATCATACTGCACTTGTTGCATAAAAGCTGCGGATCGAGCGTATTTATTAATGTAATAGCGATCGTCAAATCGTGAGCACCATTTGGCCTTGACGCTGAGTCGTGCCGTTGTCGAGTTGCTGCTGCAGCTGATGGTTGATGGTCGCGGCGGACGAGTTGCGTCGCGGCTCCTGTTGATGCTGCTGCTGCTGCTGCAGCTTCTTGCGCACCTGGTAGCCGCGAAAACCAGCCTGAATTTTGGTCGCCGCTTTGTCCGCGCCGCTCTGCTGCTGCTGCAGCTCCTCGCTCGACGACGATTTCGGCAGCTCGGTCATGATTCTCTTTGTTTGTCGCTCGAGCAGGATATATAACGCGAATATATTTCGATGCTCCGAAAGCACTGCGACAACACTCGGAGGATGAGACGCGCACACGCACTCGAGAGTTGATACGCGTATACAAAACGAATGAAACTTTCGTGGGATAGCGGCAGACTTTGCAGGCAGCTGTGCTTTCGAGCGAGCTTCGAGCTTTATGCTCAGTGCGTGCCGTGTCCGCTGTATATATATATTTTATGCCCGACGAGTTCGGACGCGCGCCACCGACTGAGCCCGAGTCAAACTCGGCGCTCCCGATATATAAACGACGTGACGTACGCTGTGTACAACTGCCGTATGTTATTGGGATCTCTCTCGCTCTCTGGCTCGTTCTCTCTCTCTCTCTCTCTCTCGGGGGGAAAAAGCGGCGAATTATATATATACGCGGCGCGTGCGTGCGTTCGGCAATCAGCGACCACGCAGACATCACGCACATTGCGGCTTGTTTCGCTCTTCTCGTGCGTGTAAGCATATATGTCTTTCTATCACTTGTGTATATGATGCCGATGCACATATATAGCATTGGACCAATTGACAACTGATTCGCGCGCGGATAAACGACTCTCCGCGTGTATATCGTTGCGGTTCCATCGCGTCGATGTATCATCATGATCAGGCACGCGGTCACCGATCATCGATTACGAGATTTTTGCCAACGATCCAGAATCGTACTGCAGTTGGCAGATCGACTCGTTAATTGGATGCGTTACGCGTGAAAAATGCTCTTCCAAGTTTCGTATCCTTACGTTACATCTAGTACGCGTGTACATATAAGCGAGAATATACGCAAGTGCGCTGGGCATTTGCGTCAGACGCTTCAATGAAAATGCCTTTGAGTCGAGAGCCGGGATGGGAGCTTACAGTACCTGCGTGCATGTACATACGAGCACGAGGCACGATTCCGTCATTGGGACAGTGATTTACGTAATACGTAACGATCGAGAGCGCAATTACGCACACTTTACGCACGATATTCCTCATCACGCGAATACGCGATGTATAGGTATATATGTATATGTCGATGTAGACAGGTCGAGCTTCGCACGATCAGGGACTCTTTGCTCTTCACGAAGAGGCACCTATATAGCGCGTTCTCGCACACGCAAGAACGCACACGCGAGAGACAAAGAAGAGCAGAGCGAAAAAGCTCGATTGATCGGGTAAAAATACACGACACGCGCGCGCGCGGGCCACACATCGATCCTCATGTGGGACGCTTTTCTTTCGTCGTGATCGTTGTCTTCGTTTTTTGTTATGCTTAAAAGTAGATCGACCAAAGAAACCGACGCGCAGCATCGGCGCGTGTGCTTGCGATGACGTTAAGGATCAATCGTTCGCTACCATCCGCAAAAAGAGCGAGAGAGAGAGAGAATAAAAAAAGGAGAATGTGTTTTTCGCTTCTACAAAAAAAAGCTCTCGCAAGCTCGCTTCGCGTTTTTCATTGAAAAACTGCCACTCGGTTGTAAATTTACATTGTGAAGCGCGCGAATACGTATGCGTGCGCGCGTCTGTGTACGTACGTGTCGTTACACGCGTGACTCTTCGCAATATATGCCGAGTTCATCGACACTTTCTTCTCCTCCTCTCTTTTTTCTCACTTTTAACCTCTTCGGATCGACAAGTACATTATGTGTACACTTGCTTTAATGATCTATGGAGGATCCCACAGAATGAATTGCGTGAAGCTAACTTTTGTGTTCTGTTGTATAGAGCAAGACCTTTAAAAGTCACGAAGTATGGATTCATTGAATATACTTTAAATCGTTGTTTAAATCAAAATGAAAATTGAAAAAAATACATACTCGCATAATCGCATAAAAATTGATATAAAAAATTAATTTACGCGCATAAAAATTTTACATCATTTTTTTTTCAGCGGTATTCGATCTAAATATACGCGTATTAACGTGCATATACACACAGTAATCGTTATATAGCATATAACGTGCGTTATTCAAAAGTTCGTTGATCCATCGTGCGGCCGCTGACGATTTATGCTTGCGCGCGCGCGCGCGAGCGAGCGAGCGAGCTTGCGACTGCTATTATTCTCGCACCAACACAGCCGCACGTACACGTATTGCCAGAAATGCACGATCACTTTCCAATTGATTCGAGACTAAACAAATTAAAATAACGCATTTCTCCTTTATTAAAATAAAGTTCAAAAATATTTTTACAATCATCTACGATTATTCATTGGTATAATGATGTAATAGAGACAAGGAATGTATATTATATGTAAGTATAACATAAGATATTTTGCAACGTATCGCAATATGGAGAACAATTAAGCTCAATTGAATTCGTATACACAGCGCCGCATTCAACATATGTATATTATATAATATATTGCAAAAGCATAAAAAAAGTTTCAAGTAATAGCTTATATCGACTGACTAGTATAGCAATAGAATACTATGATACAAAGAACATATTATGTGGTGTGTGTACAATGCACAACAAGATACAAGGGTTCAAGCATCGATTAGCCGATCGTCGGCCTAGGTAGTGGCCACGACGTTCGACGACGAGTCCGCGTCCTCCTCGTTGGATACCTGACTACTGGCGGTGGTATCGTCGAGCTGGCGCAGAATCTGCTCGTCGTCGAGACTCGTACCGGTGATCTCCTCGATGACGACGCCCTTGCTACTCTTGGGCTCGACAACGACGTGGCCCATGTCCTCGACGCTCGTGATGAAGTTGAGATAGCCGGCGTGCAGCAGCGGATCGACGGGCCTCGCTGCTGTGGGTGCCGTCGTCGCGGCGTGAAGCAGCAGAGCCGCGTCGGCTTGCAGGAGTTTTCCCAGAAGCTCCTGGACGACGTGGGCCGGGGGCGTTGGCGCGTTATTAATATCCGTAGCGGCGTAGGGACGTTTGATCTTGAGATCGAGATCGTCGGCGCCGAACACCGGCAGCGGTATGCAGTCGTGAAACTCGCCCGTGTGCTGCAGCTGATTCTCGGCGAAGGCGTTCTCCACCGAGAGGGTGGTGCGCATGACCGCGTCCTCGCGCGTCAGCCTCTTCTTCGACGTCTTGTTGTTTTCCTTGTTGTTGTTGTTCAGATTTCCGCTCGTCGGGGCGTTGTTGTCGATTTCGTCGACGATGCCAACGAATGACGTCTCGATCGCGGCGGCGGTGGCAGTGGCAACGGCGATCGCGTCGGCCTGCGAAACAACAAAAATGGACGCACGCAAGCACGCGCGAGCGTCAATTTCATTCATTCGTTCATTCATCCAATTCGCGCACGTGTGTGTGTGTGTGTGTGTAATAATAAGCGTGTGTCCGAGCGTGTGTAGGCGCGCCTCGACCCACGTCTTCGTGCACTTCGTTATATATATACACCAATCAGGGAAATTGTGTAACCGTAAAGAGCTGACGAACAGATAGATGGACTGGCGGACAGACGCGCGCGCGCGGGGAAAACGAGCGAGGCGTGCTCGAGCGCGCGCGTGTGTCAATCTCAAGGTCGCGAAGCGCGATGCGCTTTAAATTTATCCTAAAGCCCGTTTATAGGCTTGCGAAGTCTCGAGCGAGCGCGAACGAGGTCTCTTTCGTGAACTTGCGCGCGCTATACAGCGTAGGTATATATAACGGTATAAGCAGCAGCGACCGACGACGGTGGCGAAAGCAGCCGATATTTTTGCCGAATTCGTAGTGGTATATGTACGTTGGATAGCCGAGCGTCATCGCGACTCAACGCCTGAATGGTATACGATTATATTTATTTCAAGCGACTCTTTATATACGTGCATTTATTTTTACGTATTTCCAAACGGCGAATATTACTTCGCAGCCAGAGCTTTTCGGAGCTATCGAGAGCTGCTTCGCTCGAGAGCTTTTCCCACGCGGCGATTAGCGCTACGCCGCCATTAATCACGATATGTATAAAAAAAAGTCGGCTTGCGAGCTTGCGACGCGCGAATGGCGCAAGTCATCATCAACAAAACAATAAACTTACAAGCTGAAAAGCTGCATGTAGCTATGCGCTGCGTTGCGCGGTGACGCAATCGTGTTTTCAATGGAAAAAAAAGACCGTGATAACGAGTAAACAACGTGCATTGTGCCGCGCGGCGCTCGATAATGTGCGGCATATTCTTCAATTGCCGCGATGTCCCCCTTTTTTTTCCTCGGTCAATTCAAACTCCGCCACGACCTCCTCCTCCTCCTCCTCCTTCCATCTCTTTTGAGCGCGAGCGCGGATCTGAATAAATTTTAAAATGTAGCGCGATGACGATGGCAGATATTCACGAACGGCTTCGTTCGCTATATACGGTGGCGCGGCGCATGCCATGCAGGGCCTACATACATACATATAAACGTCTTATACGATCGCTCTATGAGGAAAAAAATGGAGCAACCACTGCACCGGTCTTACATATCGTGCGTATATATGCATGTGTATGTGTGTGTGTGTGTGTGTGTGTGTGTGTGTGTGTGTGTGTGTATGAACACGATCGCGTGCCTGGCGCACTTACAACGTCACGGCACTAAGCGCGGCATCTAGGCTAGGCCCGTACTTCAATTCTCTGCGATGAGCTTCGCCTACGTGTAGATCATCCGAGTTTTTTTTTTTTGTTCGTATTAAAGGGTCTCGAGCGCGAGCGCGTTCAAGTGGCATCTTGCAATATGCGCACGCAGTAAAGACTCGAGAGAAGATGAGTCAGTCGCGGTGCTCGTGTATGTATGGATATTGAGCTCGATCGGCGATAATTAGACGCCCGTGGCGATCCGAGTTGAGCGAGCGAGCGAGCTTGCGCCACTGAAAACGCGTGCCTGCGCCGTGCACAAAACGTGCTGCCCTAAATATAATTACGGTATAGGAAATCCGCGAGAAAAAATAAACATTCGCGCTTATCGCGAGCGCGCGACCTACACCCGCCCAAAATATCGCTTTAATACCGAGAAAAAAAAGGGAGAGAGAGAGAGAGAGGCGAAAAATCTTCACCAAATATTCGAATAAAATTTGGCCTTGCCGAATGGAAATAGACTCCTGACGCGAGCGCGCGTGCACATATACGAGTATGTGTTGGCCTATGTACATCTATACCGTAGGTGTATATCTATACGACTTTGCACACATACATAGCGTATGAAAGAGTAATGCAACTACTCGCTTATAAATATATATGTACGTTATACTTTTGACGTCACGGCGAGTTGTCGCTTATAAACGCACCCGCGCGTATACCGCGACGATCTCTCTCTCTCTCTCGTTCTATTCGCCTCGCAAGCTCCTTTTCGGCACCTCGTAAATTCATCGAGCGTGTCATAAATTATGCCCGCTCGGACATGCATCGCCGAAAAGAAGTACAAGTATTTATAATATGTACTTATATATACATTGCGTTCGAAGTATTTTTTATCCGCCGCTCGAGTCCGCAAGCTATAAAGTACTCGCGGGTGTATAGTAGTAATGGTGATACGCGTACAATCTATGCGGCTATATTATAGGCACGCAGAAGTGCTAGATTGAATCGGACGCTTTGGCGCTAAGCTGCGAGTTGCACGGCCAGTATATATATGGTAGTTAGTATACCGATCGCAAACAGAGGCTATTTTCGCGTGCGACTCGGCAATTAGAAAATAAACGAGACGAGACGCTTTGCGCGAAAAATTATAACAATTGTACTTGGGATATGTGTACCGTTCCAGTCGAGGAGCGAGCGAGCGTGTTTAGTGTGTGCCAGAGAGCGAGAGAGAGCGAGAGATCGGTCATGTAAATTAGAAAAAATATGCTATACGGCATTTTATATCCGTATAGTTGGGAAATATCGTGCTCTGCGCCAAGCTACACACACACACACACTAGTTCGAGCTAGTACAGCTAGTAGTGCAGCTGTTTAATCTGCAAAAGTCACGGATCGTACATGCAAAAGTATGACGAGGCGGCGGCATGTTATGCTATACTCGGAGGCGCGCGCGCGGTATACGGTATATATCGAAAAACGAGAACGAGTGGCAAAAACGGAGTGCGGTGGCGGGCTTTTAAAGGCAGGTAGCAGTAGTAGTAGTAGTAGTAGTAGTCCCCCTTACCACGAAGCTTTCCTGGATCGATGGTACGCTATCGAGAGTCGAGCTGCGACACTCGCTTCGCCGCTGCTGATGTTGCAGCTTGAAAGCTCTGCGGCGAGCCAGAAAGCCTCGTACACCTGTTTGAGAAAAAAAAATAAATAAATAAACAAAAGCACAAAATCCGCACGAGATAAGAGAGAATGTGGATGTAAATTATAGCCACGCGATATGACTCGTTTTATTTGTTTACCAGATTGAATCTTGGTAACGGCGTGTATGAAGCTGCTCGTATCGGTGATTGATAAGCTCGCGAGCTGCCGCTGCTGCTGCTGCAGCGATTCTTGTCCCGTCGCCTCGGCTAATTGAGCCGATGACGATTCTCCGCGCTCGTTCTCCGTATCGATCTTTGACTTGATTGAAATATCCTCGACAGCAGCAGCAGCAGCAGCAGTGCGTTGACTCGACGATTGCCGCTGTCGCTCCGACGACTCGTTGCAGATGTTGTTGTTTTCAATCTCGGTTGCGGCAGTGGTGGCAGCGGCGGTAGTCGCCGAGCTCGATAAATCGTCATCGTCGTTTTGGCTCGTTGCCGCACGCTGCATTCGTTGCGTCGCTGTTACCGCCACCGCTGCGCTTGTCATTGCCGTTATCGTAGCTGTTGTTATTGTCGTTGATGCCGCTGCAGCTGCTGTTCTGGTCGTACAATCATCGCTCGTACTTGTGCGTCTATTTTCGCTGATCATCGTCGTCGTCGTCGTCGTTTCTTCGTCATTTGCAGCATTGCGATGCTCGACAGCGACGACGATCGTTGCGTCGTTTACGTTATTATTTACTACTGCTTCGGAAGCTTGGATAACGTCTGCGTTACTTTCATCAATGGCAGGCGGCGATTTCAAGCTCTGCTCCAACTTTTCGTACTCTTCGATTTCCACCTGTTCCTCGTCGTCGTTGTTGTCGCCGTTATCGTCACTGGGACTCTTTTCCAAAGTATCGGGCGAGACGTTGGCAGCTTGCTCGTCGTCGTCGGTGGTCGTCGTCGCGACGATCGACGAGCTCGTCAGATCCGGCAACGAGTCGAGATTGAGCTCGGGCACGTAGGGCATGGCCGGGTCCAACGACAGACTCGATCGGTCGGTCGTCACGGAAGTCTCCTTGAACTCGTTGCTCGACTCGACCGAACCGCCGGTCGTCAACGACGCGACCTCCACGACTTCCTCGGTACGCTCGACCAGTCCGTCGGTCGTCATGCTGCTCTCCTTCGTCTCGTCCGTCGACTCGTACTCTCCCGTCGTCGTGACAGCCGTGGTCGTTGTCGCGGTAGTCGTCGTCGTCGTGGTCGTCACCGCCACCACCTCCTGCTGCTGCTGCTGCTTGTCCTCGAGTATGTCCTCCAACGAGCTCGTGACGACCCTCAAGACCTTCTCGTCGTCCGAGTCGGGCCTGTTGTTGTCCTCCTCCCTGATGAGGCTCAGCTCCTGTCGGGCCACGAGCTCGTCGTGATTAGCCTTGATGGCCCTGAGAAAATCGATATCCGAGCCAGTAGTGGCCAGCTGCGCCTCGGCCAGCTCCGTATCGCCGCGATGATCGATCAGCTCGCCGAAAACGTGCTCGGACGCGTTGCCGCTGCTGCTTACGGCGCTGTTGGCCCTACTCTCGTTTTCGGTACGCTGCTGCTGCTGTTCCTTCCGCTGCTGCTGGCGTAGGCGCGAATCTGGGTTATCGTACTCTATCTGCGTGCACACGTCCGAATCTGGGCTAGTCGGCCTGTTGTCGGGAATTATGACGGTAATCACCGAGTCGGGTATATCGCAGGGCGAGCCCTCGGTCAATATGTACGAGCTCGGCGACACGGCATCCTCGTTTCTAGCGCTCTCGCCGCCGGAACAGCTGCTCTCGTGGCTCTCCTGGCGCTTGTCGAAGCTCGGCTCGCTCGCCACCGAGCCCTGCACCCCGCTGTCTTTGTCCTGGATCACGTAGCCCTTGTGACTTTTCACGGTACCACCACCGCCAGCGACAAAGATACCGTCGATTCGACGCTCGACGTCCTCCAGTTCGAGCAGCTTCTTCTTGATGTCGTCGTTCAGCAGCAGATTCTCGGCCGACGAGTCGTAATCGTCGATCAATTTGTTCTTGGCGTTGTTGCTGGCCAGCTCGTTCTTGTTGTTCTCGACCAGGACGCTCTCTATGCGCTTGGAGACCTGCTCGATCTCGAGCAGTTTGCCCTTGAGAGTGTCCACGGGACTGGCTGGCTCATCGGCCTCGTTGTCGCGCTGCCTCGCGTCATCCTCGAGATCCGACGTCTCGAGCGAGTCCGGCCGTTGGGGCGCCACGCTGCGCGGATCCGGAGTAACGTTCAGGCTGTCTTTGAAGTCCTCCTCGTTATTGACCCTCAACAGCTCCATGATTTGTCGATCCTCCTCGTCGTCGTCGTCGTCCTCGTCCAAGTCCATATCCATGTCCTTGTCGGAACCCCCACTACCCTGGGGAGTGGGCAGTGTCGGCAGCACGAGCTGCTCGTCCGGTAATTTCTGGGACTTGCTCGACTCGGGGGAGATCGGCGGCAGGACGACGTCGGCGTGGCTCTCGGCCTCGCTGTTGCTGTGGGCCGAGACGCTCCTCGAGCTCTGCAACGAGGAAGCAGCGGCACTGGCAGTGGCGGCACTCGGATGAGCAGCGGACTGCTGCTGTTGGCCGTGTACGTTGCCGTTGCTGGCAGATACGATCGGCAAGGAGATCTTGGACTCGTCCGATCGGTAACCGTAGTTGCTGCTGCTCCGGCCGAGGCTCTGAGTCGAGGCCGACCTGCGTAACACGTTCTTGCCGTTGGTGGTGCCTTTACCGATCGTCTCGGGGTGCCGATGACGATCGAACAGCTGCAGACCGTCGGAACGAAAAGGCTCGTCCTCGGTACTGAGAGATCTCTCGATCGAACCGATCCGACCGCTGCCACCTCCTCCTCCTCCTCCTCCTTGACTCTGGTTCACCTTCAACGCCTCGATTTTCTGCCGCAGAGGCGTCGACGTCTCGTCGACTACCTGCTGGACTCGACGCAAATAGCTCGGTGGCTGCAGCTCTTCCAGACTCGGCATGCTGCCTAGATTCCTCACGAGAAAGTTGGGCTGCTGCTGTTTCTTACTCGACGTCTGCGTGTGCTTGCAGGGCCGCCTCGTCGCCTGCTCGTAATTCCTGCAACGAGAGCCGCAGCTATCGATTCTCTCGCAGCTGCCGTGATGGCCTCGGCCGCTGCGCTCGTGATGATGATTATGGTGATGATGATGATGATGATGCTGATTGTGACGATGCTCCTCGTTGCGACTGCACGAGCTCGAGGCGATCCTGCAGTGGCTGGCGGTCGCCAGGGGCGCGTCGCAATTTCTCTGGCGATTTCTCCGCAGCTCCGTCTTCATGTCCCTGGCCAGGGGTATCTGCGAGATGATCTTCGGCGAGTGTCGCGAGTGCCTGATGCAGCTGCTCTGGTAGTCCTGCGACACGACCTTGGAGGACGTCTGTTGATGCGTATTGGGGCCGCGACTCGGCTGGGGCACGCCGTACTTGCAGGCGTAGTGCCGATCGACCCGCTGCTGCTGCGACTGTTGCTGCTGCTGCTGCTCTTTGCTGGCGAGCTCGCGCACCTCCTCGGTGCTCATCTTCTGGCCGCTTATGCCGAAGATGCTGCGGTGGCGCTCGAGCACCTTGGCCGTCTCGTCGAGCGACCAGGCCTGATTGTTGTTGCTCGTGGTGCACTTGCGCGACGTCATCTCCTTCGAGTACTCCTTGGTGGTCTCGTATCCACCACTACCACCACCACCACCACCGCTGCTCGCCTGGGGTATCTTGGACAGTCTCGTGGCTGCAGTGCAGGCGTCGTTACCGTTGTTGCTCTTGAGGGTGGTCGTGGTGCGCGACGTCGTCATGCACGTGGTCGTGGTCATGTAGCTCTTCTTCGTCATGGTGCTCTTGGTCTGGGTCTGCTTGCTCGTCGCCTGCATCGTAGCTGCTGCTTCCTGATCGGCGCGCGATCGATCGTGCAGTCCTCGGACTCCGGACGCGGCTTGGTTGCCCGCGGCCCCGCAATTGTCGTACTGCTGACGCAGCCTGAGCAGCTTGTCGAAGTGCTGCGCGGCGAACATGTAGATGTTGTCGGGCTGCTGGCGTATCACCTCGCGGGTCAGTCCCTCGACCGCCGCCGCCAGACCTTGGGGTACTCGAGCTGGCGCCGCTACGTAAACCGGCTGCGGCTCGCTGTTCATAGTCTTGTTCTTTCTTGAGTTAATAAAAATTACCCGTGTGTCCTTGCAAGAAGCTGTCCTTGATCGGCCGAACTAGACCGATCGGCTGGAAGATCGAGCAAAGGTCGCCGCGACAGCTGCGACGTGGAACGATGGCCGAGCACAGCTACGTACCGTGTGGGTCGACATTATACGGATAGGCACGGACATGTCGCGAAGAGACGATTTCAATGGCAAGTACACACAGCTGCGGCAGCGGAGGCCGCCGATCAATCGTGCCGTTGGGCTTGGAGAGTTGAAGGACATTTAGAATGCATGGCTTTAGGGCTTCCGGAGACGGCGATCGGGGAGTATAAAGCACACAACACAGTGTATATTATACCCCTTGCACGAGTCTGCAAACACAAGAAGTTGTATACACACAGTCACATATACCCCACGGTGCACTCACACCCGCACGCGAGAGATATTACTACAATGCAGCGAGGAATGGACGATGCGGCGTGTGGGCAGTGGGCACAACAAACCGGCAGACAGACCACCGACGACCACCCATCGGCTCGAGAGACTCGCTTGAAACTGAGAGCGTCCGCGGCTGGTATACTATACACGGTTGAAGCACGGTCAGGATGATTTGTGTGCCTGCGCCGCGCACGAACGACACGACCCCTTCAAGAATGAGAAAGAGAGACGCCACGGCACACGATGGGCAAGTGAAAAGAGAAAAGGAGGAGGGTTGGTCGATATTTTTGTGCTCCTCATTGATTGCAGCTATGTAGTGTTTCTATGGCCGCGCGCGACCCCTCCAACGACACCTGCGATACCGCTATATATACCTACAGCACGATATGTATATGTGTGTGTATGTGTGTGTATAGATCGCGTTGTGCATCGCACGCGATCGCTCGCGGTAACTGATATATATGTACGTATACGTAAAATTCGTATCAAAGTGTACGTGCCTGTGTGCATATAGTAACCCCTTTGATATACACATATATGTTGCATTTATTCAAAGCGGCGCTTGACGTGCAGCGCGCGCACGGCCCGTACGAGCCATTTCATTTCGAAATGAATTTCGCCGTTTCGAGGATGAAAATTATACGCGAGATAGATCGTTCTCATTTTAGTCGCAATTACGCTTTTTCTTGCACATTAAATATGAATGTATTCCGTTATCCGCGGTATAATTCTAATGATGGGATTTTCTTAGTAAGTCACGTTATTATATTTTAATTTGAATTTGGAAATATTTTTTGATGATTTATTGTTAAACGTTTGTAGTCATAATTTAATGAGCTAGTTTCCTTTCAACTTCAGAGCTGTTTCAGCAGTAGCGTAAGGAACCAAATAATCAGATTCGAGGGGATGTAAATTTTTTCCAGGTATGACCATGCAATGAAGCGGTTCTCCCATATCTATGATGCTTAATTCTTCTAAAGTGCCGGCAACAATTTTCTGAGTGTCACAACCAACTCTTGCTAGACCAACAACTATAGTTTCCTTGGTAAGATCTGTAAAAGTATTTTTATTAAAATGTATCATCAAGATAGTAATAAAACAAGAATTATTAAAAATACCCACCATCTGGTGAAGCTGAATCACCGATCTTTTCAAGTTTTTTCAATATTTGTAGACATGCCTCTTTGACGGACATAAATTTTGGAGGCATGTATTCCTTTTTTTTCCTGCACATGCTCTCCGGCGTGGGTTCTTTTACTTTTATGTCTAATAGACATAATGTATGAGAATTGTTCTTATAATTAACTAAAATTTTGTCATAAAAACTATCTGGTTCCCAATTTTCATTCCAGTATGGAATTGAAACAATTTCACCAAATGTGTACAATTGTAAACCACAGCAACCCACACCAGTTATAATGGAGGCATTGTGGATTACTTTAACTTCTATATTGTCTTCTTTGGCTCTTAAAAGTAAATCTGAGTGAGTAGTAGCACCAAAAGGGTCACCGACAACTAATAAGGCAACATCTTCTTTATCAGCATCTTTTAAAATTTTAAAGGCTTCAGATTCAACATCTTCTCTATATAGTTCAATGACTTCTTTGCCGTAAAATTCTGCCTAATAAACATGAAATATTATTTTTCTTTGTTCCACATTAGAAAAAAAAAAAAAAAACTGCACTTACTAATCGTTTTGCACCAACTGTCAGTATCGACGTGTAACTCTCTAAATACACACGTTTGCATTTTCTTACTGCTTCTAATCCTTTAACGGTTATATCCTTTTCGTCCCCTAATCCTAAACCGATTAAATATAACATCTTGGTAAAATTATAAGGGAAGAATAAACGAGGAACTGCTAGCAGAAGGTATTGAACACAAATTCATACAAGGCGGAATTCAATTCAAACTGCGACTGACACAACGAGACAATCCAGCCACTAGGTAATAGTATGTTGACAAGCGGCACAATCCAATGACACGTGCTCACCATGAAACACCTTTAGCTTTCAATGTTGACATGTAGCGAAGCAGGGGCTCTGCTGCTATTATAGTTCATAAACTCGCGTATCTGTAGCGTAACTCAGCATCGTAACGGCCCCTAGTACGCTATAATTATATTTTTAGGTTATTACCGATACTCAAATAGCGAATCCGCTTACTAACTCGAGCCACGAGGTTCGCGCCAATTATGATTATCGCCGAATCCAACAATGCAGTGCGCGAAGTGCGCGCTTTTTGAAAATATACTCTTTGCCATGTAGCTGATTTTAATGACGAAAAATATCTAACTAAAATTATGTTTGGAATAAATCAGAAATAATGTGTCAAATTCTTTTTCATGTACCTGTACTTTTATTGCTAATAATTTTTAGGTACCATGGTTTCAAGTTTTACAACAACATTCGTTTTTCATGTAAATATCATAAGGTTTTCTTATGTAGATCAAAAACCGTTTTATTTAGGACTGTCATCTAAACCAAAAATTAAGACTAAACAATTTTTTTACAAATCACGTCTAATTATTATGAGACGATTATTAAATCCATCAAAAGTAACTGTAAAAAATGCTGTTCTAATACCGAACAATTTTATTAGTAAAATAATTTTCTTGCCTTTTTTTGCAATTTTAATCATGCCAGTCCTCTTAAACTAGCCTAACAATTAATCTTACAAATAAAAAATATGTAACTTGCAAAAAATTAAGAAGCACACTACAGATATCTCTCAGTAATACCATACCTGGTAATAATTTTACTGAAGTCAAGTTTGCAATTGTTCTTATTGTAAGATTACAAAAAATGGTACATAGTTATATATTTACAAAAAAACAGCAACTCCAATCACGTATTCTTTGAACGCGCTTTCATTTGAAATTCGAATCGCCTATTCAAACGCACACCTTTCAAGACACTCCTAGTGTTTTCTCGTTGCTTCTCCCTAAAAACATAATTCCAAGTATATCACATTTGAGTGAATTTTACATTTTATACATTTATAAAACGTATAAAAACCTTGAATCTGCACTGGTTCCTTTTTTCTTAGAAATAATGTCAACAGCTTCATTCTTTCTCACTTTATTAAACCCAAATCTGGTGTACATAGCACCATTTACTGCATCATTTGCCGCTGGCTTTAATTTTGATTCACTAGATATTTGATTTGGTTTTACTGAAAATAATCATTTGTGAGATTTGTATGTCTAACAAATTTAGAGAATCAGAAGACAAAAAGAATACCTTGCATTTAGTGACAGGTACAAGGTTTTCATATTGTCAAGCAACTAATAAATTAATAATTACCTTTTTTGGCACTGAGAGGCACATTAGCAGTTAAATTTGTATGTCTTTCTTCAACTCTTTTTTTCATATCCACTACAGATTCCATTTTTTGAAAATTTTTGCTGTGGATTTCAGAGAAATTGGGTATTCTCTTGGCTATTAAAGATTTTGGTGCTGTAACAAATACAAACGTAAATTTACATTCATTTTATGGTATTCATTTTATACTTGGGCTCTGATATTTTACTATTCTTATAAAATTTATACTAATTTACCTAGTTTTTTTTCTGCTGCAATAACTTTTGGTCTGCTGAGACGATTAACTGAGGCCATTTGAGCTTCATGAGTACTTTTTCTAGATTTAACATCTGACATTGAACTTGATCGTCTCACACCTTTTGAAATTGGTGTTTTTTTATCAGATGCAGAAACTGAATTTACTCTTCGTAATTGACTGCCATTTGAATGACTATTAATAGGTGTCTTCATTTGACTTGATGTATTTTTTTGGTGAAGTATATTACCAGGCGTGCTCACTCTACTTATACTAGTAGGTTTTCGAGATGGTGTTTTGAAAGCTGTACTATCAAAGTGAACTTTGAAATTTTTTTTGGATTCTTGGTCTCCATCGTTTGTTTTTTTTTTCAAGGCTGGAGTTTTTGGCTCATCAAGTTCATAAGTGTTATTTTTTTTAGATTTTTCTAGTGACGGCAATTTAGAATCAACATCATCAACTTCAAAAGTATTATTTTTTTTTGAATTGTCCAAGTTAAAAATATCACTCACATTAATGAGGGAGTTGTCATGATATTCTGGTTCAGATTCGTCTTCTAGTAAACGTGGTTCATCATTTGGTTTCTTCTGAGGACTCAATTTTTTAAATGCCTTAGGTTTCAAAGACTTACCAAAAACTGATAAGCTGTTGGTTTTTGTTTTTGTTTTGGTAGAACTTGTGTCAAGTGTTCGTTTTACTCTGTCTCTAGGAGTTGAGGTATTTGAAGGTTTTAAACTCAATAATTTTTTTTCAAGAAGATGTGCAGGAGTGTCATTTACAAGACTAGTTTTCTTCAAATTAAGATATTTATTCACTTCTTCTTGGGACAGCCTCTTTATAGTAACTCTGGGGCTTACGGCAGAATCAGAGCTCAAAAGAGAATCAATTAAAGAATTTTTTTTTGAATCATTTCCCTCTTTTAAAACATTTTGTGAACTTGATTTTATCTTTTGATTCTTTGATGGAGATAAAGATGAATTTTTAACAGGCGTTTTTCTGGATCTGCCTAAATTAAGAAATATTTTTGGCATTTTTCCAGAAATAAATGACAAGCTTCGAGACTCTTTTTGTTTGGTCAAAGAATTATTGAGCCTTTTTTTGGTATTTGTAAAGGAATCAAGAGAATTTCTAGAACTTGAAACTGTTTCAATTTTAGAAGTTGAATTTGAAAGAAAATTTTTCTTTTTCGTATGAGATCGTGTTACTAATGAATCAGAATTATCATTGAGTGATGATAGAGTATCTGATTTTGGAGATTTTTTACTCAATTGAGATTTTTGGTCCAAAATAACACACTTTGATAACTTGACTCTAGGAGATAAACGTACTTCAGGAACATCTTTAAATGATACTTTGGTTGGAGATTTTTTGGTAGTACCTTCAAAAACTAAGGGATAGTTACTAGTTTTACAATCCACAAGGGAGACTGGAGAACTTGAGTTGGATTTGTTTGATTTGTTTTCTTCTATCATTTTTTTTATAGCTGTTATCATAGGTGATTTACTCCTTGTTGTTCTGATTTTTGATGTTTCAAATTTCAAATTTCTTCTATGACTACCTTCGAGTTTTGAAGATTTATTTTTATTAGTTTCTTGTTTCTGAATGCTCGATTTTCTTCTAGAGTTTTTATGATTCAAGTCCGAAGAAATGCTTGAGTTATCTGAAGTTATTGATGCTGGTGAGTCTAATAGTTGAAGTTTTCTAGGAACGTGTGAGTTATCTGAAGATACTGATGCTGGTGAGTCTAAAATTTGAAGTTTTCTGGGAACACTCAACATTTTAATGACATCTTGTACATGAGACTTGGGAGAATTAGGATTCATTGGTGATTTTTTAGGCGTCTTTGAAGAACGATGTGGCGAAAGAACTAATTTCAAAGGACTGCTTTTTGGGGTGACATCTGCAGCCGCATTGGAATCAGAACTGTCTGATGATGACTGTTTTTTTTTAGAATTCTTACTGATTTTTGATGTCACTTTATGTAACAGTGATGATTTGGATTTTATTATTTTACTTTTCTTTTTGGGTATTTCGTCTTCATCTTCGCTTATTAAATCTTCAATAGAATTTGAGTTAGCCTTCTTGTTCTTCTCACTATTCTTGACTATAGAATCTTCATCATCAGTCATGAGTAATTGAATATCCTCTACTTGAGATTTGTTTGCCCGAGTTCTTCGGGTAGAAACTGCAGGAGTTCTTACTGGCTTTTTAATTGATCGATTTTTAGTCTTGGATTCATCAAGAGTAGCAGACAAAAAGCTGTCTTGAGTTTTGGAAGCCTCTATAGTAGTTTTTCTTCTTTTACGAGTGGATGCTGTAGTAACATTTTGGGCAGTTGAACTATCAACTACAGCACTGTTAGCTTCCATTTGGGTGTCACTGTCAGTATCTACCACTTTTTGACCTTAATGAAAAAAAAAAAAAATTATTGACAATAAACTCAAAATCCCATTTACAAATAAATATAACTCACTCTTGTTGGCGCGACGAGTAGTCCTCCGACTACTGGTCGATTTGATACTGGTATCAATAACAGAGGAATCGTTGATAGTCTCTCTAATGGTACCTTGACAAATAATTAATGGATAAATAAAGATGTTGTAAAAAATCGTAAAGTTAGGATTAGCAAAAAAATCGCGAGTCTCAAAATGTATGATTTGGAAACATCAATTTATATTTTGAAGCAAGTAAAAAGTGTGAGATTAACATAGGAAAGCATAGTAATTGAATGACATAAACGCTCGAAAGTACATTTCATAGAAATTAAATTGTCAATGTAGCATGCGAAACGCACCAGCAAACGCTGGTCATCGATAAATGAATGATAAAGTTTTCATGCATTGTAAACCGGCTCTGCCGGTGAATAGATAGCAAGTGCTACACGCCATATTGAAGTGTGTATACATTTGTTCAATCCCGCCTAAAATTATCACTACGTTGCTTCGATGCGTCCGCGAGCTCGATTGTGATTATGGAAAGCTGATAAGACAGTCGGAAAAAGTTGATATCATAATGATTACCTCGTCTAGTCCTTCTCGGCGACATTTTTGCGTCTTGGTCGCGACGTATTCTATTTTAGTTCAATAAATTGTTACGTCGTTTGTCGATGGGGAAGAAACAGTTCCGAACACAAACGTTTCCCTCTTCGCAGAAAAGCGGGCACTAATGATTACGGACTAACTTTGCAGGTATTTCGCACGCACACTTATACACACATCGACACTTCACCAGCATACGGGTCAAGAGGAACAAGCACTACAGATCATGTGCACATAGAAAAATAGTCGGCAATTTTACGCGCGCAATATATAGCCACAAAACTGTTAAGTTTTGTTGCCGCGAAAATAAGTCCCTGATATTACAATACCATATGAGATATATATGCAGACAAACATCGGGTCGGTTTTTCAAACGTGCCAAATTTGAAGACGTGGTGGCGCCACCGACTTTCGCAATCGTCACCGTCGGTTGGCTGAAATTCGCTCGCTGCTCGAGATATCAACAAGTTCAAGCGTCGCACCGCATGTGTGCAGACTGCAGCCGCTCAAGTATATCAGACTAATATTTTATGTATGCAGGGCGCAAGCCGTATATAGCCTGAATAAATCATAGCTAACGGCTCAGGGGAGGGAGATGGGGTGCTTCCTTCAATTATTTATTATTAGTTCGATCGTTGCATTCTTCATATGACTTATAAAATAAAAATATTAATATTTTCGTCTCTTAAGACAAGCTCTACGACTGTAACACAATGTCTATTCTTGCATTTATTATTGAGATTCAAAAAATCCAATTTGAAGTGGCTATTCAAGAAATATTCGTACTCGAAGAACTAGTTAAAATTTCTTAGATTCAAATGAAAATTTTTGTGTTAATACTTTTCCACGTGTATTGCATGCATGGGTTGTACCATTATGCACCGAGCTGATATGTGTTTCGCATCTACGACATTCTTACAATTGCATCGTCCTTACTATTGTTATGCCTATACAGTTTCTACGTTAATTGTGTTTTCAATTTTATAGTCATCGTTGCATATATTCTGCAAGTGATTTTCAAAATATTCATTCTTATCCTTAAATGCTTACAATCCCACGATGGGCTTCTTCTCGTATTTACATTCAAACTCAATTTTCGCATCGTCAAGCTCATTTGATTTTCTGGTGCATGTGAGTCTGCAATAAAATTGAGTTTAGGTACAAACTTAAATTCAAAGCCTCAAATCCTATTAATAAATAATAAATAATAAATCAATAAATAGAAGGAAATTTCAAAAGTCCTCAAAGTCTTTATCAAAATTAACGAATATCCTCGCAAGGCACGCGAATCACGATATAGATGCTCAACTACTTTATCGACCGAGTTGGTTACGTAAAAAGACTTCGTCAATACCATATCCCGAGGTGTGTTATTGGACACGCGCTGTAAAAGCTGACTGCTTTGCGTGATATATATTCTGCAATTCTGAGTGATAGTCCAAGAATCAATTGGTACGTTTGTTCCACATTGTTGAAAAAAATTCGGTAACTAAACTACGATTCGATAATAATGCTTGTGTTAAATACTCGATTCCCTTATTAGCTGGGTCGAGATTTGATTAATTTTGTTAGAGATCTTGTGAGCTGTTGTGTACAGACGTTTGATGTTGACGTAGATTGTACGGCATTTCAAGATCTTCTCAACATTTAGCTTCAACTTCGTGAATCATCAATTTTTCGCATCAAAGCAATCATTCATATGTTATCTTTCATTATGTTACTTAATAAAATTAGTTACTGTTAAAATAATTTGTAATTACTCAAGTTACAACATATCTCTAAAATAACCTCAATACAGTATATTTATGTAATATCAAGCTATTTTCTAAAATAATAGTCTGACAATCAAACAATTTTTTGTTTCTTTTTATCAACAGCAACGATGGCAGAAGAAGCGTCAAGGCCAATGAAATACCCCTACACCATGTCTGCCAAGATGGCTCAATTCCCTTATAAATTTTACTGGCAACACAGTTGGGGCTTCAAATACTGGGTGATTGCCTCTATCTTGTGCGTTCCTGTTTTCTACAAAATCCAGAAACTTTGTAAGATAATTGTTTTTCTAATACTTATTTCATCAAGTTTCACAAATTCTTGCTTAGTTAATTAGTACAATTGATAATGTTTGCTTAAATGAATATTTTTATTGCAGCTTATTCTCCTAACAATGTCAAGGTATGGGCTGAGATCCGCCATAAAGAATTCCATGGAGGTGATCATCACTAAAATATGATTAAATCTAGTAAAAATTGTTCAAATTATCACAACATTGTTGATGTATGATTTACTCTAAAAAATAATAAATGATGATTTCCATAAAGTAAAGAATTGCAGAGGATTGTCTTGTCTAAATTTTTTATTACCAAATTGATTATATAAAACATACATTTTTCATTATTTGTATAGTATGCTGTACAAAATTACTTAAACCATTTTCTTTTCATGTTTGGTAGTCCAGCCCAAATCTCAGTACAGGCAACTTTGAAATGATGAAAGAGTTTACAACATGATAAAAATATTAAGTACTTTTACTACTTCTTAATCTGAATGTGTCTATAAAAAGTTAAAAACCCAGTAGAGTGTTACATCGGAAAGGTCTGGATTTTAGTCTAAGAAAACACAATGTTGATAAAATAAATTCTAAAATTTTATTCTACACGAGCTCACAGCTTTTACTGCTGAAATCCCACAGATCATGGAAATAGTTTTAAAATGTTTACAAATATAGCTACTACAAGCATAATTATATTAAATTGATAAAATAACATGTAAGATGAAGTTTAAATTGTTTAAACATTTTAAGTGAAGTAAGTGTAAAAATGAATATTCATGCTAAGATTTCTGTCATTTTTACACTGAATCACATGAAGAAAAGGCATTCAAACTGAGAAACCACAATTTAAATAAATAATACTAGTCTCAGTTTATCATGAATTTTTCAAATTCAATAGTGAAACCCTATCTAAGAATAAAAAAAACTTCCATATAAACAACTTTTGAAGGAATTATTTTTCACTAGTCAGAACAAGCTCTTCGTACATATGAGCATCAAACTATGGTCAAATAAACAATTCAAGTGCAAGACAAACTAATAATAATAACTTCAATGAAAATTAGTCAAAACTTCACGAATAATTTGACACAGTAAAGGTCGACGGTTTAAACAAATATTAACTTTAATCAAAAATCTATTATTATAGGGCAAGACGATGTAACCTAATAACACATTTATGCGTGCGAAATCTTCCCTAGCTATGATTCATTTCAACATCTTCATCGTCACTATGTGCGACTCCATTATGCTTTCCATTTTTTTCTAATTTTGGTATTTTTTGATTCGGCTGTCTGATTTCATCTTCGTTGAAATGGAGATTTAAATCCTTACATCTTTTTTCAAAATATTGAAGCAATTTCTGTCCAGCCCTGTAAACATTACTATTAATTAGGTGAAGTTGAGAGTATTTTTTATAAGTGTAGCAAAAATGTTCGGAAGCAAAAGATTTTGCTCTGACACAAAGATTTTTGCACCATTAAATTATGAGTAAATGATATGCACCCTGTTCAATATTGTAAGCATTGAGAATTGTTAAAAAAATGCACACGTGAAAAACTGATTCAAACTAGCAATTGCTCTAATGAAAAATCAATCAAATGATTCTCTGATGAAAAACCAATCAATCACATTCATCAAATCATTCAGTTACTTATCATCAAAATCAAGCAGTTAGTCATTCTTTAGTATCATTGTCTCTGGCATCCGAACCAAGACACTATTTGTAAAAAAATACTTACTTGTAAACTTGACTATTTTCTGAGTTATATGTATGACAGTTATCAAAAACTAGTAAACAATCGTGGAAGAAATCTTTTAATGCAGTGTATTGATTGTTGCTGAACTTTTTCTGAATAGTTCCAAAATCCATTGGTTCAGAAATATAATCGTAATAATCCGGAACTTCATCTTTTCCAACAGGCTCTAGGAAAGGCCATGATTGGCGATGTTTTTTTATGTCATTCAAAAGTTCTTGTATTTGTGCCTTACATCCCTTAACAGTAAGCTTTACTTCTGCCTCATGTTCGACTTCAGCAGCTCTTTTTGCTGACCTTCTTGTGTGTCGAGTGTGTTCAATATCATCCGAAGTATTGTGATCTGAAAAGATGAAAAAAAAAATTATATAAGTTAGAACCAAAAAAAAAATTTACCCTGAACTTCTACTAGAAAAATTAGCTATAATGTTAGTGTCGGCCTACATTACACATGATAGTCCGTTTTTAGGATTTTATCATAAAAAGTCAACCTAGAAATATTATAGCATTCACATTTGAACTAAAAAAACTAATAAAATTGTATACCATGACTACAGACTATTGTTAAAACCAATTGTTCAAGTCGACTTCATGAAAGTTCAGCCATACCTCTGACTATATTTTTCGAATTAATATTGTGGAACTTACAAGAGTGTATTACTTTACATCAATTATTGGTTACTATCAAAATCGCGTTCATTTGAAATATTAAAAGCTGCAGAAAAAAATGACGAAACTTTTTTAAAGAAGCCGACTTTGAATGTGTGATAACTTAAAGGAGTGCATTAAAATGTTAATAAATGTTTAACATTAAATTAAAAAAATACAGTGCAAGTGAAACACTGATATCTTTATACAGACCATTCCAGTCTTTAATTTCTCTAGAGAGTAGGCTCTTGGCAAAGCCATGGATTCGAGACCTTGCAGTAGCTGCAGAAGATCTCTCAGACTCTCTATCCCTCTCGCGGCCTTTTATCACTAACAACAAATTTAAAACTACATCTCAGTTTCATGTTCTGAGCCTCAAGTAGTTGCATTTGTTGGAAAGGTAACTTTAATTTTTTTTTATTATTTTATTGATCAACCTTACCTGGCTTACTATTACTTTTCCGTGATTTGCATGAAGTACACGTCCATCGACCGCGGGGAGGTCTCTGCAAAGGAGGCTCATGACAGTCAGTGTGATAATGCTTATTACACCCTTCACAAACTATTAGCTTTCCATCGTTGCCACACATTGTGCAGAGTTGTGGTGAACTAGACCTGATAAAAGATTATCATTAATATCATGATTTTTTAGTCATTGTTTAATTTAAATTATTTACATTTCATCGTCGCTTTCAAGTTCATCCTTAACAGGTTTTTCGCTTTCGTTATCTTCTTCATCAGAAAGAACTTTCCTAGCACGAGTGTGTCTTGTTTCTCTTGTGTAACTTGTTTCATCTTCTATTTCTTCTTCAAACTGTCTCCTTCGTTTTGTTCTTTGTGCTTGTTTTGTTTCACGAGGTTTGCAGACACTGCAGAACCAATCACCCGATGGTACACACTAAAATTTAAAAATGTTTATGAATAAATAAATGTTAATATACTCTTGTAAAGTTTAGAAAATACCACTTACAGTCAATTTTGGTTTTAAACAGTAAAGATGATGACCTTTATTACATCCGTCACAAAGTAGCATATTCTCCGCATCTCTGCGTTTTCGACACACTCTGCATTGAGCATTTAATGCACTTCGACTCCACTGAATACTATTATCTAGAGTATTTAAGTGTACAAAAAGTTGGGACCAACTGGTTGAAGCCATCAATGATTGTTGCCATCTATCGATAGCTTCTTCCGTAGCATTTTTCTTATCCTTCTCTTCACTTCCTAAAGGTTTTTTCAGGTACTTGTGGTCAATAGCATAAGATATTTGTAATATGGCACAAGCCATTTGCTTAATTGCTTTTTGATGCTTTAAGTCTGCAGTTGTTTCATTTTCTTCCGGAGGCCCCAAAAATTTACCGGGATCGCGGTAAACTTTTGCAGTTGTGCCTACTTCAGAATCAGGAGTTCCAGGTCTACTGGTCTTAGTTTCTTTTTTGATACTATCTAACATGGTATTTTGACCAAAATCTGCAGGAGTTTCGTTTAAACCGTACACTAATTTATCACATTGCTTATCGTATTTGCCATTGCTTATAGCACTACGCCAAGCTTCGCGATTTTGAACTTTAAGTGTACCTAGACAACCCATTTTGATTTTATCTTCTAGATCCAAGACATAGTCTCGTAAATTGAGTTCTAAAATAGTGTTTATAGGCATATCTGGAGGATAATTGGAGTGAACATTGTCAACTTTCTTTTTAGATGCTTTTGAAACCTCTTTGTCTGGTTCTGGAAACTGTAATTAGAAAATCAAGGGTCAATTTTTTCTAATGTTTTCACGTGAAAAAATCGGTGACTGGATTATGAAAAATGTACTTACGATGTCGGGATTGAATTTGTGTTTTGGACAGCCAATGATAGCAGATATTATGCTTTCCTTTTCATGTATGAGATTATTTTTTAGTTCTGATTCTCTAATACCTCGTTCACTCAAGGCGTTTATCAATTCATCAATATCTTCGATTTTCCCATAAAAACTCCACTTTGAACTAGACTTGTTGACGTGAACGGGACAGTCTTTATTACCAGTGCAAGCCATCACGCTCTTGCGAATATCAGTTCGTTGTGATTTAACTCCATTTTTATCAACGTTAGCTTTCTTAGGAGTTTTAACCTTTTTAACGTTGTTTTCCTTGTCACTGCATTCATCTTCGAACTTATTTTTTAAATATGAGTGTAATACTTCAGAATCCAGAAGTTCTGGCATATAAGGGGTGCCTTCGGGTAAACAAGTACCGGCCAATGCGTCAATATTTTCAACAAAAATACCTAATATAAAACATAATATTGTTATTATTTAAATTTTCGATAGTTTTTAAATTAAGTACAGGGCCATAAATCACCTGGAATGGATAATAATCTCCAATATTTACGATAAGCTCTATCGGAACCTAACAGTAACATCATTTGATCATCTTTTGAAGCTTGTTGCAATTCTCGTAGTTTATTTTCATATTCTTCTTTTTTTTTCTCTTCTTTGTAATTATTTCGCGTAACTTTTTTTGGTTCCAAATCTTCTTCTTTGACTTCCTCGACTTTACCATCTTTTTCTTTCTCTTTTTCTTTTTCCTTTTGTTTATCTCTCTCCTCTTTCTCTCTTTTTTGTTCTGCAATGATAAACGATTTCAAGTCTTTTTTGGCTTGAAATAGTTTTTCGTAACGCTCGTCGATAACATCACGTATAGAAGCAAACGTTAATAACTGATTAATTAAACAAATCACAACAGTTAATCGGTCTTCAAGATCAAAGTCACAAATATTAGAGTGACCAAGCGCACGTAGTATTCTAGGTTTTTCTATTCTAAGTAATAGGGCTGGATCATCATGGTTTGTGTAACCACCTGTAACATATAATTTGTAGTGATAACTTCTTAATTTTTATTAAATTGTTCTCACAATTTGAATAATTACCTCTTTGTGAATACCTCCATTTGGAAGCTGCTTCACTTATTCTACCTCCAGAGCTCAGAAGGTGTTGCCTCAAAATCTCGCTCATGGTATAGTTATCTAGGGCTAACTCTGATAACTGGCAACCTTGGTGGGTTTGACACCATCCCGAAGCTTGAGTTGCTAATTTTACAGCTCCAACCATTGATGATACTTTTGTGTCTATGTCATTTTCACTAACAGCATCCTGAGATTCAGCGTGAATTTCATCCTCTTCTTCAGCCTGATATTTAAAAATGTTTGCAAGTAACAATTGAAGTAAATCATTCAAAGGGCCAGACACATCTTTTTCCATCATTGCTTTCTCAAGAATGTCGAGCGTTACACCATTGTGGAAGTAAGCTTTCACTTCAATTTCCTCGCGGAAAAATTCCAAGAATTCCAATATCATGGCAAATTCTCCGAATTTTTCATTGTATAATTCGGACTTGATTGGAGTGGCCGATGGTAAAGGTTTGAGATCTTCGCATTCCAGATCTTCCCTTGGTTTATTCCAAGACTTAACGTAGACAGCTAAGGCAGCTTGTTTTATTTTTTCCTCTTTTTTACGTTCTTTAATTTCAAGTCGTTCTTCTTGGCGCTTAGCTTTTTCTTCTAAAGCTTTTGCTTTCAATTCTTCTTTAAACTTTCCATTGAGCCTATTGAATAAAATCGGATATTTTTAAAAGGTCATATAGTTTATCATAGAGAGTGCTCAGAGAAACATACTTTGATTTTTTGTATTTTTTTGTCACCATTCCAGTATCATTGATTTTTTTAAGCGCATCAGGCTTGTCGAAAGGCTTAAACTTTGTAGAGTCTGTAGTAAGAAATTTATCTAATGATTCTTGTTTTTGTTTTACAAGTTTCCTAGGTTTAGGTGTAAAATCTGGTAATGGACCAGCAAATATGGAGTCGAATCTCACTTTATGGATTCCATATTTTTGTAATACATTTTCCTAAAGAAGTGTAAAATTATCATTTTAATGAACTATTACCATTGTTAAAATTTGTTAAAAATTAACACATACTTTTACAACCCATATTCCAGAAGAACTTTGTTGTGTCAACATTCTAAGAAAGATTTTATTACGATCTCTAGTGTATTGTTGCTTTCTTCTACGAATTTGTGAAGCTTCTACAATCATGAGATGACTAACTTCAGAGTCTCCTGAATCGAGCTGTTCAACTTCATATTTAAATAACTTTGCTGGTGGATAGTACAGTCTTTCAGAAGGATTTCTAAAAAATAAAATAAATTATTAATGTTGATTATCAATCCAAAAAACTCTCATGCAATTAATTACTTTAAAAGATTGAAGACTCACTTGTTTTCTTGATTATATGCTTTAATCTGTTGATCAGTTGGTTCAATCACTTGTAGGACATGACATTCACACCATGAGTCTTCAGTGAAGCTGGCTTCAACCATTTCTCCAATAAAATATCGCTCTCGTGCATATTGGAAAACATCGTCTATCATGTCACTCAATGAGGTTCTTTGAGTCTTACTGGCTAAGTAGAGAATTGGAATTCGAAGCTAGAATAAATATTATACATGTTACATGTTTTCGATCAGAAATTTTGCATGCTCAAAATGCTGTCATGTACCTCCATAGGAAACTCTTTGAGGCTTTCCTTGGCATTCTCTTCACAAAGTAGGGCTTCTTCGTATGTCATGCCTGACTTGCCAGTAATGCTGCAAGACCATATCATGGAGTTGCAGAGGATTATCCTCTCACAGAATTCACTGCAATAGTTATCAATTAAGTAAGAAATCTTAATGCACCCATGACAGAGAAACAAGAATACTCACTTGTAATCCTTGAAAATTTCGTTGGTAACCGCGCAATGAAACACCTCGTCGTCATCGCGAAAGTCGGACGAGACGTGGAGTCGTTGGAAGGGTTTCTTGCGTAAAAGTGGCATGATGAATGACGCTCTGTCGCAGAGTTACAAGAGTTAGCTCGTCGTCGGCAAGAGTAGACAGCAACCGAAGACACTTCACGCCTGGACGTCGTCACAGCCTAACAAAAACGTTAATCAATGGCCGTGTGTGGACTTGGAAAGAGAGACACGCTCGGTCGACGCGATAAGTTTTTAAGGTAAAAAAGGAGACCTCTCTCGCGGAGAGACTGCCTCTCTAACCCAGACACTGTAGGATGGTAATGTTATCCGGGCTAAGCACACTCACTGTGCCTTTCGAGAACTGCTGCAGCTGCAATTACTACTGCACGACATAGGTACAACACACAGAGAGTACGTAATTATACTGCAGACTATAATATACTACAACGGAGCACGACGGTGACCGGGACTGGCGCGCATTTGCTGCTGCCTCTGCCTCTCGTGGCTCTCTCTCTCTTTTTTTCGCGCACACACGTACAAGACTCACATCAGTTCAAGTTGTATGTTGCGCTCGAAGTAGCAACACATAGATACACTCGCACACACTACTCGGTTCTTCGCTCTCTCTTCCTCTTTCTCTCTCTCTCTCTCGCTCTGTGAAGCTCGTGTTTGATACAAACGCGCGCCAAGCCTGCGATTCGTGGCTATATAGCGAAACTTGGAGCGTCAGACGAGAAAAATCGGTCTCTCCCACTTTAATGCAAGTTTAACGCGTATAATAACGCATAGCAAAACAAACGAGACACTATAAGAGCTCGGGGAAAGCTCCTGATCGACGGACACGGTTAACAAACAACACACAACGAAACGGCCAAAAAGCGACACGGCGACCCTCGGCAGGACATAACACTGTAGCACGGTCGAGCTTTACTCTCGGCTCGCTTCAGCATGCGAGCAATTTTGTTCGTCGTCGTCGCTCGCGAAGTCGATATTTCGCGGCCTCCCTCATGCACGCCTTTGGTGTATCGTGCGAGCGCAGCGAAAACTACTCAGATGATCCTGCTGCGGTCGCTGGCGCGGACTGCCTCGACGAGAAACTGTCGAACGCGCAGCCGAGAACGTTTTTTGCACTCAACCGCGCACATATACGCTCGCACACTAACGCACGGCGTAGAGCAGCAACAGCACACAAGCGTAAACAACACCTGGCCGGAGTCGCGCGCGCTCCATTTACCAAAGTGCGATCGTCCGTTGGGTGCTTATCCCGCGCGCAAAGAAGCCAACCTCGGACACTTACACTCGGTCAACAGCGGAGTATGCAGCGATGAGCTTTTTCCAGAGCGATAAAAAGACGCGAACGAACAATTGTCTTCAAAGCACACGAGCTGCCAAGCGAGCCGAAGATGCCTCTCGGTTCGGCTTATTATGGTAAACTGCAGGCAGATTTCTCTCCACTGCGCTGCGTGCATCAACACACACTGACACAATATGGCTCGGTTTTGGTGTGCTGTATTGGCGCGCTCGCTATTGCACGCGGTCAGGCAGCACGCTTATTTCTCCCGCCACCGCGAGACCCAACTTTCTGGCTTTTGCGCCAATTTTTAAATCGACGAACGCACTTGTGCAGGACTTGGACCTTTAATAATCGTGCGATGAATTTACCTGACGTTCATGTTAGCGCGTTGACACGTCGCCGAGCCCTCGTCCCATGATTTTCTAGACCAGGCCGAGATGAATTCGACTACTCGTTGTGTCTGTAGCTCAAGTAGGACAATGCACAAAATCGCGAATCTAACGGTAGTACTGCACAACAGTACGTTGCTCGACGTTCGGACGCGCGCGCATTGCAGATATACTACTACTACAGTGTAGACTACGGTGCAGGTCTGCAGGCGCGGGCCGCCATTGAACGGTCAATTATACCAATAGTCGTTTCTCTTGAAATTCTACGACTTTCGGAGCCTTAGGGCAAAGTCAATTTTACGTGACATCTGCTCTTTGGGCGTTCTCGGCCCTTTAGGATATTCAAATGACGCGATGGTGCTCGTTGGGCTGACATTTTTTCGTTTATTGTTTGATTTAGATGACTCGCAATGGGAATAGATGCGAATTTTTTTCAATAACATTGGCAGCAGTTGCACACTTTCGATCGCGTGAGCAATTGCAATTTAAAGTATCGAATTATTCGAGAAAATGTAATAGGGATTTAAAGTTAACAATAAAAGTCAGTCAAGATTAAAATAAATAAATGTTATTAATTATTAATATGAACATTTACATAAAACGTTGAATTTTAACAATTTCCTTGAACTATTTTGTAAAAATATTTTCTGAAAATGCAATTGTTACTAACTCAACCAATCAGAGAAATACTGACAAGTGAGGGGTGTAATTGTACCAATATCAGAACAATCTTTTCGCACAGGACAAACACCACAAGGACTTGTCATTAAACCTGTAAATCCAACCAATGGTTGAACAGCTCTGTACATATTGTTTCCGTTGCTAGTTGTTATTTTTTCTACTTTGCCATCATAAATTAATGTGTGTAAAATCATCTCTAAATCCTCCAACTTCAATTTTACCTGTAATTTCAAAATTCAAGTAATGAATATTAATTATTTTAAAAACTCAATAAATAGTAATAATCACGAAAAGATTCTCACTTTACTTATTCCCAACTCTGAAATATACTTCAATACATCTGTAGATGGAGCGAATGAGCCGTTTTTCTCTGCTATTGGGCCTAAATCTTCCTTGATAGCTTTCTCCCTTTTTTTTTCCAAGTATCGATAACACTGCTCATTTAATACATTAACAAACTCACCTTCAAATTCTTGATCTTGATACCATGCACCACCAGTAACCGAACTTGGTGGTTCTAAGTGGTATAACATAACAAAATTTTTCTTAGAATCTCCAACTGGTTTTATCGCTTTGATGATTCTTTTCTTTTCCAAACTTTTCAATACTTTAGTCGTTTGAGCTTGAGTTAAATTTAATTTTTGCCTTATTTCACGAATCCATATTCCTTTGTTTCCAGCTTTTTCAATTAATTCATAAACTAATTTTTCTTGATCATCAGCTACTTTTACACCTACAACAGGCTCTCTATATTTATACAGGAACTTTCCATTAACCAATGTGAATAAAGTAAGAAATTTCTTGTGAAGTAGATCATTAATTATAACAACTCTTTGTTTAATCTCAGGAATAATTGTTGCAACATCCTCATCCAATATTCCCTTAGGTTTTGACTGTGCAAGAGCAATAACTCTAAAAAATGTTGTTATTTATATTATTACAAAGCATACTCTATTCATATAAACAATAATCATCTACTCACTTTTTTCTTGTTTCATCCAAACCTTGAGTTGGTTGTGTGTCAGAATTTACTTCCATTTTGATAAATCTTAATAATTTAATTTACGATTAAATTCATTCCTAGTGTAAAGTTATCTATTTATTTTGATGCCTTCTTTATTGTGTTGATAGCATATAAATATCTGAGAAAACGTAACCTGTCAAGCAGGGTCACGTGTATAGGCTGCACGGTTTACGGCACATAAATGATGAACTATCACTAGCGTTTAAATTGGCAGACTCTGAACTTTGCACCCACCACCAAAACGTATGCTTTCTGGATTCTGATAGTGTTTGAGACTTTTGAGTCAATGTGGGAACGAAGTTCTCAAAACCATCACCGCGCAGTCCGAAGTATCGGCTTAAGAGTTAAGACCAACACTTACACAGTCCATGTGCCTGTGTAATAGTCGGTAGCACAATAGAAAGTAATAAAAGTATATATACAGAATCAGCTGTTTACCTCATACCAATTTGAATCAGATAATTGATCTATAGTGCAATTGGACTTGCTAACTTTTTATGATGAATGAACAAGACGAAATGCACGACGAAGACACGCTTGAAATAGCATCAAAAACGTGGAAAAGGTCAATGAATGCAGTCTCCACGGTAAATGTTTCACGTTGTCTCTTATATTGAAATTGATTTCGTCATTGAATTGATTCGTAATTTTTTTAAACTTCGTAGCAAGGATTTCGAGAGGGGAGAGAAGATGGATCGATGTCAGTTTATCAAGAAGGTTTTGATAAAGGATATGTAGACGCATTCAAAATTTCGTTTATATTAGGTGCTTACAAAGGATTTTTAAAACAGTTAGGCAAAGATGTCGAGTTTCCGGAAGAAATAAAAATAATATTGGATCAAAGTAAGAAAGGAATGTGTTACTTATGTGCGAATGAATCCACAAAACCACTTGATGGGTACAAAAATATTGATGAAATTCGTAATTGTCAAAGAGAACATGCTCAAAAGATAATTAAAATTATAAAAGATATCATGGATCCCTTATTAAATGAATCAAAAATTGACGTTACATCCTTATATTTGAATCTGTGACATTTTTAATGTTCTATTATGTAAGGCAATAATTTGTATATTTATCTATAACAGCTGGAAAATGTAGTTTTTAAGGTATTTTATTGTATCATGTTGTTTGTTAATTTGAAAGTTGATAATAACTTTTTATCCATATAGAAATGATTTTATTAAATATTTTTCAGTAAAATTATAAACAAAAAACGTATTTTATTATTAGTAGTGTTGTTGCAAAAGTTCAATCAACGTAGGGTTCATTCTTTCCACACTAACTGAAGATGGTAAATAGACACTGAAGTAAATTGATCAAAACGATTTATAAGTATAAACCTTCAGGTGAACCTTCCTTCTTCCTATACAACACACTTTCTTTAGATTTTTTAAAGTCTTCACTAGTAACTTTCATTCTCCGTTCTCTCAAAGCCATCAAACCTGCTTCAGTACAGATAGCCTAAAAATACAACATTAATTACAGTTTAAAATGTTAACAATTAATTAAAGAAATTTATTACATGTACTCAAAGTTTACCTTAATATCAGCTCCAGATAAATCATCTTTTGCCATGATCAGTTCAGAAAGATTTACATCAGGAGCCAAAGTCATGCGGCTAGTGTGTATTGTGAAGATTCTTCTCTTAGTTTTTTCATCTGGCAGTGGGAATTCAATTTTTCTATCAATTCTACCTGGCCTGATTAAAGCTGGATCAAGTGTTTCTATTCGATTTGTTGCCATTACAACTTTGACATCTCCTCTGCTATCAAAACCTAAACAACATAATTTTTACAATCAAATAACAATTAAAGTAAAATTGTATTCAACAAAAGTAACAAGTACTAACCATCTAATTGATTCAAAAGTTCCAACATAGTTCTTTGAATTTCTCTTTCACCCCCGCTGTTGCTATCATAACGTTTTGTACCAACAGCATCAATTTCATCTATAAAAACAATAGAAGGAGCGTGTTCTTCAGCAACTCTAAACAGTTCTCTCACAAGTTTTGGTCCATCTCCTAAATATTTTTGAATAAGTTCTGAACCAACAACTCTAAGGAAAGTAGCTGATGTTTGATTTGCTACTGCTTTAGCAAGTAAAGTTTTGCCAGTTCCAGGGGGTCCATACAAAATAACACCTTTTGGGGGTTTGATACCCATTTCTTCATAATACTCTGGATGAGTCATTGGAAGTTCAACTGATTCCTTTATTTCTTGAATTTGGACATCCAGGCCACCAATATCAGCATATGTTTCTTGTGGTGCTTTTTCTAATTTCATCACAGTAACCATTGGGTCTGTATCGTCACCCAATACACCAACGACAGCATGAACTTTGTGATTCAACAGAACTGAACAACCTGGTTCAAGTTGATCTTTGTCGACGAATGAAAGGATAGATACATAATGCTCTGATCCCACTGATGTAGACACAATAGCATGATTATCATCAATAATCTCCTCCAAGGTGCCCACGGACATTGGTGTTCCTCTCAAGTCATCAACTTTGGACCTTTCTTCTTCATTCTTTTCCTCCTGGGGTTTTAGACGCTCCTGATTTCTGATGAACTCTTCTTCCATTAATAAGTAATCCTTAATGCGCTCCAGTTTTAAAAGTTTCAACCTACATCTTGTGTGAGGTGTCACTTGAGGTAATTTCAGAGCAGCGTCTGGCCCTTTAGTACGCCGCTTCTTTTTTCCAACCCTAGTTGGTACTGGTGGTTCATATTTCTTCTTTTTATCTTTATCATCCTTCTTTTCTCCTCCCGCACCTCCAGGTCCGGATTGATTTTGACCCTAAAAAATCAAAAAAAATATCTTGTTGATGTGGACGATACTGACAATGTATACATTAGTCACAATAAAAGGTTATGGGCTCGCTGAGTAAAAATAAGAACATTGCACTTGGAATTCAGACCAAATCAACTTAAAAAATGTGTTGAACTTTGAATAATGGTTGTAATGATCTTTAGAATTCTATTAATATTATTTTACTTCCATAATATTTGAACTTTATTTAAAAAACACTCACCATTACTTGTTCTTTCTTTGACAAGCGCAAGTCATTGGCGAATCAAATCAGCCATTTTACTTTTTCGCTGTTTCGAGCGCTGAACTCTCGATACCAGCGCGGCTGTAAATCGGACTAGAACTGTTTGGAGGGGTTTAAATCGCAAAAATTTGCAAACTCCGAAAAATTTGCGGTAACTTTTTGATTTATTGATAATCTTTAAGTACAATTTTATCATGATAAAGAGCATGAATTTTCAGTGATTTTCCTCTTATCGTTGTTTAAATTTTTTTTCGTATCGATCGTTAAAGAGTTCATGATCATATTTATCATCTTTAGCATCACGTCAGTGAACGTAAAATCTAACTTTCGGAAGTGAGGAGAAATTTGATAATTTATTATTTACATTTTATTTTTCATATCAATGAACAAAGTTGTTATAAAATTTTCATTTATTCATGGCAGTGAATTCATTAATTTTAATGACATTGTGTAATAATGGTAAAGAAAACTTTTTAAAACTGGCGCACACATAATCTTTGAATCTTGATTTAAATAATAACTACTAATACATTTCAGATCAATTAGAATTAATCAAATATTCAAACAAATACATTAAATCGCAACTACTAATTCACAATCTTTTTTATTGAAAGTTATAATATGTAGGTATTTTATAAAATGATGAAGTGATAAAATGAGCTACCATAAAATATTGATAATTAAAAGAAATGTATTATTAGTTAATTAAAAACTATGTTTTATTTCACAAATACTGCTTAAGCTGGATAATGATTCTTGAAATACGTCACATGAGAGCTCTTGATTTTACTTTCGTTGAATCACAGATCCATCTTTCAAGAAAATTAACAACATCAAAGTTCTTAAGATGAAACTATAGTTTTCAAAAACAAGTGACCTATGACTTTGTACAAGTAAGAAGCCGCTGCTTGAGGCAAATATACTTTTCCGTGAACATTTATAGACCAGCTAAAATAACCCTAGGATCCTCTACTGCTTCTTTGATTTTCCTCAAGAACATAACAGCTTCACGTCCGTCGATCAGTCGATGATCATAAGTAAGAGCTATGTACATCATTGGTCTAATGACAACCTGGAAAAAATGATAACATTCATAAGATCAAGTAAAATATTTCTGAAATATAATTCGTTTTGATTTCAATACCTGTCCCTTGACTGCAACTGGTCTGTCAAACACACCATGCATTCCAAGAATAGCACTTTGAGGAGGGTTGATAATTGGTGTACCCATGAGAGAACCAAAGACGCCTCCATTACTTATCGTAAAAGTACCGCCGTCCATGTCTTCGATCGAAATTTTGCCTTTTCTCGCTTTGTCGCCAACAGCGGCTAAAGCTATTTCGATTTCAGCAAAATTCTTATTTTCAATACTTCGCAAAACAGGCACAACAAGACCTTTAGGAGTAGCTACAGCTACGCTAATATCAACGTAATCTCTGTAGACGATGTCATTACCATCGATGACGGCATTGACCACGGGTTGATCTTTCAAAGCATATGCTGAAGCTGCAATGAATGGACTCATGAAGCCCAATTTCAGTCCATATTTCTTTGAAAAAGCTTCTTGATTCGATTTACGGAAATCAATGATGGCACTATAAAAAGTAACATACAATGTAGATTACATTTTTTTTAAATGATCGATGTTAGTTTTGGTTTTTATGAAATTTTTATTACCTCATGTCGATTTCGTTAAACGTAGTCAACATCGCGTTAGTGTTTTGAGCATCTTTTAGTCGTTCGGCAATACGTAGTCGCATTCTGTTCATCTTTACTCTTTGTTCAGTTCTAGTTCCAATGATTTCGCGAGTATAATCTTGTGGGGGTAATACAACTTTAGCACCTTCCAATGACTAAAAATTTTAATCTATATAAATATGTTTTAAAGTAAATTTTGTAACAAGTTTAATTTTATTTGTTAATACCTGAGCATGTTTGATAGCAGCAACTGGCATAGAAGCTTTTGGAGCTTGAGGTGGAGGTGGTGCAGCTGCAGGTGGTGGTGGTGGAGCTGGTTTTGGGGTAGCTGGAGTAGGAACAGCTACAGGTGTTGGTGGTGGCGGAGGTGGTGGAGGAGCAGCTGCCTTAGGTGGTTCAGCAGGGGTTGGCTCAGCAGCTTTTGGCGCAGAAACTGTGCCAGTTGCTCCCACTTCAACAGTACACAATTTTGTACCAGCTGTGACAGTATCACCATCTTGTTTGAAAATTTCTTTAATAACACCAGCTGCTGGAGATGGAACTGGAACTGATGTCTATAAGGAAATAAGCCATTTAAATTTTTAAAATGAATATAATATGGAATATTATTATTCATAACAATGTTTTAATACCCTACCTTATCAGTTTCAATTTCACAAATCACCTCATCTTCTTTGATTTGTTCTCCAACTTTCTTTTCCCACCTCACATCTCCTTCGCTTATACTGTCAGCAAACGGCGGGACAACAACATCTTTGACTTCCCCTGATAAAAAATGATATCTCATTAAAGTGATAAGTTACTTTCTATTGTATATATTAATATCTTAATGTCAAAAGAACTTACATAACGATGATGATGTTCTTAAATATCTTATTTCAGCATTGAAAACATGAGGTGTGTAGGTTTTGCTCTTATTTCTAAAAGTAAAAGGTCAAAGTTTAAGGTAAAAAAATTAATAAGTTCAATAACTTGTAATATTAAAATGATCTTACTGTTTTAAAATTTGATTCAAGACTTTTTGAGCATGAACGCTAGATGAAGAACCTGTAAAAATGAAAATTCAAGTTTTAAATAACTTGTCCAATTGGGATAAATTAAATTACACATTAGTCAGTTACCTCCTACGTAGAACGTTCGCACCACCTAAAACAATAAAAACAAAAACGTGTTAGCTTCATATCATAAAAATGTCTGATACAAGTACAAGAATAGCCTATGACATTGACAGTTAGGGGCGAGAGAGAGAGAGCTCAGAGAGAAGCATCATCAGCGTAGAAGAGATAGGCCTAGCAGAACGTTAATGTCCCATGAGGTCACGTGCACACGAGTTGCACTAAGCATTAAAGCCAGAAAGAAAACTAGTTTAATCGTACAAGGTGTATATGTGTTTAATTTATTAAAGAGACACAATGGCATCGATTATGTAACTCGGCCGAATTAACCATGCCGAGTTTTGACATTCGCACGAGGCGTTGAGCAACGATACATCGCAAAAAAGCAGCGCGAGTATAGGTGCCGGATATTCAGCCAGTCGAGGAAATCGTACGACGTTATCAGAAGCTATATAGATAAACGCACGGAAGAATTGCAGGCGACAAGCGAGCGAGCGACGAATGGACCTTTGGAAAATGAAGACACGAGGGAGTGACTCAACCTACCTTGGACTGCAGCAGGGTCATGCGTTTAAGGGCACTGGTCGCGGTTCGACCCGAGTGGGTTATAACTCCGGCCATCGTTTCGAGTCAGGTGAATCACAGCGCCCGCTCTGCGGCACACTGATGCTTTCGGGACACACGCAAAAATTACACTAATGCCGCAGCAGTATAAAAACCACAGCAGCAGTACACGCACACAGGCACACGCGTTCAGTCGTCTCGTCACGAGCAGCGGCAGCACAGAGCCAGACAGTGTGAGCGTTGCTCGTGTAGATTAGGTTCTATCTATATATCTATAATGAGATGCGCGCCACGGGTAAGTGCGTGCTCACGATCTTTTGTAGGCCTGAAAACTCCGAACCTCTCCCTCGAGAGAATTGGAATATGTATATGTCGTAGCCGCAGAGCAGAAGTGCGTGAATGTGTCGTTGCGTAGGCTGTGTTGTATGCAACGAATCGGCCCGGCCGACAGCGCTATCTTACGACTAAATGCTCGACTAGCGCAGCTATTCAGCCAAACACTTGCAGTTATACAGCTCCAATGTTGCTGCGACCGCAGAGAATTGTTCGGATGATTTTTGAAATCCGCAATATGCCCCTCGTACCATTTAAAAAAGCTTTTATTCAAATTTTTTCGCAGAACGAGCTCCGCTGTTGGTACCCGACTGACCGTTTAAGGCTTTAAGATCACTTATTGGTGGAACGTGAAAGACATAGCGAACGCTTCTTTTTTTAGAATTGCGGGAAGTCATGGGGGGATAAAGTAAACAATGTTCGATTTTTATTACAACGTCGTTTATTTATTTTATGTACAAAAGATACGTTCTGTTCATGAATGCAATTTTTAATTCGCCATGCGTGAATTAAAAACCATGTCTTTATTTTTTTTAGTCTTATAATGCAAAGCGTCTTCGATGAGAAATAATTGACTATTTATCTTCTCTTGAGCTTCCGCGATGTGTGAGCGCGAGACGCCACTCTCCCTTTTTTCTTCTTTATATTATTGTATAAAAAAACCATACAGTAATTTTTTTTGTTTTGTTCATAATTGGCCTTACTTTCGCGGGATTCTATCCCATTTTCTAAAATACAATCGAGCTTATAACCTAAATATTTATATTGTGTACAAAAATGACTTGATATAGTTTGAAATGTTTTTATTTGCCTAGGTTTTTACCTTTCGGAGCGATTTTTTTTTCATTTATAAAGTACGCACATTTTATATCGTATAATGCGTGTAATATATAAATCTATATGCATTTATATTTATATAATACATTACATGTTTATACACTTTTTTGGGTAGAACATCACCCTAGCATTCATTCCATGAAATCTTAGAGTTCATTTTGCTACTACGTGGACATGACAATATATTAATTTATGCTTTTTACAGGTTTTCTAAGTAATACAAAGCTCTAATACATTTATACGGCATTCGCGAGTTATACTTATCTCAGATACATACTCAAATTAAGTATTTTACAATACAAAAAGTAATAAACTATTCGTAACATTCACGCTCGCACAAACTGTACAATGCCTCGCGTCGAAAAATAACGAATCAACGCGAAAACCCTAAATCTTTTACATTCAATATATATGTGGAAAAAATCCGATTTACATTTGCGTGGAATCTCTAGCGCATCGTTGTTATTTTCTTTTATTTTCTTTTTCAGAGTTTCAAGTAAATCTCACACTGCAACTGGTAACAAATTGAACTAGCTTCGCACCACTTTCTTCGCGATTCGCGATACAAAAAAAAATATGTACAATATATATTGAGACGGTCTCAATTGGAAAACGTGCTATATGAGAAAATTAAAAAAAATATAAAGCGACCACGTCTTCGTGGCATAAGCACGTTCTACAGTAGAATTCAGGAACTTAAATTTGACCGGCTATTTTTTTTCAGCTATCCAAGACTATAAACTTTCAGATGCGCTCTCGTAAATTAATTGTCGAATTTATTCCTAGTTTCTGCTAATACTTTTCAGTTTTGCAACTAGAAATTTACTTAAATTCTTTGTAATAAAAATGTACGTAAAAAAAGCTTTGGGTTCGGAAACTCGAGCTTTTCATTGCGACCACGCGCCCAACGTAATTTAATATTGCAAGCGGCGTATTTTGAGTCCTCTTTCTTAGCGGGGAAAAAGCATTCAAATGCCAAAAGTAAGTACATAGGTAACGTATGGATACAATCGCGCACGTACACAACATTACAAAAGATTTACGTGTCAATGTGTAATGAAACAAAGGAAAAAAAACTCGAGTTTCCTAAAAATACAGTTCAGTTGTCAGTCGCAAGTTCTCGACTCGATCAGAGTCGCAGCGTATCCGATCTCGCCTTAGAGACTTAAACGTAAGGAAAGTCGTTCACTCGAGGAACTTTTTGACATTTTCTACATTCTAATCAGCCTTGTGGTGAGTGTTCCAGTCTAGCTTCGAACGAGGAGCGTTAGGTCCAGCTTCTTTACAGAACAGAGCCAGTCTCGGCATCGGAGCTCATCGACTCGGTCGAGGCGTTTAGCGTGGTCGAGGTACTGCAGCGCGAGCTGCGCCTACTGCTGGAATTCGAGTGTCTGCTACGATCCACTCCACCTACAACAATTTTATAAACGAATGACGATGAGAACATGCCAGTCTTGGTTGACACAAACAGAGTGCGATCGATTAAAAAAAATTTTCTTTCAAACTTACTGTTGATCGGAGTGTGCAGTTCAACTTTGGCAGTTACCGTTGCAGTGACTTTCGTCGTGACGTGCGACGATTGTGGAGCTGGAGAGGTGCGCGCCGTTCCGCTCGAATCCGAACTCGGACAGTTCTGGAAGAGAGAAAAAAAACGATGTTAAATTGAAGTTTTAATAGAGATAAGTTGAGAAAAGTGTGGGGTCTAAAAAAAGTACAAACCTGATTTGGATACGTAGTGGAAGTTTCGACTTTGACCTCGGGCTGCACAATGATGCATTGCTCTTGCTGGCTGTGCCAGGAGTTGGGCTCCTCGGTTATAGTCGTGAGCGAGGGTTCCAGATGCTGCATTCGTGAATTGTCGATCTTGTTACTTCGTCTGGGCGGCGGCGGTGGCTTCGACGTCCAATAGAACATGGGCGAGGCCGGTGGCGTCGGGGTCGATATGCGATCGGGATGCTCGGTCGGCACGATCTCAGCGGCGGATCCGATGAGCGACAGGAGCACCGGGAAAAAGAGCAGTCCGTTGACGAGGCCAACGCCGATGAGGCAGGCGAGCATCATGTAAAAGTAGCGCGCGATGAATTCGAAATCGGAGAAGGCGAGCATCGTCAGGGCCAGGAAGATCGTCACCGCGCCGTGGATGACCGGCGTGGTCATGTGTTCGATGGCTAGGCGAATACGTCGGTCTCGACTGCCCACACTGGTTACGAAGCTCTGTTCAAAGGAAAGCAAAATGGTTACAGTCGCGTTTCTACATTTTAAAATATAGTTTTGCAATATATAAAACTTACCAAGCTGATGTGAACGGTAAAATGGACACCGATGCCCAAACTGACGATCAGCAGTACAGCCGAGACGGCGCTGAGCTGAATGCCGAAGAGACCCATGATGCCGATGAGTTGGACGAGATTGCAGACGAGGGAGAAGCCAACCAGCAGCGATGCCCAAATGTTGAGCAGCAGGAGACCGACGACGAAGATGCTGGCGCCGAGCGCGGCCACCACCGCCCAGATGAATCGGCTGTAGAGACTCGTGTACTGCTCCCAGAAAGTGAAGGGTATGCCCGAGGGGAAATTGGGCAGTCCGCGCTCCTCGAAGCGGTGGCAGAGATCGCGCACGTGCCTGATCAGGTCGGTTATGTCGGCCGTCGAGCTGAGCTTGTGCAGATAGAACGGCATCTGCGCGTACGTGATGGGCATGCTCTTGGGTATCTTGAGCTCGTGATCGTTGCTGTAGATCCACTGGCGTGGCTCGGGCCGGAGATTGGCCTGGCTGGCGCCGTAGGCCAGCGCGTCGTTGCTCGCCCAGGCGCTCAGGTAATTGTAGAAGGCGCGCGGATTGACGATGCCCTCGGCGCTGACGAGGCGCTGCTGCTGCACCAGCGACTTGTCGATGGGATTGTCCACGTGGCCGGTCTGCACGAGCAGCTTGTAGGCGAGGATGCCGTCGTCGCTGGCGTTCTTGAACCAGCGCTCGGAGACGATGCAGCCCTGGGCCCAGTCCCGGTCGAAGGCCGCCTGCAGGCCCACGAGCCAGTCGCGAAACAGGCTGAGCCAGAACTCGGGCAGGCCGCCGTCGTCGTTCTTGATGACGTTCTTGACGCGCATGAACGCGTCGTGGTACTCGTAGAGGAGGCGCTGATTGTTCGGGTACTCGAAGTCGGCGCCCGTCACCGCGTACATGTTGTAGAAGCCAAAGTGCTTGGCCTGGGCGGTGAGGAAGGAGCGCTCCTCCGAGTGCATGGGCATGAGGTCGGCGAGCTCGAGGCCCTCGGTCATGCGCGTGGCCTGCCACGTGCTCGCGGTCATCGCCACGGCCAGCAGCAGCATCGCCAGGGCCTTGTTGGTCGGCTTGAGGACGAAGGGCACGTAGTGCCGGGCGACCAGTCGCGTCAGCTTGAGACTCATCGAGTCCCGGACGTCGTCCTCGTCGCCCGTGAGGGCCTGTCGCTCGGGTTTTTGCGAACGATTGCTCGAGCTGCTCCTCGAGCAGCGGGACTTGTGGCTGGTGTGCGTCGGCAGTCCCGGCTCGCTGCTGCTCGTCGTCGGCAGCAACATGGGCTTCTGGAGCTCGGGCATGCAGCAGCAGAGCAGATCCGAGCGACCGGAACGACGTCGCCGCAGATCCAGACTGATCATGGCCGGGAAGACGAGGAGCATGGCGCCGAGACTGAAGAACATGAGCACCGCGGCTTGGAGCGAGAAGACGCGCAGCGCGGGAATGGGAATGAGGGCCGCGGCCAGGAAGGCCGTGACGTTGCACAGTCCCGCCATGAGGACGGAGAGGCCGGTGCGCTTGAGCACGAGACTGGTCTGCTGGTCGCTGGGCACGTCGCCGCGCACCGCCAGCTCCGAGTAGGTGTGCGTCAGCAGGTACATGTCGTGGACGCCGAGGCCGAGGCCGAGGAAGGGCACGATCTGGGTCGAGGCGGCGTTGAAGTGTATGCCGAGGAGCGCGCAGAAGCCGAGACCGGCGGCGAGGCTCGCGCAGATCAGCAGCACACCGGCCATGCCGACGCCCGCCTGCGAGCGCACCTGGTTGCGCCAGCGATAGAGCACGGCCCCGGCGTAGAGCATTACGAGGCCCGCGCCCAGGCCCAGCTTGGTCAGCGACAGCTCGCTGTACTTGCCGAGGACGTCGTTCATGCTGGTCGTGCTGAAGGCGTAGTGATTGTAGGGTCCTGACTCGGCGCTCGAGTTCTGCAGGCGCTTGACCTGGGCGTTGAAGGCCCGCTGCCAGCTGTCGAGCACGTACGAGGCCTTCTCCTGCGACCAGTCGAGGTGGTGGACCTTGTAGGTGTTGGCCCAGAACTCGTAGAGCTCGCGCTCGCCCATCAGCTGGATGACGGTCTGGAGGGCGGCGGCCTTGGTCAGGTGGCCGGTCTTGTTGTGCTGGGCGCCGCCGACGATCAGCTCCTCGGGCCAGTGCATGTAGTTGGCCGCGAAGCCGTAGCAGCCGCCGGTGAGCTCGGCCCCGACGTCGGGACCCTCGAGGCGCTCCTTGTTCGGGGCCGTTCGCGGGCACTCGGGATCGCGCGGGTTCAGGCAGGGCTTGCTCTGGTAGCCGTTGGTGATGCCGGCCCGCTTCATGTACTCCTCCAGGGTCTTGTACGGGAAGCTGTACTCGAGCTTCTTCATCTCCTCGACCATCTCCGTGGGGTTGAGGTTCGTCCAGTTGAGCGGTTTGCCCGACAGTCGGCCTCTGCGCGACGCAACAAATACAGAGTCCCCCCGTTAATATCGTCTCTCTCGCTGCATCGCATATTTTTAAGAAGAGACTAGTAAGAGGTACTCACGGTATGTGAACGGGATACTCGGGACCGAGGAGCATGCTGCCCTCCCAGAAGCAGTCGAGGGGTGTGATGATGGCGCACGGAATGATGCTGTCGAAGATCTGGTCGATGTAGTGCACGTCGAAGTTGGGTATGCTCGGGGCGTAGCACAGATCCTTGAGCCTCCAAGTGCTGCGCGTGGAAATAAGCAAAAAAGTAAGCGTGAGCAATCGGTATAAATCGGTTCGGATCGAAATTTCTGCCGATATAAAATAATTCCGTATACTCACATGTCGAAGAGATGCACCGAGACCTGACTAGCCGTCTTGATGACGTTGAGGTGCTGCTTGAGCGCCGATACGTGCAGCATGTTGGCGCCCTTGTCCCGCGGCGTCTGGATGACGAGCTGGTGGGTCGAGGCCGAGGCCTCGCCCAGCACCTGCGTCGCATACTTGACCTCGCGCTCTAGCCGGCCACCCTCTGCAACAAAACGTCGTGGAAAATAATTCAATTAATGCGACGTGCATCAACAAATAAAGCGGCTCGCATACTCTCTCTCTCTCTCTCTCTCGTAATATACAATATAATATAGCTCAAGAAAGACAGATAGACACGCAGAGTTGTTGTTGTGATGTTTTCTCTCTCTCTCTCTTTCTTGTCCGCTCGCGAGCTTATAAGCGCAGCAGCAGCTACGGCGGCGCAGACGAAAAAAACCTACGAAAGAGGACGGCAAAGGAAAAAGAAAAAGAGAGAGAACGAAGAAGAAGAAGTAGAAGAAGAGGAGGAGAAGACGAAGAAGAAGAAGAAGAGAGAGAGAGCGGCATATCTGGTCGCCGTCAGGCAAGCAGGCATGAGGCAGGCAGGCAGGCAGCAGCGGCGGCGGTCCGAGCCGGGGACCACCCGAGTCGCGCGCGTCCGATCATCGGTTCTCAACCCCGACGTGTATATAACGTCGACTCCTCCCTCCTCTCTTTTTCTCTCTCCTATACTACACACACACGCTGCTCGCTGCTGCTGCCTCTCTGCCTCGGCTCTCGCTCGTATATGCTCTCTCTGCCTCGCTTCTTCTTCTTCTTCTTCTTCGTACATGTATATTCAGCGGCTACACGCATGTATAATATACACATATAGAGAGAGAGAGAGAGAGAGAATGAAGCTATCTGTGTATATCCTTGCATGCGTGTAGAGGAGTACCAGCATCGGTGTACGAAGACGCACATGCAGCGGCAGCAAAAGCATGCCGAGCGGCGTTTGACGTCGTCGTCGCCGTAGTCGTCGTCGTCGTCGCGAGTCGCGACTCTTGGCGCCCAAAAACTCTCTCTCTCTCTCGCTCACTCTCTCTGTTATATTATGCCTCTCTACTTGGAGCGGCGGCGGCGCGGTGTGTTACATGGTGAACTGCACACGATGATGCACGCAGCAGGCCGCAACGGATCGCTCGCTCGCTCGCGCGCCGGATGTTTACCGAAAGCCGATCTCGCTGATCGCCCATGGGAAAATTAGGGAAAAATTTAGCCCGCTTTCCGAGTATACGTGTGTGCGCGTGTGTGTATGTTTGTACGCACGACGATCGCGCTCCGTTTATCGATCGATTATTTTCGTCTCATTATTTCGGTACTCGGTAGAAATTATTATTGCTAAGTCGCATATTTACAGGAAGAATATGCATGCGCGCTGGCTGGCGAGAGTAAGAGTAGTCGGTTGCGCTGCAGCGGCTGCCGAGCTGCGCTCTGCCTTTGCTGCGGCGCGCGCGCTCCGAGGAATTTCTTGATTTATTATCGTTCCGAGCGACGGGACATCGTCTCTCTCTCTCTCTCTCTCTCTCTCTCTGTAATTATTTTTGTTGCCTGGCCTTGCTATTCTCTCTCTCTCTTTCTCTGCATACATAGGGAGCCGCGTGCACATGTACGCCAATGGCACTTTCGGGCGCGTTTTTGGCAACCCTTCCGGCTGCTCGCTTACAGCATCTCGCGTCTTGTGCGAGCTTGCAGGTATATTTTCGGTCATTCACCAATCGGAAACTAGCCCGCGCGCGCGTGTACCCGTGCGTGCATGTGTGTGCATGCAGAAATTAAAGAGAGTGACACGGGCCCGCTCGCATTGCTCTCCGTCGCTGCTCCTGCTGTTGTTGTTGCTGCTGCTGCTGCTGTTGTGCTCGGTTCTGTGCGAGAGAGAGAGAGAGAGAGAGAGCAGGCGAAAAGCACGTATATATATACACAGAGACTACAGAGAGCGAAGAGAGAGAGAAAAAGAGAGAGAGAGAGAGCAGCGGCGGTGGGCCACCCACGGTGACCGTTCACCGGAACCGAGGCTCCGTCCAATGCACCAGTGACGCTCAACTTGGAGTCTCTCGCTCTCTCGCCGTTGCTATTGCTCTTGCTACTCTGCGGAGCTCTCTCGCACACATCGCTCGTGTATACCACCGCACGTTAAACCGGGCCTATTTTACCATTTTCTCCTTCCCCGAATCCCGCGCGCGCGCGCACGTAGTTGTCAGTTGCCGCAAATGTATACATGTATACACAAACACACGCGAGCTAATCCAACGCACATTTACAAGAAAACTAACAGTCGTTGCCGCCGTCTCGCACAAATATCATATAGCAGTCACACGCACTTTTGTATACATTTATAGTAAAATATATATATATAAAACTATACTACTCGATCTATCCTCTTTTACTACAACACGAGTCGTTGGCTTCTTTTTTCCAAGATTCCGATCGTCGTGATCGCGACGACTAAAAACGATCATTATACGATGACCGATGATGAGCCGTTCACAGGGGGAATGTCCATCCACGGATATTTACGCAATTCGTCCTTGTAATGAACACATAATGCCGAGAGAGAGAGAGAGATTTTTTTACGGCACAAATTTATCGTTAGTCTTCGCTGTATGGTACCTATATACGAGAGCAGCGGCCGGCTGCAGTCGTCGCGCAACGACCTCCGTGAGATACGACCCGGTGGTCGGGCGCGCGCCGCGCGTATCGGTAAGTAACACCCTGCCGTGTGTCCGCCTCCGCCTCTTCTATCTCTCTCTTTCTCTCTTTTTTCTCATTCTCTCTCGGAATTCGTCAATCCTCTCTCTCGCGCGCTGACTCAGCCGATTTTTATTCGATTTTTACAACTCTACGAGCTGGTTATGGTATTAAAGTACCTACATCCTAGTAGTCGACTCTCGAAGAATGTGTTCGCGCGCGCGGAGGATATTAAATTCGCGTACATCGAGGAGCAATTTACAGGCGGGCCGAATATACGACGACGAGCAGCAGGATACGCCGAGATTCCTCGCGACCTTATTCTCGTCTCAGGGGTCGTTCGCGGGTTCGGCGGCTATACGTGCTGCAGCTTTAATGATACCTTGTATGCCGCTGCGAGCGTGCACACGCGCGCCTTTTCTCGAGAGGCACAGGCGCGCGCCTTATACCTCGGCCTGCAGGGAATACGATTTCGGAGCTTTAAGTGCATCGGATTTCGGCCTCTGTGTATATTTCTCTTTCTCTCTTTCTCTGTGCGAGTTTGGGTGTACTGCACTCATCCGCAGCAAGAGAGATGATCATCGTCATCGTCGTCGTCGATCACGGACTCTCCTCTCTGCACGCTCAGTGCACGCTCGGCCCGCATAGCCGGATTTCCGCTGCTCCTCGAGACAGAGTGAATGAGATAGAGAGAGAGAGAGAGAGAGAGAGAGAGATCGAGAGGGCATAAAAAAAAACAATAAAAGCAAAGGGAGAGAGAGAGAGAGGAGAGAGAAGAAGGTTGATGATAGGTGTAGCGATGCTTATAATAAATATAATATAATACGTGTATAATATAGAGGATGCTTACCCTCGACCCAGAGCTGATCGACCTTGCTGTGGACCTGGACGGACTTGAGGGCGACGCAGAAGGTCGCCAGCGCGAGGATGGCCACGAACAGCACCTTGCCCGCGTGTCGCTGCAGAAAGTAGCCCAGCTGACTGAGCTGGTCCTGCAGCCGGGCGCGGAACCACACCACCGATCTGGGCCCCTCGGCCTTGCCCTGCAACAGACAACGCAAAGCGCAACGGTAAGATACACGCGCAAAAAACATCCAAAAATAATCACGATACATAGCAATGAGAGAAGAGGGCAACGGCAACGATAATAATACAAAAAAAAAACAGGAGAAAAAAAAACGAGAAGGTAAAAATCAAAGCGGTGTATGGTAGCCGCGCGCGGCATAGAGCACACAGCAGCTTTTCCAGCCAATTTAACTCGAGCGACGAAGCCTGCAGCCCCTGGTCCCCGCTGCTATACACTCGTTATATACGTGTGTAATATGTACGTGTGTGTGTGTATGCGTGTAGTATAGTAGTATACATAATACACACTGTCTCTCGCTCTCACTCACTCGCTCCACCGCATAGACGTTGCGCTGCTCATGGTGTGTGTGTGTGTGCTGCATATAGCCATGCACGGCGAGCGAATAAACGCGAGAGCGAGGAGCCCGAGACCTATAAAAGTAACCTTAGACGATGAGCGGAGGAGCGACCGCACATGCCTACCTGCACACATGGCTTCCGTCTTACGCGAGAGCTCGAGCTGTGCGCGTATATATAAGAGCGGAGCGTCAGCAGCAGCAGCGGCCGAGCCTACCTCTCGCATCCATGCTGTGTGTTATAAAGTGTTTGTGTGGAAGTGTGTAAGTGTGTATCGCAAAACAGCACGCGACACTCGAAGCTCTCTCGATACTACACTCTGCAGCACGTTTCGATGCTGCAGCAGCAGCACACGCGCGTATAACACGGACCAGCTTTATATAGGCCTCTCTCGCTCGCTCTCTTTCTCCTCTATCCCGTGCAGCGAGCTATATATAGGCCCTCGAATTTTATTCCAGCATCCTCTCTCTACGTAGATGTGTATTGTGCTCCTTTTTTTCGGAGCACGCAGGTAAACGTATACTTCTGTAAGGATCATTCGCTCGTTACTGTATACGGAATGAAAATTTCACGCGCGCGCACTGGCACTTCTTGCGCGCTGGCGTGCGTTGACTTTTGTCGCCGACGATTTTTTTCTTAAATATTCCTCGTGTACGATATATATACGCGCGACTTTATACTAATTTATGCCCAGGAATCTCGCTCGTCACAGATGAAACATGGCAGCAAATCGATTTTTCATGTAGATTGCCACTTCTAACAAGTTTTTTTTGCTGCTGATGCTGCTGCTTCATCTTGTCTTTTTTTCGATTTTTTTGCGCGCGCGCTTTTGTCTCGCCTTACGCTCGCTTAATTCCGACACTATTACGGAGAAGCAGCGACGCACGAGGCTCGGAAAACATCAAAAAGATCAGAGAGAGAGAGAGACCCAACGACGACGACGACGACAACGGCGACGTTCCAAAGAATATGACCACCATCTCAAAGAGTAAGTGATTTTCAGAGAGAAGAGAGGGAGAGACAGTATTTATGTAGGTATAATAATATAAGAACGCCGGCGGTATTATGCCGAGCCGAGAGAAGATCCGTAAAATTCTTTTGATTCCGATTCCTGTGTGTGAGGTCGTTTTGTGTGATTCGAGACCGATAAAAGAATACGTATATTGCGTGGCGATCGTATATTATTACACATTAGTTACATTAGACCTCGGTGAATGGGCCGCGAGCGAAAGTGTGAAATACTTTCACCGGGGCCCGCAGCCTCGAGTTTTTTAGAAAGATTAAAAGAAAAATAAGGAATTAAATATTTGCCGTTGCTCGAGACTTTTGGTTTTGCCCATGGCCGCCCGGCAGAAAACGAAGAGAGGCAGAACGAGAGAAAAGAATTAAAATCGAACACTATACAGCGAGATATTATCGGTGCATCTCTCACGTGCGTTGCTCAAAATGATTTGCTTAAAAATGTTCGATTCGCTGAAATGTGCCGCAGGTACATGAGATAGGAACGGGACCTTATACGCATATGTAGTTCCGTCGAGGTGTTCGCACCGATAGATTTTTGTGACTCTTCTTGCCGGCTCCCCGCGCACGCGTCAGGAATTTAAACGCTCCTATGATTTATCGTTATAATTTTGCAGAATGCGCGCGACGAGGAACGAAATATCTCGGAACTCCAGCGCCGCTTCGTTCATAATTCAGATTTAGCGTCGTATAGAAAAATGTTTAGAGTGCTTCGAGAAAAACGGAGAGACATTTTTTGTCCGATTTAGAAGATTAGAATATAAATTATTACAAAAAAAAGCCAAAAAAAAAGAAGCAGCGAAAGAAGAAGACGGAGAAGAGGAATGAGACACCTGTTTTGAAAAATTGCACGCATATTACAAGTATTTAACGCGCGCGGAATGTGTAAACAGGATACTTAGGTAGCGCGCGAACGACGATCGGTCCCAAGATTTGGTTTTTGAAGCTCGGCGATCGCGCGTCATTATCGTTATTATCACAGGCGGGTGGTTGTTCAACAAAAGAATAGGAAAAAAATCGATATCAAATATGAAGGCGCTCGTACGAGGTGGGTGGGAACATTTTCATAAGCGCCAGCGAAACTCGATTTATGATATACGTATTAACATTATGTAGTCTCATTAAACTACTATTCAGGTTCGGATGACGATTAAATCGCGCGATTACACGTTTTTATAATATACACGTATACCGCGAAAAAGTCAACGCGCGTCCGGTCGGGCTAATGTTCAGTGTGTTTACGTTGTATAAATGGCATACACGATATACAGTGTATGTACGAGTATAATAAGATCAGAAAAGCAGTTTCGGAGTCTTCGAAGTTTATTAATAGCCTTTACGCGATGCGTTACGCCGACGTTATATATACTTGCTGCTGCTGTATATGTTGCTACGCGAACCATGCGTGCGATCGTTCCTCAAGGGCTCGCGGAGGCAGCAGCCAGAGAGAGAGAGAGAGAGAGAGAGAGAGAGCGGCGCAATGTACAGCAGCAGCGAAACACGAGTCGCTTTTTGCCGCAATTTATAATATACAAGGAGGAAGAAGATGAGAAAATCTCAGCGATGGGTCCCGAGGAGCGCCGCCGGCGGAAACGAGCAATCTACGCGAGGCCTACGTATGTGTGTGTGTATGTATTACATACAGTGTGTACGTGTGTGCGTCGGTGTCATCTGTCTGGGCGCTTCTTTATGGCATGCAAGACCATTGAAGTGTATATACAAAACATGATGAAACATATAGTGTCTATCATTACTGACGCTCGGATAACGCTATTAGCTCCGAAAGCGGCGTTTCGTAAGAAATCGGTATTAGCCATGTCAAGGTACACATAAAAGATATCTGTATAGAGAAACCGTCTGCACCGAGTTTACGTATCTCCATCTCTCTTTGTGTGTACGAGTGCAGCGCAAATATGTACGCTGTATACGTAAACAGGTAGAGAAGAGGAGTTTGCTCATAGAGAAGCGTCATTAACGGCAGCTGCACAAGACAACCCAAGAAGAGAGCAGAAGACGGCCTACACATACGTACACTCGTACTCAAGCGCACACACATACGAGTATACGAGAAAGAGAGTAACATAGTATAGATTATATACAGTATTAAGTGCTGTATAGTAAGCAAAGGAGAGAAGAAGCAGAGAGGACGAAGAAGAAGAAGAAGAAGAAGCCGCTATAGAAGCGCAAGGAAGGGACAGAAGCAGCACAGCAGTAGCAGCGGTTTATGCACAGGCAAACGTCTGCGTGGGTCTCGTGCAGTATATAGAGACTGTGCGGGTACACTATGTGTGTCTGCAAATATAAAGGTAATGTTCAATGCGAGCAGGATAAAGGCACCACTGTATATAGGTGAATTAATACAGATCGGCAAGATCCAGAAGCAGACGTCTATTTAGCTCTCTCTTGTTCGCGCTTACACACGCATACGTATTTACTACGACGAGTACTACGCAATCCGCGCGTTTGTCTGTCTGTCTGCGAGAAAATACCTCGCGCGCGCGAGAAAAAAGATGTTGTCGTGTCTGTGTGTGTGCGTAAAAAAGTACACGCATAAATATACATTAAAGCACGTTATATACGAGAAAAGAAGACTAAGCAGAAGAGATGAGATATTTCGTCGAGGTCGGAGCCACGCAAGCACGCAGACGCGTCTATATCGCGTACACATTTACGCATAAATACATCGGGCATTAGGCACACGAGGAGGCGGCGGCGGCGAGTGCAAAATAGAGGCGCTCGTGCATTACTACGCACGCATAACTATACCTATACCTACAAACATCGTGCGTATTATGCGCGTCGTAATGTATTCTCGCGTGCTGCATGCGTGCGAGGCAGAGGCACAAGGCAGACGGTCGGTGCGTATGCGGCGCGAGGCCAAAGAACGCGTACATAAAGAACGACCGAGAAGAAGCAGATCAGCGGGAGTCTACTGCTCCGCTGCTGCTGCTGCTGCTGCCGATTCGTAGACTCGACAAAAACGACGAGAAAAAAGGGCCCCTGTGGTTTTCCCGACGCATAGATACATTATGCGCGACTGCGCTATGATATAGCTATAATTCGCCTGCTATTATTACGTCTGTGTATGTATACGTTTGAGTAAAAGCCGAAAAGCATCAGAAGCAGAACGGAGCAGCAGCTGCATGCAGCAGCAGCAGAGCCGCCACCATCGTCGATCGAGGTATGCTGCGCCGCGATCGGCAATGTGCAATGCAATGTCGTAGGTAGTATAGTAGGCCCCGCGCGAGCGAGGATCGTGGAGGGGAGTCCGTTACTGCTCTCGCGCGAGGGCCTTTAATCGTGACAGTGTGCGTGTGTATGTGTACTCCTGTATGTATCGCATATGTGTGTGTTCGGCGCGATGACAGCGCGAGAGCTGCGCTATATGTAGATATACGTACGGTAGCAGCAACTCGGAGCGCATTGGTATGTTCGAGTCGGCTTGTGTTTGTATTATTATGCACTAAAAAGGTTCGCAAAGGGACTTGGCGTGCTCTCTTACCTTTTCGAGCTGATCGAGAGCGATGGCTGCATCGGTCCAGCTGGGCCTGATGTACAGGTCGCTCTGGTGCCTCTTGCGCTGCGCCTCGTCCTCGACGACCTGCTGCTGCTGCGTAGGGCTCGTACGCTGCTGCTCCGCCGAACTCTGATCACCCGTGCCATGAGTCGGAGGAGCTGCTGCCGTTGTTACTGTGCCATTGTTATGGTGATGATTGTTGTTGGCATTGTTGCTGCTGTGGTTGTTGTTGTTGTTGTTGGTGGCGCAGGGCGTCGTAGCAGCACCGCAGCAGCCAGTGCAAGCCGGAGTGGAAGCTACTCGCGCGTTGTTGCTATTGTTATTGTTATTGTGGTTGTGGTTGTGGTTGTTGTTCTGGTGGTGGTTGTTGTTGTAGCTGAGGCTGCAGCTGCGTCCCGCTAGGATCCCACTTGGGCCGGACGCAGCGACCATGGCTCCTCGCGCATCGCCTCCGGGAGGCTGAACGCGCGACACGGGGCCCCACGCAATAATACTTCACTTCTCGCGCTTCACGGCCGGCCTTTCTTAGCCGACCCACCACTGATGCGCCCTTTTTCTTCTCTTAATATTTTGTATATTGTAACGATATACTTTTCTGCACTGATCTTTTAAATGTAATTATTTCGCACTGTAGATTTTATAATAGCCGCACGTGTGTGTGTGTATATGTATATGTGTATAACTTTGCGCAAACACTCGCACTCCGAGTGTTTACTTGTACTACAAGAATTAAAACGTATAAAATACTGCTACGTTCACTGCTTTCGTGTATTAAAACACCACGACAACAGGACTCTCTTTCGTTATATTACAGTCGTGTCATGTACTTGTGTGTGTCTGTGTTTGTGTGTGACCGTCGTCTGCCGCACTTTGTCGCACTTTTGCACTCGCGCGAGCAGCGTTACGTCTGCCTGACACATTCGGATTGCAACTGGCGAACTTGTCTCGATCTTGGCACGATGGAAGCGCGGCTGCTGTTGCTTTTTCTCTCTCTCTCTCTCTCTCTCTCTCTCTCTCTCTTTCTTTCGCTTCGTTTCGCTGTACGAACGGCGCTCGACTCCTATAGCAGCGGGCCCCCCACCACCACCACCATCGCTGCCGCCGCCACCGCCGCCGCCGCTACCAGCGCGAAAAACAGTCCAGGGCCGTACGCGGCAGGCAAACGGGGACTAGCGAGTGCCTCCACGAACGTGGCTTACCGATCGCGCCCCGGCCTAGAAGGTAGGTACGGCGGTGGCGGCAGCCGGCCCCGGGACCACCCGTATACCTGAACCCATGTAAGCAGCTATACGTGTATGGATGGCGTCCGTGTGTATCCGTGTGTTTGTATGTGTGCTACGTCTGCTTCGCTGTTGCTGGCTGCGTCTCACTCTCTCTTGTGCTGTATTATATGTGTGTGTGTGTGTGGCTGGAAGTATGTATAAGCGCGAATTCGCTGCCGCCACCGACTTGAGATACGACTCCACATGTTATAGGATATATGTGTGTACGCGCTAAACGTTAGCCGTATGACTTTTATGTATATAGAGGCTCCGAATTGAGAAAAGCCGATTGATTCGCCGCGTCGTCGTTTTCACCTGGTCGTTGCGTGCCCCAATCCCGATATTCCCTTATGTTCTTTTTATTTCATTATTTTCGCTGGGTCATGCCGCGACGCGACAATCGTGAGAGACACGAGTGACTGCGATTAGAAAAGCACCCGATATTGACGAAATAAAGTAGCTTCGTACGGAGGAGCGCACAATCTTTTCAAAAAATATCGTTCGGCGAATCGTTGGCTTTATAACGAGATAATCGATCCGCCGATCGTGTACATGGCACACATGCCACCGTGTATAAATCGATCGGAATCGCTCCTAGGACAATTATCTACGCGCGATACACACATAAATGACTATGCACATTACAATATAAGCTCTTTTCTCTCTCTCTATTCCATGCCATAAGTTGAGCAAATTTCGTCTCGGATTGTTTGCCTCTCGTATATATATATACATGCATCCTGTATATGTGTGTGCGTGCACGCGACAGCTGAAGTTGCGGCGCGGCGCAAGCGGGCCCGAGACTTCGAGGCATAATAAGGTATAGCTATATATACGAGTATTATAATCGCGGCGCACAAGGACGAATGCACGAATGTTATTTCACTCTCTGTCTCTTTCCTCTCTTTCTCTCTGCGAGCGTGACAAGTCGGGACCACACATGCCGTTCGACTCGTCTCTCTCTTTCTCTCTGTCGCTCGTAGCTCTAAACATCATCGCTTTTTTTTTTATTTTTTCTATTATATTATATGTATATAGGACCGTATACGCGCGCGGGTACAATATATCTATAAGAAACGCGCGCGAGGAGCATCGGTACGAGGAGTAATAGCAGCAAAAGCAGTCGTGGAAAAAGAGAAGGAAGATCGTCAGCAGCAGCAGCTCTCGCGCTGACTTTATACATTGTATTATAAGTTGGCTGTATAGGACGGCTCATATTATATACGAGCTCTCTTTTCTCGAGCGGGAATCCTTTTCTTTTGTCGCTTCTGCTCGCCCATTGACGCGAGCGACTCTCGGGCTTTTCTTTTCAGGCTCTCTCGCTCGTTCGCTCGCTGTCGGAGAGTCAAAATAAGGTGAAAAAAAGCCGAGAGAGCTCCTAATTCAGCTCGCGTGAAGACACACTCGGACGCGATCTTGGAACTGCTGCTGCTGCTGCTGCTTTAGCTCGACCACCCAACGAGCGCTATAATGTCTAGCTTATCATCCCCAACGGGGCAGATGTGTGCGAGCTTTAAACTAGAGCCGTGGCGTGTACGTAGCTGGCAAAGATCGGTAAAGCGATCGGTATACGAGAGATCGGCGCGGCGCGTAAGGCGGGCAGCCGCAGTGTCATCGTCGTCGGGCTGGGTGGGCGCACTCGTGTATACATACAACATATCCACGACAACACAGATACGCAGTTCTGCGACTAGGACAGCAGCCGGGTCGTAGGCAAAGCTGCTGCTGCTGCACTAGCTGCCGCTCGGTTGCTCGCTGCTGCTGCTGTGGCTGTGGCGCGGGCCACCCACGTCGAGCGCGCAACTTTACTACGGGGCCCACCCAAGACGCGTCGCTCGGCTCGCTCGTTCGCGCGCGCATAGGCCTCTTCAAATTAATCCGGCACACAAGTAGTTGCGGTGCTCTCGTGCTCATTCCGTATACTGCAGCTGTATGTATGTGTATATATATGTGGAACGCGGGCGCGCGACGCGTCGTCCTGTGTGTGTGTGTAAGCCTGTTGCAAAGAGAGAAAGAGAGAGAAAGAGAGCAGTTATTGATTGCTTGCTGCGCGCGAGAGAGAGAGAGAGAGAGAAAGACCAGAGAGTCGTCGCGTTGGGTGGTCCCGCGAATCTTTATTCGCGCGTCTTCTTGGGTGGTCGTCCGCAGAACGCAAAAGAGACTCTCTCTCTCTCTCGCGAGTCCAGCCGTATGTGCTGCATATGCCGTACAGCTCGGCGGCTGTATAGATTCTGGATATGTTGCGCTGTGTTCGCGCGCCCGACGAGCCATGCCATGCCATGCAGCAGCAGCAGTACGAGAGGAGAGAGAGAGAGAGAGACAGCCGAGGTAGCGCCGGACGGCCACTGCCGCCGCGACTCTTAGACGCGCGCCGGCTCGATGCTCTGCTCTGCTCCTCTCTCTCTTTGCCACAGCTCCTCTGCTCTGCTCTGCTCTGGTGGTCGGCCGTGGCAAATTTATCATCGACTACCGCGTGCTGTATCGACTATATATAATATGAAGCACACAAGCACACGTGCATGTAATATGTACCGATCGTCCACTCGTCTCTCTCTCTCTCTCTCTCTTTCTCCTGGTCTCTCGCTCACTCCCTCGAGTCTACTATATCTCTCTACTCGATATAATGTGTTATATATATATGCGGGACCCACCGCTACTTATATAATATACAACTATCGCGACCGAAGCTAGAGTCTCGAGATCGTTTCTCTCTCTTTCTCTCTCGGGCCACTACTCGACGTATATACAGGTATACACACGAAACACGCGGGGCACACACGTGTGCGTGCAGCAGTGTTTGCACATCATTAGACCGAGAGGCCAAGTGCAGCAGCAGCAGCAGCAGCCCCCGGGGCCAGCAGCGACGATCGGCAGAGATCGAATTTCGAGCCGTGTATAGCTGTACTTGCGCCGGGGACTCATTAGTCAAGAGAGAGAAAGAGAGAGAGAAAAAGGAGTTGGCCATCCTACTTTTACATATTACAAACATACATCTGCAGCGATGCAAACGCGTCAATCGTTCGAGACTCCGGAAGACGCATAGACCGGGGAGGGCTGTAAAGGATACGCGCAGTACAACTCGTTATGCGTACAGACGCGCTCGCAAGGATCGGCGCATTATTCCCGTGACTCTTGACGTCGATGATTTCCGAGTCGTTTAGGAGTCCGAGCGCGCGTGGGTTTTTGGAAGCTCTCGTGCGCAGCTCGGGCTTGTATATATATGTACGTAATAATAGTTGAGCTATGTAAAAGAGAGGAAAAAAGGAAGGAGGCAGCAGCAGCAGTGAGCAACGGCAGCAGCAGCAAGGTGGGACCACCCAAGTGGCCGGGACTCTACTACTATACTACTCTTCTGAAAGACACGACTGCACGCTTCGCGAGCCGCGCGCGCTCGCTCGGCCAGATATCGTTCGCCTCTCTCTCTCTCTCTCTCTCTCTCTCTCGCGAGTATACATACACACGACGATATATAGATATATTATATGTACAGCAGCAGCAGCATAGGAGTGTGCTCCGACTCGAGAGAGCCCAGGCAGCTATTCAGACCAGCCAACGTAGCTATATAATACGGGCGCGCCTTGCTCCGCTGGCCCATAAACAGGCACGACGAGGACCACCCAACTCGTCGCGCAGCGACCATATATACATACCTACACTTAGCATATAGCATACCTATCTCTGTGTGTGTGTGTGTATAATACGTACCACGTTATATGGCGTATATATAGTAACGAATAAAAATACGGAGAGCCGCGAAATGTCTCTAAATACTTTTATACTCGCGACGAGGAGCAGCGGCAGGACGAGGCACTTGGCGCAATGACAAGGGGGGGCCCGTGCGATCGTGCGTGCCTGTGTCTCCGCGAGTATATATGTATCGAGGTACTCTCGTGTAGATCGCGTTGAACGTCTCTCTCTCTCGTCGATGCACTTATATACACGACGAGGAGAACGAGAGGACATGGACATATTATATCGTATGCAACGAGCGTATTTATTTCTCCCAGCTTTACATTATACAACAACGGCAACGACAACAAACGACAAGCTTCGATACAAGTATATGTAATGTAGTAAGTAACATGCAGCAGTTTAATTGATCCCCGCGCGCATCCAGCTTTAAACTTATACTGCGTATATAAATACCAATAACATCGTGTGTGCAGTACATACGGCGCACGGCTTTAATACAATACTATATAAATACTATCTTATGTAGCTTCGAAAAGGGTATAAAACAACAACGTGTACGGAGGAATCTACTTTAACTGCAGCTCCGCGTCTCTCCCATCGGGATATATCAACTCCGATCGTCGATGTGTGTGTGTCTCGTCGCGTCGTTGCGATTCGTCAGGCGCCACCGGCGGCGGCAGCGGGACTGACATTAGGCATCGGTCGTGGCGGAGGTTGGAGCTTTGAGTCGTTGCTGCTGATCGCTCAGGTAGACTCGACGGTAGGTCCCGGTCGGGTCGTACTTGGCCTCGAGCTGCTGCCAATCCTCGGGCCGATGGTCGATCAGATGGTGCGACAGCTTGTCCGAGATCTGCCGCTGGCGCACGCTGCACCGGCTGCACTCGTTCGCCAGCGCGTCCGGTAGATTCACTGCATCAAAAAATGAAAAAAAGCTTCGTAGAACAATCGTAATGATAAAAGTAATGCGCGAAATGAAATGCGGAGAGAGAGAGAGAGAGAGGAGGATATCGTTGAAAAGCAAAAAAATAAACACGCGATCGCGTGCCCGTGCGATGGCTCCGCAACTCCGACTCGATTTTCCGGCGTAATTGCCAATCTTGCGAAATTCCCTCTTTTTTCTCTCTTTTTCTTCTTCCTTTTTTTTTCTTGCTTCACAATGCGGCTAATTAATCCGTTCGTTATACAAAACGATATATTTGTATATCGAATTGATTGCGAGAGCGCGGTGCGTGCGGCTTTTATCTTCTTTTTTCGCCTTTCTCTCTGTCTTGCGCGCCGGCCGCAGATTCCCTTAATTTGTCGACTCGCGGAATGCCCCGTAGCCACCAGCAGCAGCAGTGGAAATTTAGATAGGCCGGTTACATATATTATATCTGCGTAATCTCGGGGTCCTTTAAATTAGCCTTTCTGCTACCAATTCACGAATCGAAAGCGAATTAATCAAGCGGGGCGGGCCACTACTACTACGCGGAGCGCGCCGCAGTCTTATTAGTTTCCTGTGCGCGCGTCTTCTCTCTCTCCCCCTTTCGAGCAACTTCTCTTTATTTATTTTATATATTTATTTTTTCCTTCGGTAATGGAATCCTCGCCCGAAATTTCATCGATTTTTCGACTGAATTTATATCATATATGTTATACCGAGGATAACTGTAAATAGCTCGCGCGCGCGCATATGTGTGTGCGTATACATTTCATCAAAGGAAGCGACTCGTCGGAATATTGGAATAATAAAATGGTCAAATGTATCGATAAATTAAATCGAGTATGCGCGAGTGTGCGGTTGGGCATACCTTTGAGCTCGGTGGCGTCGGGCGTGCAGGGCTTGCGATCCAGCAGACAGCCGACGTAGCTGTTGAGCAGACGCTCGTTCTTAATGATCGAGTCGATGTCCAGGTCGTCGTACTTGGTCGTGTACTTGGTCTCCTCGGCGCCGCTGCTAGTCGTCGTCAGCAGCAGCAGCAACAACAAGCCGAACACGGCAACGTACGATACAAGTGCCTTCATCCTGACTATCTCGACCGAATGTCCAAGTCGACTTCGATTCATCGAGCTTTATATACACGAGCTCATTAGTACTAACGAGGGTAGAGTCGAGTAGTAATTCGTCGATGCACGCGACACGCGTCATCGTAATCGACGTCCACGAATTAGTCATCGTCGTCGTCGTCCTCATCCTCGTCCTCTCTCGGGTCGGTCTCGTCGGCCGACGTCGTGGCGGGGCTGGACGCGGCGCAGACCAGACACCTCTCGCCCACGTCTCGCCAGCAGTCGGGACAGTAAGTCGCGCCGCACAGGCCGCAGGCGATCACGAGCTTGGAGCCCCATTCGGACGGCTCGGCGCAGACGAAGCACTCGGGCCCCGCGATGCAGCGGCGCACCAGCCATTGGGGCAGTCGCTCGGCGCACAGACGCTTGCAGCGCTCCACGAGTTTGGTCTCCGGGTAGAGGTGTTTGGCGCGGGCCCTGCGAGCCGCTCGTCGCCTCGCGAACTTGAGAAAGCCCAGTCGACGTCGCAGGCTCTCGTTGTAGAGGTAGAGCACGCGGCGCTTCTCGCGCTTGCGATAGAAGAAGCCGGCGATGGCACGGCGCAGTCGCTGCGTGTACGCCTGGACGAGCAGCATCAGCCAGACCATGAGGTAGCCGAAGTAGATGCGAAAGATCGCGAGGCCCGAGAGACGGCTGGGCCGCGGCAGACAGGCCTCGTTCGTCACCAGCTGGTCGACCTTCCGGCGCACGTTGAAGCCCTTGATCAAGCCGCGAATGATCTGGGCGACCAGACCCTTGCCCTTGATCTCGAGGCTGAGCGAGTGCTCGCCCTTCTGCTGGATCTCCAGGTGAGCGTGACGCTTGACGATCTGCAGCAGCTCGTAGAGCAGCCGATCCAGCACTATGACGCTCGTGGCTATGAGCATCTCGAGCAGGAGCTTGGCCGTGGAGCCGAGCAGATCGCGACGCTCCGAGCGCACCTGGCGCGCCTCGTACGGCTCCACGAGCTGAGTGCGCTCGAGCTTCTTCAGGGGCAGCAGATTGGCGGCGCCCCGGGCCCTGCGCCTGGCGTCTATCCGCCGAAAGTAGCCCGTCACGTAGACGTTGTCGTGCTGCACGTCCTCGAGGTACTTGCCGGCGTAGCGCCAGGCGTCCGCTAAAATCTTGACGAGCACGAGGCCGAGGCAGCGATGCACCGCCCGGGCCAGCCACTCGCAGACGCGCTTGCGCGCCTCGAGATCGCGCAGCACGTCGCGCGACAGCTGGGCGGCCTCGCGGGCCCCCTCCGCGACGGGCCTCGTGTCCAGCTTGTACTCGACCTTGGCGTCGCGCACCGATCGCTTGAGCTCGTCCTTGGCCTTGACCAGGGCCAGGTAGCCCTCGCCGATTCCGGCGTCGACGTTGCCCTCGGGACGGCAGATTTTCCTGCGTAATATTCGATTTATCTCAAGACGTGCGGGACGCGTATGAAGCAGCTATGGCGATACGAAATACGGACTTGCCACCGATGCTCGAGACGAGATTGCAGGCGAAGGTGAGCTTCATCGGCCAGCACAGTATCCAGCCGGCCATCCAGGTGACGGCCTTGAAGCACTTGTCGTAGGCCTGGCCGAAGGCGAGCTTGCAGCGCTCCGAGCCCCGGCTCAGTTGCTCGCGACATCGGGCCTCGATCTTGGCGTAATACCTCCGCTCGTAGTATTCGCCCGTCTGGTTGTCGTTGGGCAGGGGCTTGGCCGTATCGAGCTGCATCCGCTCCGTGCTCGTCGTCGTGAAGATCGTGATGGTCTCGTTGTCGTCCGTCGTGACCCACGAGTCATTAAGCCTGCTCATGTCCTGCTCGACCCGGGCGTTGTACGAGTTCAAAGCTCGGACCTCCTCCTCGCCCTCGATCTCGTTTCTCAGCGGCTGCACGAGTCGCTCGACCGAGTCGATGCTGCGCCTTAGCTGCTGGCCGCTCTCCTGCATGTTGGCCATGGCCTTCTTGAAGGGCCGAAACATCAGGTCGTACTTGGTCTTGGTGAGATTGAAGGCCAGCTGGGTGCTGCAGGCGAAGCTGCGCATCACCTCCTTGCCGTTGTGCGTGAGATTGAGTATGGGCCCGGCGATGATCCAGCCGATCACGAGGGCTTTCAAAGCGCTTCGACCCGCTCGACCGAGGGCGCCCGGTATCGTCAATAGACACGTGCATCGTATCTATTTTTAATTAATGATATAAAGTGGTCGATAATATAACATGTATCGAGCGAAGGATCTGAGCATCGTCACCTTGAGGGACTTGGCGCTTGCGGTGGCGAGACCAAAACACAGCGTCAAACCCACGGAAATATTTACATGCACCTCGATTTGAAAATCCTTGACGACGAATTCGTAGAGAAAGAGGCCGAGCGAGAAGCCCAGAAGGAAACTGGCGAATTTGCGGGCGCGATCGTGCTTGCCCTTGGGATCGAAGCACAGGTGGAACAGCCAAGGCAGCCGCTGCTCGTAAAAGTCCAGGAAGGCCTTCTCCTTGCCGAGCAGATAGCCGGCGCTGCTCACCAAGCTCTCCGCCTCCGTGTCCGACATTTTCGCGATCGCGATAACATTGACCCGTATGAAGTTTGCCGATAGCTCATCTCTCTCTTTCGTCTGCTGCTGTTGCTCGTAATTCGCGATGACGACGATCTATATAATACAGAGGGGCAGAGAGGAGAGGCTAATTAACGCCGCTAATTCGATTTATGGCTTTTTTACTGCCAAGCGATGCACACACACATGACATACGCAACACATAGCAGAGAGAGAAAGAAGCTCATGCTGCAAACTGACTCATCTCGCCGCGGTAATTAAAACGCGCGCGTGTCCGATGTCGCCGCGTCGCTGTGCTCGACCGAGACTCCAGAGAGAGAGAAAGAGAGGGAGGGAGGCAGACAGGCAATAAAAAATAATAAAAAAAAAACAGTAAAATAACGTAACTAATAAGTTTGAGAGACACAAGAGCATTGATTGAAAAACAATAAGTTGTCTATTTATTGGTCTCAAGCTATAAATCGATGTTCGTAATATTATAAGTAAAATAAACAGAGTTGTTAAAATCCCGTGCGCATGCGAGCGTGTAAACGCGTTAACAATCGGATACAATCGTGGATCTTGGCATTAATTTTTTTTTCTTTCCTTCATCTTTCGTCGCGAACATTATACATACGCGATATATATAAGCACAAAAAAATATACAAGAGAGAAAAAAAAGGTAACGTCGTTCACGGCGTAATCGTCAGCGTCGAGGTGTTCAGCGATCACATTTAGACGGGAACGCCGAGTTTCTTGGCCTGCTCGGCGTACTTGGTCCTGTAGACGTTGTCCTTGTCGTACTTGGCCAGGATCTCGGTCCAGGTCTCGGGCTTGTTCTTGGCCAGGAAGGCGATCACCTTCTCGGCTCCGGCCTTCTGCTTTTCGCTGCACTTCTCGCAGTTGGTCGCCAGAGCGTCGGGAAGCAGTCCTGTGTACATCGACGTGACACAACGGCCATTAGCAAATTACACGTGTACACAAAAAAAAAGTGAAAAAAAAAAACGAGCCAATGTATACGCGACGCGCGGATCGTTAATATAGTCGATTTTTCTCGGACGACCGGCGCGCGGGGTCGTGTCACCTTGTGCAGACACCGCGACGAGAGTGCAGATGGCAAATAAAAAGACGCTTATTAGAATAGCGAGTCATCGCTGCAGTACGTGCATCGGAAAATACGCTAAAAAGCAAACCATCTCGAGTTGCTCTCGTCTTACGTGCGATTTATAATAAAAAAAATAAAATACATTCTATTTCAAATACGCGCAAATAAAATACAAGTGGACACTTACGTTTGAGCTCTCGTGCGTCGGGGCTGCAGGAGGCATCCTTGAGCAGGCAATTGATGTAGGATTTAAGAATCCGATCGTTGTGCAGGACCTGATCGATGTCGATGCCGTCGAATCTCGTCGTGTATTTGACTTCGTCGGCCCCCATGACCATGGCCACCACCGCCATGCACAACACCATTGCCAAAGTAGCCTTCATGTTTTTATCTGTGTAGATTTTTTTTTCAGGATTATTATAAAATTACGGTGACAACGAAAAAAATAAAGAATAAAAAGAAGAAGAAGAAGCAGATATTAACACCAAGAGACGAATAAATCGTTTGCGCGCGTAAATCCGTAATATATATACCTGAGGAACGAGTGCGTTAATTATGCTTTATAACAAAGTATTATCGTTAAACTGCGACGACAAAGTCCCGACGCCGAGACTTTATATACGTTAGCTCGCGCGTTTGACGTTGCGCAAAAAAAAAAGAGAAAAAAAAACAAACGCACATAGCCGTCTCTAGCGTAGCATATACATACACATATCATCATCATCATCATCATCGTCATCGTATGGTGGGAGTCGGGTCTTAGTTGCTTCAAACGCACATATATACACACGTATCAAACGCATCGGACGACGCGCGAGCATCATTATCACCTCCAGCCGAGGTTGTGCTGCTGCTGCTGCCGCCGTTGCTGCGCGGCTCTGCTGCGGCTACACACTTTTTTCAACTCCTCCGGATCCTAACTACATGCGTCTATTATGCGTTTATTGCACGCGTGCATAGGTGTATATTATATTATAGGATTCTGCAACGATCCGCATCGGAAATTTCCTTACCCGAACGCTTCGCAATCCTTATATGCCGGTTATATAAAGATAACGATATTGCGGTCGATCGATGTTCCAGATTTGCTCTCGCGCGCGCGCCGATTTGCTCCGAAAAACGATCGTCCCTCGAACGAACACGATCGTAAAAATCGTCCCGACGTTTATGCTCCTCGTTGACGTTGTTATTTTTTTTATTTTCTTTGAAATAATAAAATTACAGGTGTCGGATTGGTGTGCAACATTGTAAAGTGCAATTTTGCAATCAATTTTTGTAACCGTCGCTCGTAATGACACTGTATTTTAAATATAAATAATCATCTATTTGCATACGCTTTATGCCATTGAGCATCGTAATTTGCGTACACGCGTCCCCGCGACGCACCGACTGTCGTCATTAATTTCGTCCGCGAGACAAAAACTTGTTGATTCGTTCCGTTGACCGAATCGTTTGTTCGATCGATCGTAAAAATCATTCGATTAAATGATCAGCGATCGATCCGAGGTAAAAATATACCGAATACTCTACCTAATGCAATTACCGATCGTGTAAAAAATTCATAAGAAAATAGTTGATAAATTTTCCTGCTCGAGTCATATATGTTCAAAACAATTAACGTATTGATGAATTATGTAACAATTGGAGATACGAAAAAAAAAGTACAATCAATCAGCGAGATTTTTTGCGGACTTTTTTCTTCATCCGAAGCAGGCGAAACATCGAGAAAAGGAGAGGGTCAGTCTTGTATACGCGGCGCGCGTGTGCGAAAAGAAGAAAGCCGCGGCCCGCGACGTCGCGTTGCGCGCGTCAGCATTACGAAAGTGCCATCATCGCGGCTTTGAATATCACAATGTCTAATTTTAAGTGTACAGGCAAATTTTCTATTGCGCATACGTGACCGACGAAGAATAAAAAAAAAAGTTAAGGAAAAAGCACTCATTACGTGGGAAATCGTCGATTATTCTTCGGGGGGAAGAAGAATGCGCGGAGAAAAATGTAGGATGATAATTTAACGCGACTCGATTTCCATTAGAGATAAGCAAAGATGCGTGCGTGCGCATGTGTGTGGCATTAAGTGCATCGAGCATGCGGTGTGCACTCGAACACATGGGCTTTTTATTATTTGTAGTCCCGAACCAACTGAGCGGAGCAATTATTTCATTGAAACTACGCGAGCGAGTAGCGAATCGACCTCAGATGCTATCGTTCCGCGAGCGCGTTTCTCGCGCTTCCATTTTTTTTTGTTCTTCTCTTCTCATTATTATAGAACCGAAGGATAATCGCGTTAGGTCCCGGATCGGCGCATCCACGCGCACACGTCAATGGCCACGCGTACATTGCACAAAGGATTTATGACGAGACGGAGCGAGAGAGACGACCTTCGCGATTTAGTATTAGTACTCCAACGGAATGCTGATGGGTGATATTGACGACTTTTTGCTAGAGTATCCTCCAAAAACGTTGATGCGTGCATTGGCGATATGCGTTGATTGAAGCACTCGATTTATTCGGAAAGGTGTAAGTCGTGAATGAAATTCATAACAAAGCAATGATTTTTTCTTAACAAAAACGTTTCGTTTATTCTTCTGCGGTTTACAGAAAATAAATCGGTTCATTTACAAAGCTTATTATGTACAAAACAGAAGTGTGTGGACTAAATGTCAACCATTTACTGGTAAGCGTATCTTTTTTTTTCATTATACATCACTCTGAAATTATAGTAATTAGAAAAAATATAAAATCCAGCAACCTATTTACTCAGGAATTGCTAACATCCGCATTATAGAGATTTAATCAAAAATCTATAAGACTTACATGATTCAGCTTATTTTATCATATTTTCTTACTTTAAAAGAAAATAGTTTAGACTTTTCGTTCTTTTACTACATTTGGGCAAAACCTATATAATGAGATATATAGTTTTTCATCACATTTTATGTTTTTTTTGTTCATTATTCTACGTCGTCGTATTTACATGTGTTTTATCAGTTTTTATGTACATAATTAACATTTTTCACCAAAGAGGTATCGGGCGACTAATCGATCCAAGATAGTCACGACCCGAAACTTAATTATAATACTACCACATTGTCACCAATTCGCTAACTATTTAATATAAAGTTGGCAAACTTTTAAAATCTTGCTTTACATTCGTATTGGCTAGTATATTAATTGATCAATCATGATCTGCTCGATTGAAGAATTCATCAGAAATTCTTGTAAATAAAACCATATTTTTTAGATTATGGTACTAAAAAATATAAATATAAACTTCATAATTCTACACTTACCGACCGCTACATCATTATATAAATATCGAGTTTCCATTATTTTAAAGTGTCAGTACGTGTGTATGTTATACACAAATGGAACAGGAGAACGTAAATCTAAAGATACCTTAAACTTACGCTTCTCTCACTATTCATTTAACTTATGTTTTAGTACAGTATGGATTGACTTAGAAGCAAACTCTCTACTGATTCAATTAGCGACAATCCATCCAGCGGACATTAAATAGTTAAGGATTTTATTTTCCGGCTCTGACTGAGGAACTAAAGTAGACTTTCTATTGGCGTTGACATACTCCTGAAGGTAAGAATAAAAAATCAGTAAATAAATCACAGTTATATAGGAAAAAAAATTTTTTTTCCAACTAACTTCAAGCAAAATCGTCTTTTGTGTGAGATATTGACTCGGTTTCAAGTTCAACTGAAGACACAATGATTTTTCTTGATTCGTAAGTAAATGAGAAGCAGCTTCCACATCAACATTTCTCGTTTCATTATCCACTTGAGATCCTGATGACTTTACCGAGAGCCCAGTACTGTTACCTTTTTCTAATGCTAAATTAGAATTTAAAGATTGTTGATTTGCAACATTTGCACTATTATCCGACCCCGCCCAAAGACTGGTTGGAGTCGTCGTCCGATGGTTGACTGTAAAAGTGGTGTTGCAGGAGTCTGTTTTTGCAGTGGACTTTCGGTCTGTGGAAGAGCAGTTTTTTTCTTCGTCTCTGTGGAAAAATTGTTCATTAGTAAACAAATGCTTATCTTTCATAGAAATCAATTAGTAGCCTTATATCTGAAACTTTACCACTTTGTAGTATTTGAATATGTAGGACTGTGTGAAAACTGACTTTAAAACTAATATTAATGTAATCTTGCATGCAAATAAAATCATCTTTTATTATGCAGAGCAAAATAAAACAATATACAAAAAATTTGTTTCGAAATTATAAGTATATGAATGAAAAAAATTCATGATATGAAGGAAGTGAATCATCGGATGAAAAAAAATAAAACAGGTTAAACTCACCTTTTTCTTGAGACTGGCCGGTGCATTGCTTTGGATGACCCACTGCTGCCCTAAGTGAAATGCAAACTGATACAATCTGTTCACAAATGCCTGGCAACACGCACCACAAATTGTAGTATTAGTTTATGAAGAAGCAAAAGCTAATCAATACTCCCATTGCAAACATTTCATTCACATAACTTTATGAAGGAATTTTTAATTTCTGGTTGTTGCGTATATTGCCAGTTTATTTTTATTGTAGAAAATGATATTTTATGGTGAATAATGCAGTGTTCTGTTAAAAGTTTTAAGGTTTTTTAAACTATGTAAATCAATAACAGAACACTGCATATGTAATGAAAAGAATCATGAATGATATGTTGTGAAATGATTTAAAAGTATAAAGCAGCATGCATGATAATTTCTCAAAAATATGTTTAGAGCATTCATCAGAAAGTGCAAATTCTAAATGATCAGAGTCGAGCAGTTATTTAAGTAAAAATTCCATAAATGCTTACAGATTTCTTCTCAGCCCAGTGATCCACATCGGTTTGACCTTGAGCTTGAGCTAATACTTGCTCAAAATGAGGACATTCTTCGTGCTTCGTGATACCATTTTCGCGATATCGATACAATTCTGAAAGACGAAGTCGCAATTCTCGCTCTTTTTCTAAATTAGTTAGAAGTTGCTCATGTTCCTGGGAAGTGTAAAACTGACCGAATACACGCATTCGTTCTCGAAAATCTCTGCAAAGTATTGTTGATTGTTATAAAAATCAATATATATTACTGTAAATGAAATTGTATGCTTTTGAAAGGGTTTTTCACCTTTCTTCTTTGGTGTGTTTTTTCTTAATTATCTTATCTTTCCGTGAAGGGGCAAAGAAATTGGATACTAATTGATAATCTCGTACGACACGTTTTCTTCTTGCTCTTTCTCTTAAATTGTAAGTGTACATGTCAACTTGAGCAAGCTTCAGAGCAATATCAAGATCATCATCTTCAGCTGGATTCAAAAATAATGATGATACCAATGATTCAGCTTCATGGTTATAATCCCTTTCAAAATCATCTCTTTGTGGCATATATCCCAGTTGAGTAGCTTCTTCAGGTTGAATATCAAGTGGCGGCAAGCGAGATGTCAAATCAGGAGATAGTGGACCGGGATCTGAATTAGTCAAATCTGTAAGATTTGGACTGTAGGTATCAATCGAAGGCCAAGTGTGTTTTCCAATGTTTCCTTCTAAATATCTAGCAATATATTCTTCTTTGGCCTCTACATTTTTTGAAAAGAAAAAAGTAGGCTTAGTAAATTAGTCTGACTCATCTGTTTATAAAAATGAGTTTAAAAACCTTGTGGACTTCGTGTTTCAATGTGTTTACTAATGTCTTCCCAGTTTCCATAACCATATTGTTCTATGGCATCCAACAATCGTAGATGTTCCATAGCAGTCCAGTTACCTTTGTCATTGAATATACAAATGGTACCGGAATCCTTTGGTAAAAAATGAGCAACGAATGAGTTTAAATTTAATTTTGTGGCTCTTTTCTATGACAAAGTAAAACTAATACCAACCATAAACCGATAAGAGTGGTCATTTTTGTGTTGTCCAATCTCAGCTGCAGCAGAAAAGCACTGCAATAATACCAAACTCATCTTATTTGACTGTGTCATTTTATAAATTTTAAAAGAATTACAATAAAAATAAGGGTTATTATAAAATTCAATGACCATTTCAAAATTAATTCATGAATTTTGCATGCAAATTGTCAGAATTGACATGTATTAGGAGGTTGGGTGAGTGTAAACAAATCATCAGTCTAATAGTTGTGAAGGCGTTGACAGATACACCGGCATGTATACGTAAACATAGTTGGGAGTAGTGTAAGACAATGATAAGATAGTAGCCTGATCGAGGCCTGACAAACGAGAGCGATAGGGATAGAAGAGCGAGATGCGGACGGGCGTGGTGGGGGAGGAGAGCACAGAAAGAGCCGCGATCGTCTGTCTCTTTCTAGCATACGTGTCGCTTCATATACCTGCAAGCAGAGGTCGAAGTCCGGACACTCGACGCACTTTACACGTAGGCCAGATATGTCCTCCTGGCAGTAGGTGCAGCTGTATTTGGCGTAAAGGTCTGTAATTTGAAAAGAGGAAAAAATTCATAATCGATTTTAGGGATGAGAGAATGGGCCAGCCGGCCTCATACAAGTCATTTTATGCGATAGAAGCTTATGAGAAGGCAGCCACACTCACCCGCCATGTTTGTGTCCCGCTACTTTCGTTCCAGAACGATCGAGCTCTCGCCGCGCAGTAGTGTATTCAGTGTGTATGCTTATATATATATGTGTTGTATATATATAGCGCGAGCTGCTCGCTCGGCGCGCTATATGGCGAGGCGAGACGGAGACAGACAGGCACGGAGTGTGCCGCGCCGTGCCGTGGGTACGTCACGGAGTCTCGTCGGCGGCTCTATGGCAGTTGCGCCAACGCGGCCTTCTGTATAGTGCTGCTGCTGGGCCGCCGATGCGCAAAACTCCGAAGCTCGGCTGGCTGCTCGACGTCACCGCTACTAGCGCCGTGCGCTCGATGTCCCGTAGTCTGCACGGTCGGCGTGGCTGCAGGGGCTGGGCATGGGCGCATCGATGCACACCACCACTGTATTATACCTTTGATGTATATTATTTTGCTCTATGTAGGCACGGCGACGATGCGATTCTGCTGCGAATTTTTGCACTCGATGCACTACGTATCGTCGGGCGCGGCTATATAAAACAAATTTATATACCTGGCCTGCGAATTCACCAGGTCCGAGGAGCCGATGATCGCGCAGTCGATCCAAGCCGACGTCCGTTGAGCAATGCACCGCAGCAGCAGCAGCAGCAGCCTGCCAACCGGTCGAGCAACGACTTAGTCATGCTATTTATGGGCCGCGCGCGAACTCGTGCTGTGTATGCCCCAAGCCAAGCCAACTATGTAGTATTACAAGCTATACTACGGGCGAGGCTCTGGCAATCCCCGTGCAACGCCTCGAATGGCTGACGCGGCTCGAGCTTACTTGCTGTATATCGAGATACGCGCCTACCTATATGTAGATGTGTGTATGTTGTACACGAGAGCTCAGCAGCGCAGCGCTCGGCAGCCACGCTTACTCGGGACGGGGGCGCATGCACTGCACCGTCGAATGTGTGATATACACGGCACATGTGTGTATTCCCCGAACTGACCTACGCGAATACGTGTTACCTATTACAATGTATATATTACACTTTCTAGCTCTCTCTTTGGCAATCCCCGCAACGATCCCGATAAAATACCAGCCCTATTTTTCCCCGAGCCGTCGCGCCATCGCTCGGACGAGTCGCTTTTATAACAGAGAAAGAGAACACGTTAGCGGCGCAAGATGCATCTGCTGTTGCCGCAGCGGTTACCACTTACCACTGCGCGTTCGAATTTCAAATCAAACGAGTTCTCTCCAAACGCAAGGGATGGAACGGAATTGTACGTTCTCGAATCAATGCTAAAAGTCTGCAGTTTACTGTTATAGCCGGCTTATTCGTATTGATATTCATATCATCAATTAGATTGCATACGATTCTCGCGACAATCGACTTCTCGCGTACAGTAGTTACCGATTTCGATTTTCGAATGTCCCCGCGTACCAACCCATGAAGCTTCAAATCGTCCCCTCAATGTCCACTCTGCAGTAATACCAACTTTCGATTTTCCGCGGCATTTCGGCAACTAACGTCTAACGGCCATCGGTTGCGCTTCACAATAATACGATTGCAACAATGGCAGTTTGTTATCGGGATTGTTACATCGTCGTCGTTGGATGAGATGAGCGAACAGGTAATAAAGAGTTTGGTAATTTGGATACATATCGTTGTGTTTTGACGAACCACGATTATAAAGTAAAACAAGATTCACCTTTTACTAAGACATTCAAAGACCCGGATAATTCGAACAGGCTTCGATCTTTAATGTAATTCGTTTTCGTGTTAGTGGCGATTGTGGGATCTATCTTTATCACGAATTTTTTTAGTTAGTGTAAAACTAATTCTCTGACTAATTGTTGACCCGTAATAGGTTGTCATAACGATCGATCGTCAGTTGTTCTCTCTTCGAAACACCTTCCGACGACGTAGTACGTTACAATTGATTTTTAGGTTGTTAACCGCATGCGACATTCTGAATTCGAGCGTTATTAACGAATTTTTCTTTCAACAAAATCTACGACAAAAATGAATCTAATTAGATTAGCTGCTGTTCAGAGTAGAGTAAGTTACTGGAATACTTGTATTCACGTTAAACTATTTTGAAAATCATTTTTTGTGTATAGAGGATCCCGAGAAACGGATGGACTGTGCACGAGTTTCATACGCATTCAATGAAATGTGCCGAGTTCAATGAGAAACCCAAGTGGTTTAAGAAATTCAAATTGAAACAAGCTGCTATGCAGGTATACTTTCGATTGGTGTTAAAATTACTTGTCGCTTATAGTGATTACATGCAGCCTTTAATTTTTTCGTAGCGAGACGACGGCGATATTCCGGTATTTTTGAAAAAAGGATTGCGAGATAAAATTTTGTACAACTTTACTCTATTTACGACTATATTTGGATTTGTATGGGCTATGAAGACAATAATCGGTTTTGATAACATTAAAAATGACGAGGAAGGTGGATAAATGTAAGAAATAAGAAGTTAATAACGATTTTGCATTTCAATTAAAATGTTACTTTTAATTTTCTTTGTACATATTGACATCGGTCATTGTACTCGTTGTGTGATAATTGCATTACGTATTTACAAATTATGAGTAAAGCAAACTATCACCTAATATCACAGATTTTTATTGATAAGAAAATAAAACTTCTTATAAAACTCTGCATTCTAAATATCATTTGTTTCAAAACTTAAACTATACAATTAATTACAACAACATATCACTAGCAGTGTCATTTAAAATTCTAATAAAGTTTACAATCAATTTTGTCATACAAGTACACGAAAAAATTATTTACAGCGGCTATCCAAGAGAAGTTCTGTTCTTTAAATTATTTTTGTAGCCTTGCAAACCAGCAGATGGTTAAGCCTACTCATTGCTGGGTATTTGATACACAAAAGTGGCTTATCATAGCGGCATACAATATTAGCGAAACAGAAACTAAATTTAATCTCCTTCATTATGCTCGCAAATTTTTAGCTTTCTTTGTGACATTCACTCCTGTTAGTACACTAGAAAAACTGAACACTTATACCGCATAGATGGGTAAGCTGCTGAACAAATCATTTTTTCGTGTAAATTGATATTGGAACTCGTCATTTTATTTTATTTTTATAAACAGTATTCTCAGCAGTCTTTTGGTTTTTTTGTTTCAAAAGTTTTTTCAAGGCCTCATTGAAGAGCATAAGCGTTTCTGATACAGATCTTTCTGCATAAGAGTTAGTAATGTATTCAAAGTTTGAATCATCGTCTGGAACTAATTCACTCTTGATATCTTTAAAAAGTTCAAGAATTTCTTTCAAACTTTCTTTAGGGTCTTTGATGCTTTTGAATCCAGAAACAGGATTACCTTCAGCAGTATCTGTAAACTCATCGTCAGTATCAGATTCTGCATTATTTTCTAACAGTTCATCCCAAAATTCTACCTCTTCAGAACCATAATCATTTTCAAATTCCTTGAAATGATCTATTATATTTCTGATAGTTTCTTTGATAGGTATATTTTGTTTTTTATTATATTCTTCATTATCTAATTTACTTTTTACTTTGATTTTGTCTCCTAATAATTTTTCTTTTTGTGCTTTCCTTTCACTGCTTATTTTATAAGCAGTATTAGAATTTTTAGTCAGCATATTTAAGGTATTTTGTTTAGCAGCTTTTCGATCTCGCATCAATTTTCTTACTGCTTCTTTTATTGATGATCTTCTTTTTGCTTTCAATCTATTAGATTCAGCTTGAATTTCTAACAAACTTTCATTGCTCATGTCTTCTTGTTGGGATATGTTTTCATCAATTTCTGAATCTATCAATTCATCTATATTTTCTAATTCTTTTGATTCAGATTGAAAATCAGTCTCTTGTGATTCATCTATTTCAAATATTTTTGGGTTACTGACAACTGATTCCATCGATTCATCAGGATATTTCGATTTTATATTATGATAGCTTTTAAAATTTCTATTTTCATCAGATTTAAGTATTTCATTGACTTTTTCCATACTCATTTCATTGTTCATTCTATCAAAAATTAAATTATCTTTCCTCTTTAAAATAAATAAAGAAGGTTTTGTATTAATTTTTACAGGTGGAAAAAAAGATTCCCGGTTGAATTCTACGTTAGAAAATGCCTCAATAGAATCCATGAGAGTGTGAGTTTTTAAAAGCTGCTCCACATTTGGTTCATATTGCATTTTAGCTTCCATTAATAAGTGAGTAAATTGCAAAATCTCTGGATCACTGTAACTTATATTTTCTTGTTTTGAATAACTGAAAAGTTAAATAAAAATAAAATTATTTATTAGCAATAATTATAATACTAGATCAATATTTGAATATATTTAAGTAAACTCTTACATCCATTCAGAATTTGTCTGAGCAAATCTAGAAACTCCAGTTTGAGCTGCTAAGTTATCAATGTGAACATGCATGGGTACAGTAGAATTTTTTTCAAGCCTGTGGAGTTTTGTTATTGCTATTCCACCGGGATAATTTAAACCAGACAAACAAAGTAAGAACATTGATAATAAAACATTGCATACTATATGTCCAATTACTCCTAACGCTAATAGTGCTCTCCACACAGATTTATTTCTGTTTTCCCAACTATTGAAAAAAATAAAAAATTTATTACATTGATAAAAAAAATTATTCAAATAAATTGTTTCTAAATAAAAGCAATATCTTACATTCTATGACAAGCAGCTGCCGCACTGACATTCAGAAGAGGAATTACATACATAATAAACCTTAATTCTTTGTGGGGTAAAAATGAAAATAATAGAACAAATGTTATTGCAGGTACTGCTAAAACCCTCACTCTTGAATCAAGGATCATTCCCAGAGGTACAAGAAGATAAGATAATCCTAAGCTTCGAGGAAGAGCTGAATAAAAGTACCAGAAAAATGGTGAAGTCTGAAATTATGTTAAGGAGGCAATAACATTTTGATACAATAAAACAGTAAATTAGAACAAGACTTAAAAGGATACACCCCATTCACTGCTTTTGTTGAGGATAGTATTAAAGTAAAAAACTTCTCCTTCTGGCCACAGTGGTCTTCTCCAAAAGTATGAATCTACTGCAATTGTTAAAGCCAGTAAAATAACTGCTGTAGGTATTACAATGCACAGAGTTCTGTAATTCATCATTAATTAATCATTAGTGAAATATTTTATTTTTTTGTGAAATTTTGAATTATATGTTACCTTTTTATTGTCAACTTCAGATAAGCTATATCGTATAGCAAAAATAAACCTAACAGCATAGCAATTTCAGCTCTGAATAAAATAATGGCAGCTCCAGATGATACAATGAATAAGACATGTTTCTGTTTAAGCCATCCATACAATGCCAGCAGGACTATAAAGGATTATTATAAAAAGGTTTAATATTATTTTTTAATAATTAGAATAGAAAAACATACAAAATATTATATTCATTTAATTACCAAGTGGCATTGCCATAGTATTAGGTAGTGGACGGCTTAGGTAGTAGATGAAATGATATTGAGTGACACTGATAATTAGAAACCATGAAGCTAACTTTGCTCCAAAAATAGATCTCAAAGCTTTTTTGTATAACTTGAAAGTGACTATAACAGTTAAACCAAGTACTGCTCTCACTGGAAAAATACAATTGAATTTTTAAAGTTTAATGATTGGATGATAATAAAATTTAAAAAAATTAAACATCATCAATAATTACCAACATATTGAGAAAAAAATTTATTCAGATTCCAATGCTTGAAAAGGGCAACAATTGGAGAAGCTAGTCCAGATATAACTATCGGTCCTATAAAAGTTCTTGGCACAACTCCAGGGAATTCATGGTGGTCGTACTACATGTCAAAATAAACAAATATCAATCAGTCAGTTTTTGAAGTGACGAACTTTCCGAAGTGATGACTCATAATTCTAATTTTTATTACACCCATTCGCTGGGTGTTAACGGCTCGAAAGTATACATATTGGTGCGTATATAATAGCTACAAACATAGTAAAGCCGCCGAAAGTGCATAAGCAGTATGCACGAAAGATCACCAAGCGAAGTAAATTAAAGCGCGCGTATACGTGATAAATAAAGATATTTTACCTGGTCTATATTAGTACCATGATAGAGGAGGTCGTGCATAGCTTGCAAATTGAAGCTCTCCTCGACTTTGGTAAAAGGGCAGTACAAAAGATAGACCGCAGCCACAATAAAGATCAAGTGATCCATTATCGATACGCACAAAGAATCATTTGATAATAAAACGATTTGTATCACTTTTTTGTCTTTTCACCCGTTTTTGGCCCGGGGTGAAGAATATTTTCGCGACAGCCGCGCGCGTCGAGTCGTGTCTGCGTGCCAAGTCTGCTACACGCGTCGGTGGCAGTTCGTCGTCTGCTGCATATACATATAACTTTTGTATCGGCTAGACTTAATTTGACCGTCATTTAACGGTGTGACAGACATACTCACACCTGCATGAGCAATTTCAGAATTTAGTTTTTAAAATTTCGGCAAAAAATAGTTAACATATATTTTCTTTGGATAAATGGTTAAATATCTTACAGGTTTTAGGAAACTAATAAAATAAATAATTCAAAAGGACATCGTTTCAATGAAGCAAATTAGTTTTTATTCCGCGAGTCGTATAAATTGGCGCAGTTATATATAATTATCCTTACATAATCGTACACATGTTTACAAGTATGTATTTCTAGTTAAATGTTATCACGCATAAAGGACACTGCAATAATTTAGGCATTACGAGTTAATGACGCAACAATAATCGCACAAAAGTATACATATATCGTCTAAAAGTTCATATTAATTAGCTGCTCTCTATAGTCATTCGCGAATCTATTTTTTTTTTCCTCAAAAAAGAAAAGAAAAAAGTAAGTAAAAGTAAAACAATTCGCAAAAAAACAATCGATATATCAGTCTGCGAGGACGATGTCGAGCGGCGGTGACGCGTATAATATCATCGCTTAGATAATTTTGCTCCTGGTGCGCGGTTGAACTTTCGGCTTGTTGTGCTGCATAGTTTCGCACTTGGGTATGTGCCTCTCGGCCGCTCCGGGGCTGAATCTGCGCGAGCAGTGCGGACACTGCTTGTAATCGCTCGTGTCGCTCGCCGGGGGTGGCGGCAGATCGCTCAGTTTGCCACCCGCGGCCAGATGTGCCTGCATCTGCTTGGCCGAGCGTATGGCGTTGATGAAGTCCTCGTGCTTGCGGCGCCAGTTGGACTTTTGAGACTCGACTTTGGGCGGAGCTTGCGGTTGGCTCTTGCTCTAGAGTATTACATTATTATGAAACAAAAAATGTTTATACGTCAACAGTCAGTTTAAAGAAAGAACGCATTCGCGAATTTTAGAGAAAATCTTACCTGCAGTTTTTTGGAATTATTGCTGCTTTGTGTCGTGAGCTTGGGCGCATAATCTTCGAGCTCGGTACCTTTGATGCGCTGAGTCTGCGTGTCGAACGTTTTGCGCTTCTTCGTGGCGCTCTTTGAGCAGATCTTCTCGTGTAGGCCGATTCGATCAGAGGCGAAGCGACGCTTGCAGATCTTGCACGTGTTCAACGAGCCCCTACGGGAAAAAAAGGAACAAGAAAAATATCAGAAAACGTCGCAATAAATCTAAAAGGAGAAAAATTAGCAGCTTAAATCACGTCAACGCATAAAACGACGATAAATCGATTAACCTACAAACGAGTCAATTCTTCGAGCTCGCGCGCGCGTTAGCAATAAATCTCATATATAGTGCAACGTGTGCCTACGCGCTCCAGCCTTGATCGTTTTTTTAATTATAGAAATAGGCATATATCGCGACCAATCGCATGCGATTTGAGGACAAAAATTTCTGTAACAATAATATTTACTCGCTCTGTGCAGACGTTTTGACACCACCGGGCGACGTCCTGGCAGCCGGGGTCGGCGTGCTCCTGGAGCTTGCAGTGGACGCTGCCGCAGCTGCAGCTGCTTTTGCACTGGCCGCCGAGCCATGACTCTTGTTCGTGGCGATGCTCGAGTTCGACGACAGGGAGGACGTCCTCGGGGCTGGCTGCACCGACGGCGACTGCTTCTGAACAGAGGTAGGTATTTTTTTCGCTACTCGTAGGACCATTTTGGATTTTTGCACAATTCGATTTGGAAAAAGTGACCGAAATGCTTTTTTTTGTTTTTTTTTAAGCTTGGTTATTTTTTAGTCTGCGCTATTGCTCGCCTGACGGATCTAGTATGATCTCTGTATATTTGTTGTGCGATAAGAAAAAAAACACTTATAATAAAGACTACTTCAAGTTCTTGGTAAAATTGATTAAAAAATAAAAAAGACTAAAAACACTTTCTAGATAAGTAGTGATATTAAATAATAAACAGCATTAAAGATGCTCAAAATATGTGTACCGTAGCCTGAGAATAAAAATTGTCAGTCTGATACTATAAAGTAGATACTACAGCGCCTCGGGATTAGAGACACTAATTGGGCCAACTTCAGAGAAAACATGATTCGCGAAAAGTAAAATATTCACATGTTAAATTATATTTATAATTTCAAACAGATCATATCTGTTGTTCATTTTAAATTACTTATTTCGACCTAGTTTTAATTCAATTCTAACAATGTGAATTGTCCATTTGTTATTATGAAAAAAGAACTGAAGTAAATTTGTTTTTAAAGAGGGAAAATAAAAAATACAGTAAATATGTCAGAATTCAGACAACCCGAAGTCTGACATTTTTACTGCGTAGTCGAAGACTGTACGAGTCAAAAAAGAAAACATGTCCTCGGGGATACACTTGTCCACTTGACTCTATATCTGTCGCGTGGCAAACCCTTAACTGATCTTTTTTATTATTCTTTTGATACTGCGTCGAGTTTCATTTTTTGCGATCAATGAACAAAACGTTTTCTACTCACCTCATCCGTTGTTTCATCCGTTGCTGAATCAAGGCTGGATCTGCTGGCACTTGCAGCAGTCGGCGATAACAATCGTCCCTTTTAATATTTACACAATTATTTTAATTAAAAAAATACAAGGCGACCATTCCATCTCTGGGTCACAGATTCTTACGAACATTTTTTAATTAGACTCCTGGCACGTAATAATGAAGCTTTCCTAAGTTTCATCTGCCTTGATATTCACTTTGAAAATCATTTTTTTTTATTTAAAAATCGTTGCTATTTGTTTTATCTCTGATAGGAACGATTTCAGAGAAAAAAAATTGACATTGACGGCGTTGAAACGTATAAAAAATTCATATGTATTCTTTGAGGGATTCTAAAACTTTTTTGCTCCTTACATTTTTTCCCTTTTTGTTCCTTTTTAAAATGATGATAAAAGTCATTTTCAAAATGTGCCTTGCGGCTGATATCAAACTTAGCATACGGGACTAAATGATTACGTACTAGGAGACGCTCAAAATGTTTTGGCAAAGATCTGAGACCCGAGGGTATAATGGTCTCCTCGTTTTAGAATATAAGGGTGAAAAATGTACTTACTTCATCGGCAGCGTCGACGGATTTCGCAGGACTAGTTGTGCTTCTGGTTTTGCTTCTCCAACTGGGCGACTCGTCGTTCTTGGTGGTAGCAGTGGTAGGCGTGGAAACGCTAATCGTAGGCAAATTCGACAATTTAGGGACACCCTCTCCAGAGAATAGAACTTTAAGTTCAGCGACACGGCTTTTTACGCTCGGAGAACTCTGGCTTTGCGGCTGCTGTTTTTGTTGTTGTTGCTGTTTAGGCACTGTAGGATCTTCCTTCGGTGGATCGCAGTGGCAATGATTCGGTGGCGATGGCGACGGCGAGCGTCGATGTCGATGACGAAGCCGAGCACAAGCGGTCGGAGGCGATCTGCCGCGCGTCAGCTCGATCGAGTCTCGAGGCTCGAAAATCTTGCTGCAGCTGAGACTGCGCCGGGCCGACGATCCGCCGTTGCAGCCTGTCTTTCTCGGGGCAGGAGGCGGCGGTGATTTGGACGGAGCCCTGTGATGCACGACGGCCGCAGGACCGCCAGCTTCGTCTCGTCGGCTCTTGAATAGCCAAGCGCTCGTGTACTTCTCGAAGCCTCGGACGTTCTCGCGCTCGTCGTTGGCGCAGATTCGAGCGGTCGATCGGTCCTCGGGCTGGATCGGCCGTGCCTCTTGCACAGCCACCGGACTCGAGCTCAGTGTCTGATCGAGCAGTCGCACGGCAGCCGCTTCGAGCGAGTCGCGTCGGCTGATCTCCGCCTGGATCTGCTCGAACATGAGGCGTTTCATTTCGAACGAGGTTCGACGGCCAGCTACAACGGGCCTGGGGATGGCGCTCGCGCTAGCGGACTTGTTGGCGCCGCTGCCACTCGCCACCGGATCCGGAGGAATCGGCGACACCGACCTGGACCTCTCGTACTCGATCTTCCCGACGATCGTGCGCACTTTGCCTTCGGCCTCGTCGGCGGCTGATTTGCAGCTTTGTCTGCGTAAAATATCGTGAATGAGGCTCGTGGACTTGAGCTCGCACCAGTCCCCGTCCAGAGAGCAGCGGATTTTCTCTTCGCAGCACGAGTGGTTACGCGTCGTCTCCGCGACATTGCCAATGCTATCGTCGGCTCGTCGACGTCGATGTCGACGATGGCAGTCGTGGGGCGAATCCGCTGCAGCCACCGATCGCGTCCGCAACGGTTTCTTCATTTTCAAGGCCGAGCTCTTGGTCGTCTTCATCAAGCTCGATTGCCTGTACACACCGACGATCATAGCTCGAATAATCGATTGTGACCCTTGGCTTTTGTTAGTCGTTTGCGGACACATGCTTGCCTTTTTTTTTACATTGCCTTCTCCTTTGTTTGTGCGTATATATACAGCAGCGACGAGTTTTATATATTTACAGAGCCGTATGCAACGATTATTAAACTCCTCCGATTCTCTTTGTGCTTCGATATTGTGCAGCAGGTTAATATCGTCGAATTTTTTTTTGCTTTTTTTTTATATACATATAGCGTCGCCAAAGCCAGAGTTCTTGTGTCGCGCTTCATGTTGTTAGCTATTGGGTTATATATAATGAGTGCGCAGAGCGTCATCGAGTGCCGATAGTTGAAAAATTAAGTTTTATACATTAATTAGAATCGTACCTAGGTATTTTCCGTCTGCCGTTGGCCTTGGAAGGAGCTGTGGGGGTGGCGACGTCGCCGTTGCTGCCGTTCGATTTGGCGTCTCCGTCGCGCACCTCGACCAGCAGATTGGGCTCCTCGCTGTACCTGCGACGCCTCTTCTCTATGTCGCTCTGATTGAATTTGGCCAGCATGCGATTTCGCTGCATCGCCTCGTTATCGATCACGTCGTCTATGTTTATCTACAAATAAAAATACCACGAACTCGAGTATGCCTTACATTAAGTTTTTTTACTTCTTGGAATGATTTCGTGAAATATTAATGTCGAATTCCATTAAGTATTAATGAAAGTACAATAGACGTTACGCGTTGGTCAAGGCTGAATTCATCATTATTAAAATATTTAAAGGGTACACTTGAACTTGAAGCTCGGTAGGTTTCTTGCTCACCTCGTAGTGGTTGTGTCCGTTGCTCTGGCGTCTGTTACAGGACGACTGCTCCTCGTCGGTGCCGTTTTGCTTCTTCTCGCCTTGGCTCACGGATTCGCGATAAATAGCTCGACTCGTGCTGTAGGACGTAGTCTCGCGTTGCTGTTGAACAGTGACCGAGCTGCGTCCGTTCGTGCTTCCTGTTGTTTTCGTCGTCGTCGTTCGCTTATTATTGACGGTGCTGGTTCCGTTGAGGGTACCGCGACGGCAGCTGCTCGTCCCATTGCTGCTGCTGCTCGCGATCTTGCTGCTGCCGCTCTTGCCGTTTGTCATCTGCTTCTTCGAGCCATTGCTCAGCGGTTCCAGAGGGTAGCTTTTGTCGATGCCTTTGGCGTTCGCCTGACGTCGGTTATTGTCCTCGAACATCCGCTGCTGCAGAATGCACATACGAGAAACGCAAATTAAATGAGCCGTCGCGTGATTAATCGTCCGACGTAAGTGTCCATGTGCGCCTATACGTGTTTGCGAATATCGATCAGACGTTTTCAAAGTAGAGTTAAATTTTCAGTCCTTGCGTGTTCTATAGTAACACGTACAATATTTATATAAAAAAGGTTTATCGAGTCGGAATCCAATGCGAGTCAATATTGATATTACTTTTCAAATAAGAAATTAAAGTCTATAAGCTTTGTCTTACGTTCTACATTGAATTTTTCCTCTTTTTTCAGGTAAGCTAATGAAAATTGACGAAATCAAATTAAAGTGCACTCATGGATGTGCACTTGTGCGCGTCGACGAGAAATACGTTATTCGATGGCCGAGAAGAAAAGCTCGCGAAAGTTAAAAACGATTTGCGCGTTTCGAGTGCGTGATGGCTAAGTGAAATAAAAAGGATAATGGACAATATCATCGATCGTCTGAATTTTTCATGGGGCTATGTGTGTCAGTACAGAAGCGTCCTAGTTCAAATATCATAGCGATAAATCACATGTATGCACATAAAAATACCTTATTGAGGGAATTGGTGGCCGACGTTCCATTGCTGGATCCGTTGCTGCCGGCACTGCCTCTTTGAGCGACTTGATGAGCCCGCTGTTGCTGCTGGTCGTACAATTGCAGCAGTTTGTGCTCTTTTTCCTGAAGCTGCTTCTGCTGAAAGCGAGCCTGAAACATAGAATTCGCGTCAGCCGATTGTTTCTGTTGACGATCTTCGTTTCGAGCTTTGGTTGCGATCGGCGCGGCGACGATGCTGCGACGCGACATGATGATGTGCTCGCTTTATAGCAGGTGTCTAACAACTGGTATATAGTAACTACTACTCGCGACTGCTACTCGTCGCTGGTCGCTGGTGGACAGTGCAGTAGTGGCGGCGACTATCCTATAGACCCCTCTCCAAACGTACATCCACACACATACACAGAGGCTCAACACTCTCGACCCACCATCGATTTCTTCGCACTTGCTACAGTGGTAACACCACCGCCCGGTAGCTGCTGAATAGTAGTAGTAGTAACCTACATCGTTTACCAGCGAGCTCATGCACATACGTATGGAAGCGAGCCGATAACGCAACACCCCCGCACGCGCGCGAACTTTCCTCGAAACTCGCGCTCAACGTCGTCGTCGTCGTCGTCGTCGTCGTCGCGGCCTCGAGACTGCTGCATCGCGCACACACTATTGCCAATGTTAACGACGCGCTGTATGTATATGGAGACAAGTTGCATCTGCTCACGCGCTTTGCCATAATTCACGCGCAGCGAAGAAGATAGTGCGAGCGGAGCAGAGCTATTATACTTATCTCGTAATAACGCACGAATGAATTCGCGACGCGTCGAGAGTGCATTAATAGTCTGATTATGTATGTTGCATATACTATGTATATGTAGCATGTGATGTATACGGTGGAAACTGCAATGACGCACGTTCGCGAGTGCTGATATAAGTTATGTATAATACTAATCAGTGATTAAGGGCTTACAGGCACTTTCGAATCGATAAAATTGTTATTTAATCGTTGGAAAGGATTTTTTTCTCTTCAGCTATACAATTTTCCTTATCCACTGAGATTTCACTTTTTCCCTAAACTTTTTTTTGTTTACCTTGTGTGTACATTTTTTTTTACTTTTTCATTTTGTGTCTAATTCTGTTTTTGTTAACTAATCGTACAGTATGTTCAGAGCTCAGGGGGTATATAATTTTTCAGAACATAAATGATCACAATCCTAATCTTAGACGAGTCTTATAGTTCATCGTGCAACAAAAAGTTAAGCAAATTTTCTTTTTCATTTAACGCTTATTTTATTAATCTCTGTCATGAAACTACTACTTTTCGAGAGCAACCTCTGTGTCCGACCATTTCGCCTGAGTTTACGAGTGTGACCATTGATGTTCTGAAGAATTATACATCACTTGCTGCAGTTTGCTCTGAGTACTGCGACAAGTCTACAAGTTTTTAAAAACACCAGAAAACGCAAAATGATGAAAAATGTAACATCCAAGGTATATTAAAAAATGCCTTTAAAAAGAGCTGTATCACAATGAAAAATCAAAATCGTTGAGTTAACAAAAAATTTACATCAAGAAGAACGAAATATTCCTTTTTAGAACTTGAATAATTTTTTTTATGATTCAAAGGTGCGGATAAGCCCTAAAGTATAGTTACCACACGCTCAATTTCGGCGAAACTCGTTTTCGTCGACGATGACACTCGGTTTTTTACCATCGCGTAGCCGTCGTGTCTGCTGTCCATCGCGTCTGCGACACTCGGCATTTTAGTCATTACGTTAAACCATTAAGTCTCGAAATCAATATTCTTAATGCGTTAAGATTCAACAATAACAAAAACAACGGCAGCACTTAGACGTCTAGGAAAAAAACAAACCTTCGAATAATGCACACGTTTGATAGTCTAAAACGGAAGGGTAAACAGGCAGACTTGATTATTATTCACGAGCCGATTCGACTCGAAAAACAACCGTATAAGGCGCTTACTCGCGTAAATACTTTTGATGCGCGACACCTTCGGAAGCACGTCAACACGGTTAGGTACGGGAATTACGTTCTGAAATACTCGCGCACTAATGACTCTGATACGAATATCGATACTTAACGAAGTGTATGTGCGCGAAAGTTCGATATACTTTGAGGTATAATACTCCTCGCTAACTCCGTGGGCGCGCGATCGGTTGCAGTCTAAGCTCGTGCGCCCAACGACGAGAAATAACCACGGAGGAAACGCATGCGCCCGCATTATAGCTTTTTTTAAATCATGTACCTGCAGCTATTATCGTCGCATGTTGTACACGGCTACCGCGGCACACATGCCGTCCGTGACAAGCGACATACAGAGTACATATATGATGAGACATTGACGGAAAATCGTTAAAGGCATCATACACATAAGTATCGACTTCGCGTCTTTTTTCGTACATATACGTACGATCGACGTTATGTATTACGTAGCACAAAAACCGAGACGACTATCGCGCGTTTAGAAGGTGTAAAAAGACCGACAATTGCCCTGCGCTGCCCAGATATTCTTCTATTTTAAATTTGCACAATCGATTTTGCGAAGTCGCTCGACGTCGAATCATCTTTGGGCTTCGATGCACTTGATTGCGTTGCGCGACCTTGCTTGCACGTGTGCGCTTATATGGACAATCGATCGTATCAAATCGATCGGGCCTGATAGAGCCGAGCCTCTGTTCCTATTCAAATGACGTACGTGCATTATGCTTTCATTTTTGATTGAGACGTCTCGTCGACCGTATAGGCGCTGTACTTAGAACAAAAAAAAAAAAAAGATCGTGCTCGACTCGGTGCGCGTGATTCATTAGGCTCGCGCTCTGTAAATAGGCGCTCGATCTGCTCGAGAAACGGAGTAGATCGGCTGGAGCTGTGTGTGTGCAGTAGCAGATAGTGTATATGAGTAGGAAGCGCGAGAAAGGTCGCGCATGGCAGACCAAGCGCTTCTTTTTCTTCTCCCTTTCTCCGCTCGCTCGCTCGTTCCTCGAGAGCTCGTCACTCGCAGGCGCCGCGCAATGTTCTTAATTTCTCTCGACATGTACATTATTATTTACACGTTATATTGGCAAACGTATAGATATACACAAATGATCTTTATAATAATATTATTATCGACAGTGTGGCAAAGTGACGCAGGCGCTTTCCTTGAAACACTTTTGCCATTTTGTCGCCCACGCGTGTCTTGCGGTCGCGCCGCGCGCTTCGCGATAAAAGAATAAGAGAGCTCAAGAGAGAGAGAGGAAAAAAATCAAGTCGCCGAGTTTGGCCTTACCTGCAGCTGCTGCAGTCTCGAGGAGTTTGCGGGCAGTGTCATCGCTGTATTACGCTCGATGATTCTCACCTTCTCCCCTCGTTCGTTTCATTCACTGTGTCGTTAATGCGCGCAATTGTCCTTCTTTCTTTTAGCCTGCTGGATAATAGCCAGCGCGATTCTGTAGCGCCTCTCTTCTTTTTTCTATGTCTACAATTAAAACGCAAATTTTTATTAATTATACATTTTCTCTTGGCTCTGAATCAGATGGATCATCATATTGTTGCATGCACGTGTATGTGTGTATGTATACCTCCGTATAAATCGCGCGCGAGCATTAGTAGAGCATGCCTGTAGCCGTATGTTCGAACGCTGTTAACGCGGCTTGTTCTACTTATGATAACGTGTTATAAATTTGTTGTAACAATTTTACTCCGATTCCACGCTTCGAGTGGCTTCGTTTTCACCTCTTGGCAATCTTTTTCTCTCTCTTCCGCGACTTATCTCTTTATAGTCGTCAATGTATTTGTAGATCGTCAACACAAACTTCGAGGCCGCATATAATTCTGTTATAATATACATACAACGAGTTGGACTAGCCTTTTAAATGTATCACTGTAGGCGCAGTATAATGTGCTCCGCGTGTCTCTGTGTGTAAACTTCGAGCGTCTATTGTTCATTCGGTGAAAGGCCTGTGATTCGTAATTCCGTAACTTATTCAATATCAACTCGCAGCTAACTCAAACATGTTTATTTAATTCCGGTCTTTATCGACCATGCCTTACTCCAAAGGAGCGAGCATGTGTTCTTTATTCTTACTTTACTTCGACTTCGTGTTTTTTTTATTTTAATATTTCCACACGCGCATATAAAGTGAATAAACATGAATTATCGGCACTCGTACAAGGATGACAATATTTCGGAAATCGGCAATAGGACCTTGACGGCCGCGCGCATATATAGTTCGATGACGCAACGGCACGGCTCTGATTATTACTCACGATCCGAGTCACGCTTAGCTCGTGTGCACATAAATAAAGGCTGAATTTTGGTCACCGCCATTTAAAACAGTGAACAACAACAACAACAACAACAAATGCAAGAGAGCTAGCTCTAGAAAAAAAAAACAAATAAAAAAACAAAGGAAAAGTAATCGTGGAGCCTAGGAAATTAGCGAATTTGCCGTCGTCCTCTATGCATAACCTTTTGCTATTTATGGCAAAAGTTAACGAGTTACCGTTGTAAGTAACACACTACAAATCACTATTACATATATAGTTAGGACTCGGGGATAGGGCCTCTCTTTTCCCAAAATACACTTTGAAACTCTTTCGAAAGAGTCCGCGCGCGCTCGGCGTGGCACTAGAGCGCGAAAATGACCAAAGTTTTTGCCGCATGCTCTCTCTCTTTCTCTTATCTTCTTTCATGCCGCTGCTGCAACTATTGCTGTAGACACACACTCACGTACACACTGATGCACACACTTTACTGCAGTAACGGACTTTTATTTCGAGCTAATAGCTATCGAGAAAACAAGCGAAACAACAAACTTACCTCTTACACGGCGTCCCAAAATAAGTCGATATTTCGGTGAACACACGGGCACATGCGGAATACACTGCACCGAGCACTGATTTGTCGATTTCTGCCGCGGACACCTCGACGCGATCGAGTATATGAGCAGCAGCGGCGGCGGCAGCAGAAGTAGCAGACCACCGTGCAAACCGTGCGTGTACGATGTCGTTTCGTCTTGCTCCCTCTTCTCCTTCCTCGAGCGCATACAGTAGTCCTTCGCGCTCGAGTGAATAGAGCTCTCCTACTCCCGGCTTTCTTTTTTTCGTTCTCTCTTCTTCTTCTTCTTTATGATTATCTGTATTATATGTATATACCGATTTGCGAGGAGAGCGAATCGTATAGCAGCTTATATCGCACCTGCTGCTTATATGCAGTCTCTATTTAAACTATAACGTATACAGACACGATTGCTGCAACTGCCGCCGCTTCTGCTACTGCTGGCCTGCCCTGTCCGCTGCCTGCTGCACAGAAATCGAGTACTACTCCATTGGCCTGCTTAGGGCTTCGCACAAACACATTATGTGCACTTGTCATTATGTAAGCCCATAACGTGTATGTGCAGCACGACCCGTACGCTACAGCCTCTCGATTCGCAGCAGCGCAGAGTACTTATACAACTGGTCGAGCTTATTGCAACGAGCTATGTTGTTGTGTGTACAGTATGTGTTCGTAATGTGTGCCGGTTCTATAGGCAGCTGAAACGACGAGACTACGAGGACCTAACACGCGTGCATATATGCAGCTAGCGGCGGAGTCGTTGACTCGGGGTGGGTGCTTGTGCCTCGTGCTTTCTCTGTGTGTAGAGTATTACAATTCGTGCAACGCGTTTCGATTGCCATTAGGCATGGGGTGGTCTCCTCGCGGTATATACGCTCCGTGGCACCAGCAGCAGCAGCCGCAAGTCACGTTATACACTGTTTCGAGCTTTATGTTCGATACTCTCTCTCTCTCTCTGTCTACCTTTGGCGCATTTAGCATATATACATCGTTACGCAGGCATGGTTAGCGTGTATTCAGTGCTGCACGAGAGAAGGGACATCGATCAAAGCGTATATTTCGCGTGTCACCTAGACAACCCCATTGTCATATCTCCACTTCGCGTGTAATGGCATAGAGCACTTGTTGACGCTTTTCATTCGATTTTACATTTCTTTTTTTTATTCTTTTATTGATTCGATCGAATCTTTTGTATGCACCAATCGCATCGCTGCAGTATGCCGCATAATATTCCCAAGATCGTGCGCTATATACTGAATGATGCGTGCGTATGCTCGATACTCGATACGCGCCAGATCTACGGAGTCGCAAACACACACACACACACTGGCATATACAATCATATATAAATGTACTGCGACGAGTCGTGCACGCGCATATACCTACCCACTGCATGCATGAATTCACGCTTGGCCTATCGCGCGCGCTGGAACGAGCTGCACGACGCGTGTAAGCTTTCCCCCCCTGCAAGCGAGCAGATCGCTGAAGTGTCGACAGGGATATATGCACTTATGTAACGTACATCATGTGCCTTGCGAGTGTATCGTGTAGGTGGCGCGTTGGCATCGTCTCTTTGCGCGCCCAAGCCCCATGTCCGAGCGCATCCCGACTCGCATCACTATACGTAGCCGTGCAAGCGGGCTTTTCACTTTATGCAGACTGACACTGTGCCACTACTGCTACCAGCACTAATACTACTACTTGTCTTTCGTTGCCCTCGTATACACACGTTGCTCCGGAACTTATCTGTCTGCTCCTCTCTCGCTCTCTCTTGGCCTCTTTTTTATTATTCTTTTTTGCTACTTCAAGTGCGCGTTTGCGGAGGGACTCCCCGACCAATAGGCATAACAAGGAGCAGAGCTTGCAAGCTCTCTCTCTCTCTCTCTCTCTCTCTCTCTCTATCTCGCTCAATCTCTCATTGTTATGCTACGATGCAGCTTTAACGAGCCACTTGCATCTCATTCTTTTTTCTTTCACCAAGAATATTCACGGAAAAAAATGTATGAATAATATTGTATTATATAGTTCAGCCTGAAGCAGCGGATTCTCGATCGGTGCGCGACAAAGTTGAATTAACGAAGCGGTTGACCACCCCCTTTTGGCGCGAGCGAGCCCGTGTGGATGACAAATCACCCTCCATTCTCTTCTGTTGCCGCCGTTTCTGCTGTTATTTCTGCAAAAGCTCGGATGCAGCAGTAATATCGTTGTATCAAATAATTCGCTCGTACCTATATGTATGTGTGATACTGCGTTCAATTTTACCCCTCCGCGCTTCTGCGTCAGTTTCTGTGTGGTGGTTGCATTTATTTTTGAAATTATTAAAAAGGGGAAGGATAGCTCTGTAGTTATATACTTGTACCGTTGTACTGCACTCTCCTGCACACACACACACACACACACACACACACACACACACACACACACACACACACACACATAGATATAGATAAATCCAGAAGCAACTTCCATAAAATTTAATTCGCGCGGCGGTGTGTCTCTCCTCTCTCCCTCTCTCGCGCGCGCTCACAGTTCGGTGCAGGCACACATGAGCACACACACAACGGGAGGCTTAACAAGCTATTATTCTGCGAGTACTTTCTCTGTGCTGTATGTACCACTGCTGCTGCTGCTGCTGCTGCTGTGCTGCAGATATTTCTCTGGCTCTCTCTGTGTGTGCTGCTGCGCGAGAACCGCATGATATATAGCTGGACGCGCGTAGATATGTACCTATATGCTTTATATAGGTATGTAGCATTACACACGTACAGACGTACAGATGCAGCGCAGCTCTAGCACACGTGTAACTACATACAGGCCAGCAAATTACTTCCGAATTGAAGTAGCCCTGCTTTAAAGGCTTCTTCCGAAACGATAAACTATGTACGCACGCAGATTTCAGACCTGTGTGTGGGAATGCTGCGGGTGCAATATAACTACGTTCGGGTCCAAAAGGTAGCAAGGGAGCTCTGCTGCTATTTATGAATTATTTCGCGTTACTATACATAGGAGTGGGCGCGCGCTTTATGCACGTCTCTCTGTAGTACAGTGTGTCGTATAGGCGAAAAAAAAAGAGTAGCTGCAAAAGTTGGTAGAAAGAAGAAGAAAGAGGAGGTGGAGGAGGAGGGCATGGAGCAGCAAGAGAAGCAAAATCAAGTAGTGCGGAAAATCAAACGCTGCAGTGCATTGACGCAAATTCAAGTGCCTCCTTCTTTCTTCTTTCTTTCCTTTCCTTTCTTCTTACTCTCGCGCGCTCTTTGGCTCTTGTATATGCATAATTTATCGAATCACACATTCTTTAGAGACGATTGTTCCGATCGATAATACCACGATGACCCGTTTTTCTTTTTTGCATTTCCAGGTTTTCGAGCTCTCTCTCTCTCTCTCTATACCTCTCTACTCTCTAGCTCTTTCACTCTCGCGCGGCAGGATCTTCTTGGAGCTAAGCCGAGAAAATTGGAAGGCAGTTGCGGCTGCTGCAGCTGCCGCCGCCGTTGCCGCTGCTGCGGCACCTTGTCGTAATCAGACTTTTAGATGAGTCTTCTCTCACTCACTGCCACGACACGAGCTTTACGCGAATTTCGAACGATATACATCGCGCTGCTCGTCGTAGCAGAGAGAGTAGGTCATGGGGGAAGGGGGGAGTCGGTGGTAGTTCCCTCTCCCATATTATAGTTGCAACGTGGACGCATGTTTTACTAATTTTTCGAATAATTTTTCGCTCGAAAGCGAGAAAGATGGAAGCAGAAATGTCCCGTGCACATTTTTTCGCACAGTTTGCCATTCATCAGCAGAGTCGGGCGTTCCACTTTCAAAGACGAGAATAAAAAAAAAAGTTGCATCGCGCGTACAATGCGCCCATACAATGCAGCGCGCCGAGAGAGATAGACCAATCCACAAAAAAAAAAGAAAAAAATTCGGAGTAACTCGTCGTCGTGGAGCGCGGGGCAACTTGAAAAACTAATTGCCGAGGGGAGAAAACTTTTTTGCCGCTGCTGCGGTGTTCAAGCCGCAGGGATGTTATTTTTGCCTGTAGCCGCGACTTGTAATAGCAGCGCATAGAAGTAGTGGTGGTGGTGGTGGCGTTGGTGTACGCGAACAATAGGATCGCAACTTTGACGAGTGCAGCAATCGTTATCTTAGATTTCTGCGCTTGCAAAACGACGTATACGCGGCAGCGGCCTAGCGTTATCTCGTAATAAATTTCATTCAAGCTGCTGGACACGGGCGCGCGCGTATACGCTTATGCGGCTATTTTGACTTGATATACACGCATCCATATATGTATATATTTAGAGACCAAACACGTAGCGTAGCGTAGCAGGGGTCATAACGATTGTGATGCGCTTGCGAACAGTTAGACTGGCGAGTCGATCATCGAAATCGATGGCATATCGGCGGGAGGACTGTTGGCTGCTATAGTGGGTGGCTACTGCTGCCACTGTATGGGTGTGCGTGCGTGCGAGCATGCATGTGTCGTAGTATCTCTCGTAGCGTCTATATAGAGTAGCGTATACATAGTAAAATGGGGCGGCAGGTGAGGAGGTGCTGCTGCGCCGTGTGTGCGGGAGTACATGCGCGAAAGCTCTCTGCTGCTGCGGAGCGAGAACGAGGGTGGCGCCCCCGAGAGAGCTTATAGAAAATCAAGCTCGCAAAGCCGCCACCGCCGCTGCTGCTGCTGCTTCTGCTGCTACTACTACGGCTAACTCTAGGTCGGCCATGAGTAGCACAGGTTAGTGTGAGTCGAGCAGTGGTGTGGCGCAGAGAGTGGTTGTTATTGTTGTTGTACTCGAGCGGGCGAGAGAGCGAGAAGGAGACAGAGATATAGGGTTGTAGTGACAGTGTGACAAGTGCGAGAAAGGACGAGGACGTCAAGGATCAAGCGTCAGACGGTGCGTGGACGGTGTGGCTGCTCATCCAGCGACAGAGAGAGAGAATAGCATCGGCAGTTGTAGTTGTGTAGCAGTACGCACTGCACAGCAGTAGTAGAAGAAGCTATAAAAAGCAGGAGGCAGCCGCAGGGGCGAGAGTGCGCGCGAGTGTGTGTGTCGCGGGGCATGCAGGTGCGTCGACTGCCGAGCAGTAGTGCTGTTGTGCTGCTATCGTCGTCGCCGCGGCGCGCATCGATCGGTGTGGCGACGACGACTACGTGCATCGTCGCCACGCTATCGCGGACATCATGCTGAAGCGGCTCGTCGAGGCAGAGAGATGAGGCCGACGACCATGATTGGCGGTAGCCGGCCGTGTTGTCGTCGTACGAGAGCGGCAGCAACGGGCTCGGGGTTACTGCTGCTGTCGCTGCAGCTGCTGCTGCTTCTGCCGCTCGTCAGCGCCTTTTACCTGGATGGCTCGGCGGGCTCGCACGCGCGCTTCTCCCGCTGGAACGCGGCGCCCAATGCCAGCCTCGAGCTCGAATTCAAGACGGAGCAGGGCCAGGGCCTGCTGCTCTACGCCGACGACGGCGGACTCTACGACTTCTTCGAGGCGAAGCTCGTCGAGGGCGCCCTGAGGCTGCGCTACAACCTCGGCGACGGGGCGCAGAGTCTGAGCCTCGGCCGTGATCTCGGCGACGGTCGCTGGCACAGGCTGCGACTGGCCCGGGCGCATCACAACACGAGCGTGAGCCTCGACGGCCGGCTCGAGGCGAGCTCGGTGTCGCGCGGACCCGACGTGCAGTTCGGCCGTACCCACGCCAATTCCGATCTCTTTCTCGGCGGCCTGCCGGCCTTCTACTCGAGCAAGCTCACGCTGCTGGCGCTTCCGAGCGTCATCTTTGAACCGCGCTTCAAGGGATTCATAAGAAACCTTGTTTACGCCGACGGAGACAATGTTGTGCCTCGACGCCAAGAGATACAGAATCCCGATCCCAAGGTTAGCTATTATGTGTACTCAGCAGTTTAATATTTTATTTACTCTTTTTTTTTTACTATTCATTGGTTTCTTAAGAAAACTGAAATATAACAATTGAATTGTTTACCTTCTTCAAAGATAAAATAAATAAATTTAAAAGTAAATAAATAAATAAAAATGATAAAAAAATACATTTTTTAATATAGCGAGTATATACGAGCAAAAGAAAAAACCCTACATGCGCAGGCTATTACTTTACGTTTAAATATTATTAGTTACTCTCTCGCTCTCTCTCTCGCTCGCTATGTCAAACGAATATTTTTTATGAAAGAGCGTCGGTAACGAGTTTTCAATATACAAATAGTCGAGCAAGAACTGCAGCTTTTATATACGTGAATAAAATAAAAAATGAACTCGCCATCGGGGGTCGATAAATTTTAATTTTTTTATTTACACAAACATCGACGCTCGTTTTGTGCACAGGTAGTAAAAGTGGATCGTTCATCATGACCGTACGTCGCAACGAATGAACTGTCACTCGCTACTCAAAAAATATTATTTCTAGCGAAACGTCCTGCGTGACACGCGTTTCAATGTAATTATATGCGCGAGCTTTGCCGAGGACGTGTTATTATTCTTTTACCTCTCTATTATTTTTTAAGCGATCAATTTGTACAAGATGTTTGTCTAATTAAGCGTCGCGGCGTTTACACGTACTCGGGTAAACGTCACAAACACACAAAGGGGGAGAGAGAGAGAGAGACGAGGAAAAGAATAAAAGAATGATCGATCTTTCGGTTCATTAGAGGCCCAATAGGCGTCGAGTAAATTGTCTCTATTACACGGTATACAATGTGTGTGCGAGCTGCTGTGCATGTGTTTGATCGCTCGCGCCCTAGGTCTTTATCAGGTTCAACGACCGGAGAGTGTAGAAAACAGCAGCAACAGCAGCTGTAGAGGTGTATCCGCCACTTTTTCCGCTTTATTGGTGAAAAAGGCGGCAGCAGGTTTTTTTCCAATAACACACAGCCAAACACCTAGTAGTCCTCGTTTATATATTGTACTTGCTCATCCTTGCGCCCCCCACGTGTATTATTATTTTTTTTCTCTCTCTCTCCTTCTGTTTTGCTGAGCCATTAAATGCAGCGGCAACAGCAGCAGCAGCAGCAGCAAGCGTATATACAAGCGTGCTCGTTGGGTAGACGCGACGAGGGGGTAGGATTTATGCGCGTCAGCCAAAAATCCATCACAGTGTGCGTGTGACGGTATTAAGCACGGTAATACTGCAGTGCTTCTATACTACTGCTGCTGCTGCTGCTACGGCTGCAAAGCGGGTCATAATGCAAAGTGTGTTTTTGCTCACAATTTATGATTGTAGTACGAGGACCAATTTAGCGCTCGTATATATACATCGTACATAACGTACTACTAGCGAAGAGAGAGAGAGAGAGAGAGAGAGAGAGAGAGAGAGCAAGAGAGTCAGCGGAATTAACAATGTGCGTCGATCGAGCTTTTCTTGTCACAAAGACTGTGGCACAGAACTGCACACGGCACTGCTGCACCGCGCGCGTCGCTGTCGCCTCGTCCCGTTTTGCAATATCCGCGCGCATCATTGCAGCGGGTTGGGTTCTGGTCTCTGTTATAAACATTTTATTCGATCGTCGTCGCTGGCAGCCACCGACGCCGCCGAGCGCGCGCACAGTCATTGGCTTTGATCCTGTACGCCGCAGCTGTCCGGAAATTCGCCAGAGAGCTAGTTTGTACGTTTTATGTGTGCTCGTGTGGGTGTGTGTGCTTGCGCTCGATGCAGAATTGCATTGCCACCCACACACCCACACATGTATACAGAGCATTTTTCTCGATTTACGCACCAACTGTTTTGACAGACCGTAAAAGTGCTGTGTATTTTATTCACAGTTCAGACTAGCTCGTTCTCAGCCGCTTTGACCCTTTGTATCGCGCGTTAGCATTATTTGCCGCAGCTTTTACCTTTGTATTGTGTGTGCATGTGTGTGTGTGTGTATATGTGTGTAATTCTAAGAGCTGGTGTGGACACGTTTGCACTACCTACATGCGCTTCGTACGTTCGTATTCCTTCCCCCTCTCGCTAGGGACTGATTTTTATCAATTGAACTTTTAAATTTTTTTCCAAACAGTTTCGACTCACTTCGAACCGCGAAAACAGTTTATACGCTTGTATTTATACCTTCGGAATTTTATCCAATTTGTCATCCCCAATTTTGTCTCTTACTCCTTGAAATAGTTCGCCGCTTGGCGCGCATACGCAGCCAGCAGCCGAGATTCAAGTGCGGAAAACGGAACAATAGGGACGATAATTGTCCTACACGATATCCACGCGCCTCCTACGCGCGTCGGAGCGCGTGGAATATTTCGCAGGCAGAGAATATCTCTCGTGCAAAGCCCCGTTTACAAGCTCAAAACTATTTTCTCCGCCAGCTATAGCCAACTTTTTTTGTTGAGTGTATGTTTGCCTTGTTTTTTAGTCTGCACACACTCGTAAAAAAAAGGAAAGAAGGGATGATGGGTTGGATAGAGAGAGAGCACACATACCGAAAGAACAAGCGAGAGAGAGAGAGAGAGAAACAGAAACAGAAAGAGTAGACGTATTATGTATACGAGACACGAGTGTCAAATAAAAGAGCCTAAAGAAAGAAAAGTTAGAGCGAGCACCTACCTGCAGCTCGAGCTTTCGAGCATATAACGAAGCGTAATAATTTTTCTATCGCATGTCTTTAAGACGTATCATCGAGCCAATTTACTTAACTGCTAACATTTTTTCTTCGTAATGTAACCATTAATAATGCCATTATTATTCTTTTTTTGTTCACAGTGCGGAGGACTACCCTGCCCGGACAACAATATTTCACGCAAAATGGCAAGAGTAAGTTTGCGACCATGTTCTGATTAATTTTGTAGCCATATATATAGATTCCTCTTTTTCTCATCACAATCGGCACGTCGTGAATCCAGCCAAATTAATGGAAAATATTATCGGCTCTAACTACTTCGGCAACGCGAGGTGGCAGGGCGAGGGCTCGAGTCCCATGGCATTCCCTTTGAATACGGTATAATCGAGTTAAAGTAGCTCAAAATCGAATCGAGCTGCTGCTACTGCTGCTACTGGGTTCTGCTTGCTTCTGCACGAACGTAATATCATTGTAAATTTATATAGAATCGAGCCCGCAAACGGATCCCATTTGTTGCAACTTGATTAAATAACGGCTTTAGGCTTTGAATCGCGCACCCCGAGATATATACACACTTATACCTTATCGGGAAATTGTCTAGGGTGTGTAGAGAGTTCACGTAAAGAAGAAAAAAGCGCGGCGGCGGCGGCAGCGCCTATAGGCAGCGAAGAAAGAAAAAAAAAGCTCAAAGCGCTGCGTAGGCATGAAAAGTCGAGAAAGAGAGAAAAGGCAAGAGCGCAAGTCATCAAGGAAAAAAGCGCGTTTGAAAACCTATCGAGCGTACGACGACCCTCTGCACTCGCGTACAAACGTAGCTATAGCACGAGTAAAGTCGCTTGTACTTGTCGCGCGGACTTTCGTGCGTAGTGTACGTTTTCAAGTTATCGCGTTTCTCGATCAACACATTCGGGGCTCGGGAGCTTTGTGCCGCGGGGCCATCTTTGTCGTCCCTTTGCGCGCGCGCTCGCGTCCTTAAACGTTTGTATACAATATAAAACAGGAAAGGAGAAAGAGAGCGAGAGAGCGAGGAAATTGTCTCTTGACCTCGTGACATCGTCGTCGTCTCCGTCGTTGGCAAGAATAATCTGATTGCGCTACACTTCTAACGAGCGAGATAGAAAGAGAGGTGGAACAAAGCCATATCCGCGCGCGCGCGCGGCTAAACTTTTGAAGCGCTAATTTATATCAGAAAAGTTTCTTTTCACCAGCGCGCGCTCGCGGATCGTCGACGGGCTAAAAGTCCGATACATATTATATACCATCTAGATAAAAGTGCTTTGGGTCGCTCGTCTTACGCCCCGCGTCTATGCAGCGATGTGTGTGCCGCGCGCGCGCGCGCGGGTCGATATATCGAAAAGTTCATCATAACTCGAACCTCCTGCTGCTGCTGTACGTTTGTCGGCGCGCTTCGGTGTTTGTATGTGTGTATATAAGAGCACAATGTCGGAAAAAGAAGATAGCTCGGCTGCACGTAGAAAAAGATTACTTGAAAATTCATAGGGTGCGATGCATTGCAGGCTTCGCGTAGCCTGCCAAAGCGTTATCCATTATTCGAGTAAATCGCTCGATTCTCATCCGGACTGTTCTGCAAACATACATGCCACACTCACACAGACAAGCGCGTACGACTTTTTTTTTTCATTCCGCACTTTCGACGTTCGTTTTTTGAATGCTATGCAGCAGCTATAGTGAAACGCGTGCCACGGACTAATTTGAAAAAGCTGCTCTTCGGTCTTTACGCGTTGCAGACATATCGACGTCCTATGCATGAAAGACAGTCGTTAAATTAACTATTGGCAAAGAATATCGACATTTTTTCTTTATATTCTATCTCTCTCCCTCTCACTCTCTCGTTCCGGACAAGCGACTGATCCGACACACCGAGATTTTTCTAACTTGCAACGCTTTTTTCACCGCGTGCGGGCGCGGCTGCTGTAACAAAAAAGTGAGAGGGCGAAAAAAGTGAATTACAAATGAAAAGCCACGAACGAGGATTTCAAGACAAACGAATAATTGCTTCTGTCTTTCTCTCGCGTCGAGCCGCGCTGATAAAAATATGACTCTGCTCCGGTGCGTCGACGCGGCGCATGAAAAAAGGCGAATGCGAGAGCGCCGAGCAAAACCTTCGGATGTTTGTCGATTGAAAAATCGTGAAATGCCCTCGTGAATAGTTGAAAGAAATCGGAATCACAATCGCGTATAAGGATATATAAAAGCTTCTTTTTTCTTTTCTCTCTCAACTTCTTTTCCTCGCAGCAGCTCAGAGAAAGTCACGTGCCCTGCAGCAGCAGCAGCAGCCTATATGCCACGCGATAAATTGAGTCGAGAGGGGCTAATGCACCCCTACGAGTTTGTTGCACGGCACATTATGTATATTTCGTCTAATAGCTTTTACAACAGCTCAGCATATAACGTCTTATAATAGTACTTAATATGTGCAGCTGTACACACTTTAGCAGTATGTGTTGTGTAACATGCATATATATAGCTAAAGAGAAAGAGAGGCTACTTGTGTATGCCATAAGAATCAATACACACCGTCGAGAGTGAGCGAGACTGAGAGAGGTAAAAGAAGCACACGATGGTAAATTTGCGCAAAATTCCACCGAACGTCGTGCTCTGCAAAAGGTCGGTAATAAATTACAGAGCTGAAGAAAAAATGTAAAGAGGAATAATAACGCTGTAAAAGTCGTAAATTTAAAAAAACCAAGGGGAAAAGGTTCATTTTGATTTGTGTAGCCTTTTTTTGTTTTCGTGCGCTCGTTTTCTCGAAAAAAGTGACTAGCTCTACCTACTTCACCTTCTTTTTTCTTTTTTCTATTTTTTCGTAATCGTCATTTTCGAGAAAAAAGAACCGGGGATGCTCTGAAGCTCGAGACAGTTATTATTTCGACGATCCCGCGTACACATAGGAGCAGAGCTTGCGCGTCTGCTTTGCCGGGTTTACGTTACAAATAATATCCCGATCGATAGATTGTACTTTTAAAATTGCCCCGCGTGTGCGCCTTGTATACAGCTGTGTGTGTGTGTGTGTGTATGTATTCTGGCTGGGCAGCCGTAAAACGTAATCCTGCGAGTGGCTGCAGAAGGAAAATCGATTTTAGCGTGCGAAGAAGGAGCTTTTTTTTCTTACATTCTATAGCGTGATGGCAATTAGTTTATGAGGCATGCGAAGGGCTGTTATCTTTTTGATAGATCATTAGAGGTATGGGTTTTGAAATAGATGAGATCTATCGCACTCAAGTCTCGTAATCTAATCATTGACTGTCGTTTTTTTTTCTTCGCACTAAAAGCATATTATAGTTAAACGGAATAAAACTTGCTAAAAAGCGACAATCAAGTTTGTCAACGATTAATTTCACGCAGTTTTTCTAACGTTTCTTTATCGATGTAAAATTGTAAAATGTAACAAGAATTTTCTTTTCCTCGCTCTTTCCGCTTACATAAATCGACATCGAAGACCAACTGAAACTATCGTTTTATGCAGTATATATTGAAAAAAGCGACGAGCGGATATATTTGTGGAGGCCTTCGAGTCATATCGATGTATATATTAGTAGAAGTTGCATTTCGGATTCGTTTAGTCCTTTTTTTTTATATTGCTGCTGTCTGTGAAACGTTACCGCGGTAGAAAGAAGAGAATCAGGAAGTGGAGCTTGCAGCGCATAAAGTTTCGAAATATCGCCGTGCCCGGATGTGGAAGTTTTGCAAAAGTGGCGCGACGAAAGTTCGAAAAGTCGCGCATTTTTCAATAGCACTCGAAGCCTCACGTATATACCGAAGGGTGGAGCGGGGAAAATGAGCGAAAAATCAGTCGCGGAGCTAGACCAGTTCTATTATATATACGTATAAACGTTATAATACATAAGCCTTTTGTCGGATCGATGACGCACACATACATACACACAGCACCTCGGCGCATATAGCCCATCATGTGTTACATATATAGCACAGCTCACACAGCATCGCGCGAACTCGAGCTGAAAGCGGAAAAGACACAATCCTATTATACGTAGCCCTATACTTACTAGCCCCGCGTTCTCTGCGGCCACAAGCGTCGCTGACCTACACTCGCGTACTACGCTCGGCTACGTTATAACGCTTTTGTTGTTACGCTCGTAGCCGTTTTCGTGTAAGCGTGTGTGTTTGCGTGTGTGTATGCGCGCACGAGCTTTGGGGGTTCATCATACATGCTGCGGAACAGGTGAAAACGAGGTCGTCGGCAAGGGTTGGCCACTCGGCACGATTCCTCGTCGCGCCAACTGTCTTTGCCGGCTCGAGCTCGCGCGCGCGCGTATACATATATATTAATTACGTATACGTACGGCCGCTAACAGGTGGCCGGTGTACATGACGTACAACACACACACACCCACACACACACTCGCACACACTGACGTACTTAGCCGTGATTCCCGAGTGCACGCAGCTTTTTTTTTGCACACGCTACTAGCTCCCGTCAAAGTTATAAGCAGTCGCGAGCGCTCGGTTCTCTCTGCCCAGGAGTCAAATTTCAACGAGCTTTAGCCGCAAGCTCCCTCATAGTGCGGTAGTTTATAGTGAGTGTGTGTGCGCGCGCGCGCGTTGAGACTAAGAGGCAAGCGCCGCTGCTGCGTGCGTCGGCCTAATGAATTGAGTGTGCAGTACGTCAATAGAGAAAAGCAATCGGCATTCTTGGAAATCCTCCGGGTACTTGAGGAATCTCACTAGCTCTTACTCTCGCTCACTGTCGGTCTATGCGCGGCTCAATATACCGAACGCTTGAGAGACCTAAAAAGCCTTTCATTCACCGTCATCGTTTTTGTTTTATGATGCTTGGATGGGTTTATATACGCGTTTTTTCATTCTGTGTTAGTGGCGCGCGGTGCGGTGCAGTCAAAGTGTGTACTTTAGCTCGTCGCATGCTCCATATGTATATATACGCGCTGCGCGCACCCATCTCATATTACTCGAAACAATTTATGGAAGCCACTCTCGGCCATTGGGTAGCCACTCTCCGCGATTCTCCTACCTGTACAAATTTAGACGTATCGCGTTCATTCATCTCCCGACCGACTGCTGGTGCTGCTGCTGGTGCTGCTGTCGTTGTTGCTGCATTGCACATTGAACTCTTTTGATTGAATTCATCGATTTTTCAAAAGCTCATATAGACAGTGTATATCGAGTTTTCGGGCATATATATAACGATACATAC